TTTGCTGAATTATTACTCAAAAATGACATGATAAATTATTTTCTTTTACCCCGAAATTAGTACTTTAAAGACAAATTGTATTTCTTGAAATGTGTTATGTACTTGTTTCTATCTGACTTTCCGTATTTTTGCACATGCTTGCAACTTAAAAAGCAGACATGACAGAACAGGGTACCTCAGCTTCAGTTGCGCCCCGGCGTGCCTGCAGTTTAAGCCACTGGAAAATATGATGGTCTTCATTGGTCTGGACATTCAACACTTCATCATTGTTCAGGTAAATAGCCTCAACAAAGGTCTACAAAAAGAAAGGAAAGAGAAGATATTTTCTTTTGTGTCCTACCTTCCTAAAACAGTTGCATATAGTCCAGAAACACAGCTCCGTGCTTTGTATTAAACCACTTTTGAGCACTGTAATATTACCAGATTTATCATACTCTTATCTTTCTTCATATGGAAAGCAGTGACAACACATCAATAAGTGACTTATTAATGATGGATATCTGAAAACAATAGCCACAGTAAGGGGAGCAGAAAATGTATTACCATATCACATATCAGCTCATATGTTGTTATAAAGCCACAGCTACATATGAGAGTTTCCTCCCAGCCTCTGCATTACAATTACTATACATCTGACACTGCTTGTTCTGACAAAATATAATGTACAAATACTATTCTCTGATATTTTGTGTTATATTATTCATATATATGTGTAAGATCATTTAAACCATGCCATTTATCACAATGTATATTGCATGAAAGGGTTAATACTGACTTATATAAACATAGATTTAGAAACAGATAACGATGTACAAAAGGAAGCCACAAAGTCCTACCCAAATGATGAGCTTTTGGTACAACATAAAGTAGCACTGTATCACTTTTAGATATGCAACGATGTGCAAAATCAGCAGAACAAAGCCTCCAGTTTCAAATGCATACATTACCTGCTGCGGTGTGGGATTAAGACGGTCTAGAGTTGTCTGCTTAGCAATGTTTGCATAATATGCATAGGCCAGGTCTGGGTCTGTGGGGAGGCCATGGAGACCCTGGTGGTGCAGGTGCCCAAGATGCAGAAGGGCTAATCGATCATCCTTCTGGGCTCCCAGCAGGGCCAGGAGCCAAGCCTGTACCACACACAAGGGCATGAGAGAATATAAAAAATTAGACATGTTCACCACTGGAATAGTTTCACTACAGATGACCCAGTAGAACACACCTTATTGGGCTGTTTCTTGACGCCCAGGCCAGTGCTGTAGAGCATAGATGACATGTGCAGAGCTCGGTTATCAGCTAAGCAGCCAGCTTGGAGCAGCAGTGGTAATATTCTGCTGACCACTTCAGTGCTGCTTGCTCTGCCCAGCTTATGAAGTGATAAGGAGTACAGTGCTCTGCCCACAGCTGGCAGGCTAACTCTTCTTTTACCTGCAAGTCAGGAAGTGAACTGATTTCAGCACTTCATGTTAGATAACACGTGGATATCATCAATGAATAATCAGTAGAATAATATAAGTATAATGAGTATTTCCTCAACAAAAGTTAGTCATTAGTCATACCAAAGACATGTGACCTTGGGGAAATTTAGGATAAAAAGCTTTGATTTTGTACTGGAACAAGCTGATACACAATCTACTGTATATACAGTAATACTGACACCGGGTTGGATTCCATTGTATTTCCCTTGAAATCAATAGAACGAGGCAGTGGAAACACTGGGGCTGCCAGGATCAACAAAAAATTAAAATGCCTTGTAGGGGCTTTAAGCGAACATATTTATTGTTATTTTCCACCTCTGGAAATGTTGTATCAGTGCTACATGAATTCATTTGTGCGGTGTATCTCTCACCATATTTAAAAGCCAAAAACTTGGCCAGTTTTGCAGCTTGTCTTCTGTGAGGGACAATCGCCTCCCACAGCCCGCACTGTGACTTTGATGGCAGTCTGTCTTTTACCATCCACTCATGGAAAGCATCAAAACAGGTCTCTGAAAAAAAAACAAAAAAAACAGTTACTTTGTTCTTTCAGTTGCTATGCAGAGGGGTTCTTGAGAATCTTTCAGTTACAGTCATTTTGGCACCATCTAGTGGAGATATAAGCCTACTACCAGACTCTGTCCTCTGTTTGGCCTTGAGAGAATAGCCACTGATTTTGACAGTCATATCAAGATGAAACGCCTGGCAGGTCTGCAGCCATCCGGTCAGGTTCACACTCCTAATAACATCTGGGATCACGACTTCAGACTGCAGAAGGGGAAAGCGATCAGACTCAAATGTAGCGAATGGTCGACACTGACAGTAACAGTGGGCAGGTGCGGTATTTACCGGGCTGTGAGGTGATATTCTGTTGCGGTAGTAAACCAGTGGTCCGTAGTAACCTTCCACACCTCGTATGTATTTCCCTCCCCCAATCACAAAATACCCCTCTGTGTCATCCAGCATGATAGTATGCCTCAACCTGTAAGACGCAGAACACTTGAAGTCATATTTTTATTCCTGATGTTAATATAGTTTCATCACTTTGTCCTGTCAAAAGCAGACTTACATGTGTTCTATAGAATAAACCGTTCTCTGCTCTTTGTCCATGCACACCATGGAGACAGTCACCTGAGATGCAGTGACATTGACCACTTCATTATGACCATTATTTACACACTTAGGAGGATATCTTCAGTCAACGAGAGAGAACTCACCATTCTACCGTGCAACGTCACACTGATTTGGCACCACTCGCTTAAAGGCACCTTGAACGGAGAGAGAAATGCAGAGGCTTCCTCAGACTCTGCACTGACCTGGACGTGTAGCTGACCTGTACATGGTGAAAAAGATAATGTCAGTCCAGATAAAAATATGTCTGTGTCATCACATAATAAAACTATCTGAGAGGTTAGAGAGAAATCTTAATTTTTACCTGAATTTGTGAGGAACAGTGTTGGTGTGATGTAGTTATTATGGGGGTCTATGTGGTAAAACAAGCCACACATTCTCTTCTGGCAGTGACTGGTCACAAATACCCATATGGAGAACATACACCTGGCAAAAATACAAAGCAAACCTGGTTAACTAACCCTAAATCATTTCTGCAATAACATATTAAAAGCTCAGTTATAGCCAGTGGGACTTTGGTGGTCTTACCATGGAAAAGAGATGGCTTTAAGACGCAGATACTCCAGAAGCTCACTGCTATAAGGGTCTAGTGTCTTTGTGATACCAAAGCCTTCTCCAGTAGAAGCATATATGGAAGACAGCAAAAGCACGGTTTCTGAATGAAATAGAGATTGTTATTTTGGTTTTTTTATTCCATAACAATCATCTTAAAACATGATCATCCTTTACAGATCAATAGAAAATGACATTTAAATTTCTTGCTCATCCTAAAATCATTCCATGTATTTGGGTTTCTGAGAAGTTCTGTTTTCTCGTTCTGAAATATAGACAGAAGAAATTTCGGATTCTTCACAGCTTCACTTTTTTTGTGAGAAAACGTTTTTCTGGTTATCCATTTTCTAGGTCCGATCTAAATTGTTTTTGGCCCTGTGCTTATGACTTCAGGAAAGTAGAATAAATAGGTTTTTCCAGGTGATTCTTTTGTGGAGTGTTTTCGTTCTATTCGTGTTCTCTTCAAGGTGAGTTTTAATTGCACCGTGCACTCTAGCACATTAACATTGGTGTCACGTCTTTCTTTTGGCTAGAAACGTTTTTTAATCAGTGCTGAGAGAAATTAAACCTTACCTGGAAGAAAACAGGACATGCTTATAGTAATTTTCAGAACATGGAGTAGTGGTGCACTTCAGCCTCTTCTGACCAAAACGAGTATAACAATTAACACTTGAAAATAAAATCTTGTTTTCACCTGCCATAACCTTTTTTCTCCCATCTGTTCTTAAGTCATAAACATAGGAAAGAAAACCATTTAGATCAGACTTATGTGTCACCAGTATTGTCTCACTTGTCTCCTGTGGGCTTCCGTACATTTGTCCACATGTGCAGTGTTAAACTTCTCTGACCTTACCTTGCTCCAGAGGGCATTGTTTCTTTGAAAACTGTTGAGTTAATTGAAGCATTTGTGTGCTCCAGGCAATGCACAGTGGATGTTGTTTTACAGGTCGATTAAAAAAAGGCCTAGGTTGCAAAGTTGCCACATCCTGAGCTGCGACAGACCTCTCAGTGTCATCAAATCCACTGTGTCTGACTGACGCCATCAGGATACAACTCAGCACCCACTGGGAGTCTGGAACAATCCCATCAGCTTGATACACCAACCAATCCGGCAGATTCAGCTCCAGGGTCCTTATTTTAGGGTCATCTGGGAGGCAGCTCCACTGTCTTAACAGGAGTGTGGAAGTGATGCCGGTATCAAAAGATACTATACAGTCCAGCTGTACTGTAGCAGGTTGATCACAGGAGTAAAGTATTTCCAAGAGATGGTCTGACACAGGCTCCTCTGGAGGATTCAGAAGTGTCACCTGGTCTAAACCCCAGACTATCTGTATGAGAAAGAAGACATGCACATAGTTGCTAATGACACCTGAAGGGACCAGAGTATTACAGATTATGAAGGGAAACCTGCTCCTACCTGCACACTGAGACAAAACACACAGACGTATCTGTAGTGTGTGGAAATCCACGGTTCACACTGTGTTCTCATTAATCTCGCCATTAAAGATTTTCCAAGTTGCAAAGAAACAAGAAGCCTCAAGATCCGGACCTCATCCTGCTCCACCTCAGTTACACTGAAGCATAGGTCAATATTGAACAGCACATAGCCCCACCCAATTACTGTATACACAGTGCAGTTAGGGTGGAGCGTTGTGAACCGGGTAACATACCAATACTTAACATACAATGGAGATTCAACAGTTACATTTAAATTACTTTGTTCTGGGGCAAATCTATTAAGTATGCTGAAGTAACATTATGAGTGTTACTACATATGAGAGGGGCAATAATGCATTGCAACCTGTGTACATGTGTGGTGTAAAATGTACGACAAATCAGCTCACCTTTCATTCAAAATAGTTTATTGCTATCATGCAGGAGTGCCATAAAAGTCTAGACCATCACAGAAGATGCAAAATTATCATTTTCTCTGTACAAATATACTGTTTGTATTCATAAATAGAAGCCCGAAATAAAGAGAAAGAAAAAGGAGGGTGGGGGAGTAAAGAGCTTAAGCTGATCCACTCTTCTAACCCAATATAGGTTTTGTTACAGCAGTTGACATGCATCAACATTACAGTGCATTATACTGGGAGCAGACGACACACACGCACTCGCACACATTCAGATGGCATAATCCATTTACAGCTCTGTCGTGCAAAAGAGGTACAAATGACACTTTAAAAAACTACCAGTAGGAAATTGATATATTATTATTTTTTTTAAACTGGTTTCTAAAGTAAAATATTTAAACATGTCTTAAACATCCAAACCACCTGTTACATTATGAGGCTGGGGGAGGCCGACTGTGTCTTTTGCAGCACTTTTTGGTTGTTCATTGGTCAGGAACGCCCTAAGTGTCCCTACTACTCATAATCTAATCACCTACAACTACTGATGCATAGTTCTGTGCTCGTATGAAGCTGTCAATATTAAAACTGGCACAATGTTCTTTGTTGTAGTAATCATCTGTAACAAATGTAAACATACTGTACTGAGGATACGGTTACAGAAACGATACCCTTGGACATTCAGTGTTTAAACTCAGGATATATATATATATATATATATATATATATATATATATATATATATATATATATATATATCGGGGTTTTGAGTTCTGTGTAACAGGGGCTCAAAGGACCGAACACACTACAAATACAAAGGCCTCTGACAGAAATTGGGATTTGGCACTTTGACATTGCTCTTCAGCTTCCAGAACTTTTAGAGCTAAATCTTCCATAAAAACGTGGATTACAAAGCGGTTACAACTTGAAAATTTCTATCTTATACAGAGCAAATGAGTTTGCCTTGTAACTATAGCCCTTACCAGCACCCATGCCTCGCTGACAAACTGCTGTGAAGTTTTCATTGTCCACCTAAATAATCAGTCAAACAGAAACGGTAAGACGGAGGATAGCAAGACCCAAAATCCAAGTTAAACTCGCACCCCATTCATCAAATATACAATTAGTGGAAAATGCTGGATTTTACTTATCCAACATCCCATTTATTATGAGTATAATCTACAAAAACAAAACATAGTCGTGTCCTTTTTTTTTTTTTTAAATAGCTGTGAATAAAAATGTGCTTTGTGTTAACGTCTTTGATAAATATGTTGTTTTTCATTGTATATACTGTAAACTTAATCCAAAGAATACTCTTTAAATTTAATACACAGATTAAAAGCTCATTCTCACACAGTTACTCTGGTATTTTCAGACTGTTATGTTTAACATTTTGGTAAATATGTGTTTGATAACATTTCTGCCTAATAATGAAAGGATACGTACATTAGCCAGGGTCTTAAAAAGACTTGTTCGACTTGTTGGTGTTGTTTAAAAGCTGCACATTTCAGCAAAGCACTGCTCTCACACTCTCTCATGCTCACATGCACTCAACCTTAAATACTAAAAATAAAGCAAAAGGTCTAAAGCCGCACTGTGATGGGTCACTGTGTCATTTTGTGAGGATATTTTCCTCTTGTCCAACTGTCTTTTGTATACAAGTTAATATCATTCAGGTTGCAAATGATTGTTAAGCCTTTGCAATCCATTATTCTTTTTCACTTCTACATCTCAGTACCTACTATTGCTGTGCTGTGTTCAAACGACACATTTCTTTAACAGCCAAAAGGGAATTTTGAGTCACAAATATAGTCCGAGTTTCCTACTAAGACTCTTCTGTTTGAGGATCCTCTGACTGTGTCATTTGCTCTGCCAAGAAGAAGACAACAAAAGAAAGAAAAAAACTTGTAACCATCAATAAAAACACAAAGTACTTGGTGGAAAAAAGGAGTGCGCATTCACTTTGGATTTGTAGGCTAGGTGGTTAGGTAGTAAGAAAAGAAACATCAAGTGTTGTCTAAGCAGGTTAACGACGGGAACCAAGCAAACACTAAGAGCATTCGAGTATCAGTCGGACAAAAGTGAAGACATGCAAAATGTTATAGATTGTAGAACAAGAAAGAAAAACCAACTGGGAGACACGTTTCCCTTTGAGACTGGCACAATTTCCTGCAGAATAAATAATACTTTACATTCCAATATACAAACCTACCCATTTCCCCATATATTCAACATTGACCCAATAAGCAGATAAAACTGAACAGCTGGTTGTTCCCACAGTCCAGTTACTCAGAGTAGGTGTTGTACCTACAAAAAAGCGAAACGGCAACAACTTGTGCCATCATCTGACAATTAATGAACACCAAAAACTTTTCTTTTTCGAAAACAGACCAGAGGAATACAGTCAAACAGCTTTGACAGCCTGTAGTTCATGTAGCCCTTATTTCCTCTGTTTCTTGAAGATCTTGAAGGTATGTTTCTTGCGGCTGGCAGTGGAATCTGTGTCTTCTCCTGTAGAGCCACTGTCCTCCTCCAGCGGGCTCTTCTTGGAGGACAGCTGCGGGATGCGGGTGCTGCCCTTTGCCCCCACGACCCCTGGTTGCCCTCCTCCCGTTGGTGACGGTGTGTCAGGTTCAGTGGAATTGGGGCTGAGGGAGCGGGAGGACTCTGACAGGCTGTTGATCTCTCCCAGGCTGGGCGACTTCTCCATGCCGTACACCGTCTTCATGAGTATGGGGCTGTCGGGGATGGGCTCTGCTGGATTGACCTCATGAATACGGTTACCTCCATTGGGGGTTTGAGCATGCAGTGAGATGATGTCATCTGCACGACCGGACAGGCCGTGCATGAGAGTGGTGGGCTTGATTAGGTGCGCTTTGGAGCTGTATGCAGATAGCCGATCACCAACTTGGGAGAGGGACAGGGAGGAGTCGGAGTCGGAGCGATTTAGGTCCCTGTGGGGGAAAAAAAACTTAAGTTAGATGAAATGAGAAAAAAAAACCTAGTTTCAAGTTGAAGCTTTGCATGCTGGGGTTTTATCTACACTACGCCTGCAAACCCAGTGGACACGTTGGGCACAGCCTGGATACTGGAACTCCACACTTGTTAGTTGAGCAGGCAAAGAACACCAGGAACACTGAGAGAGGTTGAGAAAGTGAATGCATAGATTCTGTAATGCCTCATCAGCTGCAATGACGTGAAAGCAAAAGGAATAAAAGAAATGAAAAGTAAAGAAAGCATGACAGAATAAAATGGACTCAAACACGGCGCACAGAAGAAGGTACCTACGCTACGATACACGTGTAAAAAACACCCACGCACATGCGATGTGTGTGGAGAATTGGAAAAAGACGGGTACCCAAAGCTGCCGCTGCACGAGGAGTGCGCTTTGGAGACATCTGAGAAGGTGAAATCAGGAATGGGGTCCATGGGCTGGAAGGAAGCATGGTATATGTGGGAGGAATGAGGGGCTACACTGCCACCCACAGAGCTGGGTAAGCAGGAGGAAGAGGCGGACAAGGAGGACGGGGGCTGAGGGTTTAGGCTGGAGGTAAATACGATGGAAGGGTGAGACACAGCTGAGGAAAGAGGAGGTAGAGGGAGACATTCGAGCTGCCCAAACGACTGGCTGCGTGACTGTCTGAGGGTAGCCCTAGACCTGGATGGGTATGGGGTTCCCTCTCCCTGCTGCCCCGCCAACAGGCAGCTCTCTACCAACCTCTGGGAGCCCATGGCCAGCTGGGGGTCAATGTGGCGTTGGCGCAGGGACATCATACTGGGAGCTGTGGGCACAAAACAACAGCATTATGAACAACCACTCATGAAATAAAAGTGTGACGCACAAGGGGAGACCAGTTGGGAGATTAGTGGAAAGATACTCAGGTGCTGGGATGCATTTCTCTTGACCTTAACAGACTTAAAATGTGAAAAATGATTAAGTCTCAAGGAAAAATCCCATTTACTAATTTAGCCTTTATACTGCACACCATTATTACATTACAACAAAATCCCAAAGCTCTTGTTTTATCTCTCCTCCTTTGAAGGAAAAGTATTAAATCAAACAAAAGGAGAAAATATTAACTATGATATATTGTTTAAATCAATAAAATAAAACCTATTAAACAATAATTTGCCCATTTACAATAAAAGTAAGTGACTAATCACTATGGGGAAAAGCAGGGGTGCACTGGGTGGTGACAAGATTTAGAGGAGGGAGTAAATGTGGCAAGCAAGCAACTAAGGCAAGGTCAGGGGTGTTTTTAGATGAACGCAGCATGGAGTGGTTTTTCCCTTTCAGCTGTGTCCATCGGTAGCACACTGTCCAATTAAAAAGTATTATAGCTCTGTGTGGCTTTGAGTCAAGGGGAGAGACGGGGATGTCAAACTGAGGACTGAACTGGGGCATGAATAAATGGCCAACCAGGATATTTCCACATGGGCTGACAGTCTGAACCGACGGACCACAGGTCACTGGCTCGCCGTTCCAACAGTCGGGTGCCATCTGTAGTTAGGCCATTGAGACAGCAGTGGAAGCCAAATGCCAGAGAGGTTGTGGGAGGGAAAGAGGGGAGTGAGATAGGGAGTGTAATTAATGTTGATTAAAAGACTTACTCACTATTGCTGTCGGATTCTGTAGTACAACTTTCACCTGCAGTTAGTCAAACTCAAACCTAACGTCCCTACAAATCGTTTTGATAATGGTTTGCTCTATGAGATGAAGATATGTGACATGTGTTTACCCATGAATTCTTCAATAAAAATAATTTTTTGTACAAAATAAGTTCAGAAAAATGGACAGTTGTGTGTATTTTTGTGTCTAATACTCAACCTAATTATAAATTTAAATTTATGGTATATAACATGTTTCCTCTGGCTGCAGCTGTTTGACCAAAAACAGATTCAAGAAGGTCCGTAGCAAATATCAGGACACAAAAAACTGTTCTCATTAAGAAGTATATTTTTCTTGACAATTCATTTTCCAAAGGAAAGTCACAGGAATCTTCAGTCTCAATAATCGACTGAAAGTCAAGTAAACACTTTTATCCAAAATGAGAACAATCAACAAAAGGCATTCAACTGGAATTGTGTGTAAAAGAACAAGACAATTAAGTGAATTTACATGATACAACTTATACAAATGTAAAACACTCATTCAAAGACAGACATGTGTGACCCTCACTACCTACATCACCAGGTAGGCCACAAGGACAAATTCAGGTAAATGTAGCATTAAAGGTCCAAATTCTCATGTGAACTGATTTGTGGATTTCCCCAGCTGGGCCTTGGAGTGTTTAGGGGTGCGTTTGCTACTCCCCAAAGATTCGGATGAACTCTTACATTGCAGAGTTCCAGGCACGATATCCTCGTCCATGTCGTCCATGTCGTCAGACATGATGAAGTGCTGAGGTGTAGCTCTGCCACCCATGTAGGTGGGATCAAGGTTGAGGGATGAGGCCAGAGATGGGAGGCCTGGGTTGTTGACGATGGTAAATCCGGTGAGGATCTCTATCTGCTGCCAGCGATGAAGCCTCTCCCGCAGAGCAGCTGTCACCTCGCCCAGGGCTTGTCTGAGACAGATGAGAAGGAGAAATCAGTAAAGAGGAAACGTAACTTATTATTAACACTGACAATATGTCCAAAAGTCCGAAGCCCCATTCAGACTGAATTTATTTCTCTGGGGGAAGTGGGTTAACATTGTGCTGGTCAGTGATTTTAATGCAATCCAAAGGACATATGTAGGTAATTCTTCATCTCCACCCCAGTAATAATTACACCTGTAATTACCTACTGTTTTTCATCCAACTCACTGGTCCTCCTGTAGTTTAATACAAATTACTGAGGAGCACAGTGAATATTTTATTCCCCACCACCCCATGTGATGTCCATCCTGTCCGAATGCGGCCAAACACAAAATGTTACACGAAATGTATTCCACCATTACAATCGGACTTACTTTGCTGCCAGTATCTTGTGGTCAACATCATCCAGAGAGGAGCTATGCGCCACATGGAAAGTCCCAAAGAGAGTGTTCCTCTTTTTCTTTATCTTCTCTGCCTGTGAAAACAAATGACCCAACATTTATCTCTGCTAATATTCACTTTATCCACTCACTATGTTCAAGAGGAATCTTGCTCCCAGGTACAACAGTCTGATGAGCATTCAAGATTGCATCAATAGCTGTTTCATAATAATCAGAAATACGTCAACTGAAATATACATCCAGTTTCTCTCAATCAAGCTCAGGTTCCGATATTATGGACAAGCTAGTCTCAAATTTTAGGTATGGCTTTGTGAAATAGTTGCTTTGGAATTCACAGATTTTATATAGACTGTCCTATGATCAAAGTAATAACAAGAACTCTTGAACTGCATGTATGGCATTCCCCTTTAAGTTTTTACATGCTTACCCCTTCTTTGGCCAGCAGGAGCTGCCGTTCAGCATTTTGCTTCTTGATGTTGTAGTACTGCACTTCCACCTCGTGGGTGAGCTGCAGCCACTTCTGGAGAGACTCTGGTGGAGACCAGCCACTCCGTGACTCCAACTCCTTTTCTGCTTTCTTCAATGCCATGCGCACCTGCGACACATTTCACACGTTAGCTGACAAATGAACACATAAAATCTACACACCCATAAAATCTATATTATCTAGCAACACATTCTTGGCAATGTGTATTTCATTTTTTAGCATTTTCTGTTTGTTTTTTTTCAGTAGGACAACTGCAAAAACTGTGTGCCAAACATGTTCTACATACTACAAAGCTCATATACAACTTAAAACCATGGTAATATTTAAGGACTGATGGATCTGGACACTTGCCTCCTGAATATAAGTAAGTGGTGACTGGCTGTGACTACTGAACATTAAACTCAAAGCGTCTTGCAGCCACACTGAATCTGAAAGCCTTGCAGGTTTCCAATTTATCTCTTGAAAAAAGTGTCTGAATTAGAGCACTGTGATAGTCCTTTAAACAAATACTGCTGTGTGTTTTGCTCGCTTGTGTGGGCTGTGCTGTTCCTGCCAAATTCCTAATGGACAAAGACTTCAGTGGGTGTATTTATACTATAGCCAGTGTGAATCCGAAAGACCTAAACATACTGTGCAGTTGTCACCTTGGAAGTTCATAAAAACACTCACTCAGTTTTACTCCAAACACTATGTTTAAATCACATGTGTCACTTTGCAGGTACCTGTACCAGCTCTTCTTCAGCGTACTTTTGCCGACTCAGTTCGTTCTCTGTGCCCTCCCGCAGCTCCCTCAGTCGATGGGCCTCCTGCTTGGCTGCATTGATCTCATCCCTCAGCTTCTGCTCCAGGTTCACCTTCTCCACTTCCACTGTACGGTGCTCCTCCTGGGCGATCTGCAGCCTGAGAACAAGGATTATTTTTAAGTTTAGTTTTTCTTACAAACGAGACATCAGTGGCTGTGTCATAGCAGTAAGGTGGCAGACTCCATGGAAGGAGACCCCTTTAGTCTGTAGATAAAATCTAAGGTAATGGAGACACAACAATTCCTATATTCATGTGATTATACACTAATGAAAACATACCTGAATGAATGAATATTATATTACATTTCTGCCAATAGCTCCTCCTAAATGTTACGCATGGACCTTTGTCCACCTATCAGTGTCATTTTCTGTGGCCAGGCATGACGTGTAAGCATGCGAGTGTCATGTATGTGTGGAATGACGGCCTTGCATCAGCCAAGCATGACCGGAAACAATGGCTAACATGTAGAAAGTAAAGAGCCATGGTCAGCTGCTAGGCAGCTCACAATAAAGGGGGAAGAGCCAAGAATGGGAGCAGCTGCCAGCATGTAACTTTAGAACAGTACAGTGCGGCACCCAATGCTGCTGTAGTGTCCAGAATATATGTGTTGGTTTGTACGTGGGATATTTTTAGACTAGCCTTTTAAACAAAGTCTACTTTTAAAAGGGGGGCTTGTCATCCATGACATAATTATTTGTGCCATTTGAACATATAGTGAAGTGTAAAAAATACCTAATCCACTGTAATTAACAAGTATGTATAATTATAATATGCCCTTCTAAACCAAGAAATAAACTGTTTAATTTGATCTCTGATGTGAGGTTAGGCTCTCAGGTGATAATACTTTGCCTGTTGTCTGGCTAAGCAATTATAACAATGGAATTCCCACCCCCTAAAAATATAATACCTAGGCTTATGAGACAACAAAAAAACTAGTTTTTTAGTCTCCAGACACTGAAGGGCAGGAAGCAGTACTATATTTCAGTCACTAGGGAGAGGCACTGACCTCCTGTCAGGCTAAACACAACAGCAGAAGGAGCAGAGAAATGAAAGGTGATCCAGGGAGACAGCTATGGAAAATGTGGGTGGTGGGCAGTCCTGCTAATGCTTTCGACCCTGACCTCTGCCATTCTCTAGCTAAGATTCAAAAGCACTGGCAGAGCTACAATGCTCAGAGAGAAGACGCCAAACGTTTCAACTGACCTGCATTGCAGGGCTCACAGGATGCAGGCACAATGTCTCTGCAGACTTGGAGGGAGAAGGTAAATACCCCAGAGGCTTTAAGACACTAATACTACATTTGTATTTATCTTACTCCACTAAACAACATTTCAAGAAAAGTTCTTAACGCCAATCACATGCTGTTGTTACAGTGCTGTTGTTCTTGTCGCTAGTCCTTCTCCAGGAAGTCTGTCTGCACACCACACCCCAATCCAAATGTGGGTGAATTAGCAGTAGAGCTGACATGTTAAGCAGTCATGCTTAACACTATCTCCCACCGGTGAGGCAGAGGCTGGGTCAAACAGCCTCCTCCCACTGTCCCCCAACAGGGAAGCTGTGGCTGGCTACTTGACACCACCAAGGGATCTGCTTGAAGGTATGGAAAGAGAGCAGCTGGCAGCAGGGATCAGGAAGAAAAGCACGGCTACAGACAGAGGACATACCTCTCTCGCTCAGCTCCAAAAACAAGTACTGTATGAGATGAAAGTATCCTCTTGCTAGTCACAGTGACCTACAATATAATACAATAACCCTTCCCACAGTGCCTGGCTGTCCAGGATGCAACACATTTCGGGAGAATCTGATTTAAGAACAGTTTAATGCTTAACAAATGAAATGTCTGATCATAATCAACTGTGTCTGGCAGTAGATACATAAGCTAGCTGGACTGTTTCTGCTTAACATTTTCTTTTGATTATGAATACACAAGATTAATACACAATCCGTAAAATGAATAGTCATTTTAAAATGATATTCTACTTTATGAGAAACAGACAAGACAATAAGTTTGCTTGTTTTTTTTCTCCGAGCTCTTACACACCAGATTAGATTTAAATGCGGTTTCACGACACTATTAAGTTGTAGCAGATACATTATACTATATTGCTGAATGAATATAAACTTCAAACTTGGCAGTGGCATTTCTGTTGATCAAGTTGATCAAAGTGTAAAGTCACAGAGGCAACACAGACACAGTGACCTGGCAGTCTATCGGAGGAACAGAGTTTGACCTCAGTGATTCGTTCCGGCTGGTGCAGTCAATGGATCTTTTGGTTGGTATTCAGCAGGCAAATCACACAAAAATACTTTACACTCCCTTATTGGACTGCTCCAGAACAGAAACACACCTCATATATATATATATATATTATATAAATATGGGTACACATGGAATGAGGGAGATACTACAGTGCAATAAGAATAGGTGTTACTGTACATAAAATTAAGAATCCAAGGCTGAGACAAACATCAAGTAACCAACTCTTGTCTATTTGATACTCATCAGACAATATCGTCTCATGTTTCAAAAAACTGTTTTCTCCTAAACAGCCAGCTGATACAAAGAGCAGCTCATGTGGGTAATGCGGGTAGAAAGATCAACTGAAAGTTCTGAGGCCTACAACAGCTAATCTCTCCCTTTTCAATGTCACCAATCATCAAGATGGGAAGGTTATGCAGTCACGTGACAATGTCTGTCACTGTTCCTCAGTCTGGCCAGTGAATGGGACTGAGCATATCCCTGTTTTTAATCTAACATAACATGGCATCCCCAGAGGTTAAACACTTTCCATCTTGGCCACTCTATGAGCTTTCCATTACGAGCAACCTCAGGTCAAATTCAACTCTCTAAACAATGTATCAACCACCAGCAGGTGTACATAAAAATCTGAATCAATATACGAACACATGTTCTCTCAGACAGCCTTTCAATTAGAGAAAAGCTGCAACTTCAGATGTCAAAATGCAATGTATTGCAATGCATTTGTGGCCGAGAGCAACGTAACTATAGTCACTCTTCATGTTAAGTTCTGCCCAATAACATAGAAAGAAAAATCAGTAGCAAAACATCAAATGTCATTTCACTGTGACTTTATCAGTGTACCTTGCTAATGCCTTATCCTTTTAAATATAACCTGACCTGAGATGAAACTGTTTGGAGTATCCTTTAAAGGAATAAGAGGAGACAGTGCATGCTTAAAAGCACATTCTGAGCATTCCTTGAGGTATTAACAGGACCAAAATAGTTAGATTTATCTTATAACCTTTAGTTAGTCTTCATGATAATACCATTTGCTATTATGCATTTAGCTTTATTTGGGGTGCTTTACTAATAAAACACCTAATTTCAAAACGTCATCATTCAGGCCATAATAACCTGGTGAATCATAGACCAGAATACACCAGAAGTCAGAATGAAGTATCCTGTGTCAGAACAGAACCGCAAGGTTCACAGGGGTTCATTCGTTCAATTTCTTGGGAAAAATATTCAAAAGATTCATAAGAGAGCATTGTTTCATTTCCTACAGTGAAAACAAGCTAGATGCCCAAGAGGAAGAGTACCAAGTATTGAGCTGCTGCTCAACACAAGAAATCACTGAGCTCCACACTGTATCATACAGACTGAGGCAAACTTTATGCAAACCCTACTGTATGATCGCAGGTTAGGACTGGGGAAAAAAAAATTGGACTCTGAACTGGGAACTAAGGTATCTCTTCACCACCACAGACTCTGTATTACTGCAGCAAATGTTACCTACAATAGTCAGTGTTATATACAAGTGTTAAATGCACAATTAATTTAAGAAGGCTAACTGCATGTCTTGATCATACCTCTCTGCAGCCTCAACGCAGGAGATAACCACACCGTCTAGTGATTTTATGGTCATGCATGGGAGCTGGCCAAACCCTCATGGTCTCCCCACTCAACTGAGCTGTGATATGCAGCAGGATTTGTTACTGAGCTTAATGCATGTCTGCTATTGTTTAGTAAAAATTGGTCTAATGAATGGAAAAGCACTCATTCCATCAATGACTTTGATCAAAGGTGTATAAAGCAAAGGGAGCCGCTTTTATCCCAACAGGAAGGCAGTAATAGATTAGTCACCAACACAAAATGCATTTGTGCTTCTGTGTTGTTTTTGTCCTTTCAAAAGCCTGTGTGGTGATTCATTTTAAAGTGCATAGTGACTGAAAAGTGTGGAAAACATTGCACTTGGCAGTTAGATTGTGAAAGCAAAGCTGTGTTGCAGCCGACTCATAAGTCTTATGTTGAAGCTTCCAAATAAAACATGGCCCACTGAGCTAAAACTGACAGCCAATGATTGCCACGTTGTACAGCGTTGTCAAACTGGCTTAAATTCCAGCTGTTCAAATAGCAGACCTAAACTTACTGATGTTTCCTTGAAACACTCATGTATCTAAATTATATACATTTGGTCATCAAGATTTTCATGTAATGTAATTGTTAGATTTAATTTAAATGTGTTTAAATGTTTAAGTCAATTAGAGTCATTTGTGTAAAGGCCTGTCCAACGATTCATAGTGAGAGTCTGGAGAAGCTGCACTAACAGTTTTTCACTTCCTATTTCAGAACAATGTGGCTGTGTACATGCAATCCCGTGAAAGTTATAACTTATGAATGAGTTATGACTGTGCAAATACATACAGGATTCAGAACCACTACATAGAAATTCTTAACGTTTAAGAACATCTTCTTTGCATAGTAAAATTATTGAGACTGACAGGATTTCCTCCAGGCTTCCTGCTTGTGCCAACACCGGGGGAAAAAACACACTTTTGTGAAATAAAATATTGACTTCAAGGGAAGTAGGGGCGGTATTTCACACACCAAATGCTTTATAACTAATGGGTAAGGGCTGTTGTTCAGACCGTCATCTAGTTGTTAAACTAGACTGTTAGTCTGTCAGAACTATTTTAGTTGATAGTGTTGAGTTGTACACCTTTAAATTCACAGCATAAGGGAAAGTCAATGAGATAGAGATGTGCGAGGAATAACTCACAGCACATGGAAGACATGTAAGGAGAATTCTCAGTTCATCACTGGCTGATGCTAGTTTTAAAGGGTGGTAATTATTATTTATCAAAATACTCTTAAAGTTAGTTTGAAGTCTATAGTGTACACATGAGTATAAATACATTTGTTTGAGTGTTTTATGTGGAAATGGAGAACTAATGGTATGTATGCACAATACAGTACTTGTAGAGTATAACAGTTTGTTGTGTGGGTGGTGGGAAAAACCCTCACTTCTGTTGCAGGTCATGCAGACTCTGTTCAGCTCTCTGTAGGCCCTCCAGGTCTTTCATCATCTTCTTCATGTGGTCCTTAGAGTAGCGGTTCTGGATGTAGGCAAACCAGCAGCCACCCATGCCTATGACTATTGACACTACCAGCATGAAGTCCTTCAAGTGGTTATGTCTATTCACTGAAGAGAAAGAGGAAAATAAAGAAGACAAGTTACATTCTAGCCAAGTAATAAACTTCAAAATCACAAGATAAATCAATAGAAGAGGAGGTGTATTTCAGCCAGGCAATATATTAAGATCATTAGATGAAGCTGTCTAACAATGAGCAAGCTTCACAAGGATGTGGTGTGAAGCTTGTGCTTGCAGTCATTCTGCAACACAAACTGTGACACAAATAGGAGAGTCAGTAGCACAAGTTTAGGCTGCGGTGAGAGGGGCCTACTGCAAAAGACCACGATAAAGCCAGCTTAACACAGCATATTTCAGTCTGGTAACTAATGCTAATAAACATGAACAGAAAACCCAAACAATGGCAACTATAACTTTTTCGTACATGAGGGGCTATGAATCAAATCCTAGCTGCCATTCCTCTGAATAACTGAGTGCAAGTATGCTGTCAGAGTCAGATTTGTCATCAATTGAGGAAATTAGTTTTAATGGTCTGCACAAAAGAATTACCTTCAAAAACAAAAACAATACAAAACAAGTCTACTGTAGTGTAGCTGAGGGCACAAAGCATGTTTTTTCAAGAGTGGTTGTCCTCAGCCAGAGGGGGGGGGGTGAAGCATGGGTTGAGGGGGTGGCAGGTGTTGTGTGCTATGGTCAGTGCTCTGCGAGCGGTAGCAGTGTCAGTGAGGGCTGGCGGGTTGGGAGAGGAGAGACCAATTATTTTGGAAGATATGTTAGTGATTTTCAGGAGCTTGTTTCTAGTGCTGACTGAGCATGGTGAAAAAGCAGGTGGTGCAGTACAAGAGAATGGGTTCAATATTACTTCCGTATAGAAGAAGCAGGAGGTGGTGGTGGTGGGGGGGTTTACAGTATGCAAACGGAAGAGTTATGTTGTCATTGTAAGGGATTCAAAGCTATTAAAAATAGACAGCAGCAAGGAAGCAGCTAACAGACTTCTAAAAAGCCTCAGATTAGATTCAGATAAACTTCAAGCGAGGAGAAAAGATTTACAAAAGGTCATCTTAAAATTTTGGTTTAAGTCCATTTGTCATCTGATGAGTCAGAAGAGCACTGTCATGCAGCAACTGACAAACAGCCTGAATTTCAGCCTTGCAAGCTACACGATGAGACAAGTTTTTCTTGCAAAACCTGCAAAGGGGTGTGCAGGAAAGTGATGTCAAAAACATGACTTCCTGGAGTGAGACACAAAGGAAGTAAAATTAGGAGAAAAGGACAATACAGGCTTGTTTCTCTTTAGATACGATCAGGAGCACATGACACCTAAATACATGGTTTGTTACAAATATGTCCCTATACCACTGGCTGCTACTGACAGAGAAAAGTCAAATAACACCATGAATCCAAACAACTTCAACCCACAGCACACATCTTCCTTCACATGAACCCTCAGCACATCACCAAGTATCTAGCTTGTGTTAAATGGGCCTTCAGGAGGGCTGTGTATATCCCTGTAGACTTGCTTATAGAGTCCAGAACAAACACAGGTTCATCAGAGTCAAGGAACTTGGACCAGCTGCGCCTGCTATTGTGTCAAAGTATGTGCCAGAACTGAGAAACAGAAAATCTACAGGACAACTGTAAACCTCTGCTCCCATCTCTTAATTCTACTGAAGTAGTAAGAACAATAACTAGGCTTCAGATGCATTTGATAGGCTGGTATATACAGATCATTACCTCTTAACCACAGAGAGCACAACTCCCAAAAATGAGGTCACGATATAAACTGAATGCAAGTGTGCTAAATCTGTCTCGGCTCTGCATTGTGACTGAGCACAGAAGCTTAAGAGGAAATGTTGTGCATTATCTCGGAGATGATATAAAATAATTTCCTAATGCCACACTGTTCTCTTGGTTCTATTTACTGCTCTTTACAACACCATCTGTCCGAAACAGGAAACACAGTTTGCCTTCTTCTTCATCACGCAACTCTAGTGTATGTAAATTGCTACTTACACATAGTAAACACCACATTCACTGCCTTTCTGAAATACCACCAAGAGAGCATAAAGTGACACTTAATTAACCACAAAACTGGAAATAACTGGACCCAAATGTGCTCGGGTTAATTATTACACAACTGTCCATTAGATTAGGACCAACCCATTGTGAGATGTGTCTTAAAATGCTGCTGCTGTATCAGTCTGACTATTAGTGGGACCCCCTGGCTTTGAGAGGCTGTCAAAGCCAGACAGTGCTCGCTAATGTCTTCCTACGGGTGTGACTAACAAAACACATCCACAATGACACATGCCAGACACAGGCCACTACACGTTTGTTTCTAATGAAGGTTCATTAAAATTTCTCGTGCCTTGCTGATGATTACACATAAATCTCTCTTCCAAATATGCACCCTTCCACAAAAACAATTAAACTTCAAGGACTCTATAGATTAATATTTATCACTTTTCACAGACTTTCTAAGCTCTGTGATGCAAAATTTCAGTATTCAGCTGACACAACGTAACTAAGCTTTAATGAAACATACATGTTTTTCTTTAAATAAAGTAGAAGAACTTTGGCAGTCATCCTGGGAATGTGTCGACAGATATTATGTAAAAAAAAATAAAAATATATAGTACTGCCAAGAGGTATGACAGCTGAGACAAACCTCATTCAGAGGAACCTGAATGATTACTATCAGTAGTTACAGAACTGGAGCAGAGAGCTGGAGAAGGAGAGGATGAGTGGTGTGTTTATTTGTCTCAGTACGCAGAGGGGTGTGTCTGGAATACAGAGCAGTGTGGTCCAACTCTCAGCTCACTTCCTCAATCCCTGAAACTGATACAGGTGGTAAGAGGATTACCCCGACATACGAAAGATGAGCCGACTAAAGTGAGTAAACAAGCAAGTCAGTGGGTAGATGAAGTGACTAAATAAAGAAAGAAAGAAAGCAAATAAAACCCAACCGCAACATATCACAGAGACAAAGTTCTGATGAAAAATGAGAGCAGCAGTGTTCAGGATGTCGGTAATGGTGGTAGGCTGTTAATAAGAACTCAGAAACTTCCTACAGATGTTTTACAGTAATATATTTCCAATTCAAAAGAATCAATTCTCTTTTATGCCTCTCTAAAGACCAAAAGTAGGGGCTTGCTTTTTGAACAACTACAAAGCCTTTTGGGTGCTGTCAAGGATGCGTAATCTTCCAAATTTGTTTTGATCAAGAGTGTGTGTCTACATTTTAACTGCATCTAGATCAGTATCTCAATGAGAATACCATCAATACCATACGGTAGGTGATTATATCAGTCTGGTAGCAATATTAAAAAAAAAAAAATACAATCTTGGCCCATCAACCAACCTTTCACAAAATTTTACTGAATTTTGTTGACAAGACCCTCAAAGAGGTAATGAAACAGAACCCCCTTCTCATCCCTAGTCAGGGTTTTGAAGTATCTGGATCTGTGATTTAGACAGATGTTTTATGAATGAGTACAGGGATTAAAAAAAGAAAAACATCACATACTCAGAGGAGCTCCAAACAATACAGTGTCCAAAGCCTTGAGCTGTAACTTCTGCACATGGCTGCGATCCAGGATCTTCAGAATAGAGAGTGTCAGAGTGGTGTTCTTTACAGCAAGCCTAAGAGGGAACAGACACACAGTCATTTTGCAAGAACGAAGGAAGATCAAAGGGTATAATCTATCCTTAACAAATCTTCTTCACCCAACCAATCAGATACAAAACACACAAATTAAAATAAATGTAATAAAACCGACATTGGTCGATCAGAATAGTCAATTATTTATCACTTTTATTGAAGTATTCAATTTTTACTTCTGAAAACAAAAGCCTTATATGAACAACAACATACCTGTGGTCAAGCCAAAGCAGCATATTTTTCAAAGGTCTAGTACAGTTTATATTTTACAGAAGTTGATACAGCCATGATATCCCTTACCTTGGCATGGCACTTCCATTAAAATTCATCTTGCGAAATGCATCTACATATTGTGGCAGTTCCACATAGGTGATGAGCCATTCCACCACCTCATCCACTGTCCAATTATACACTGAGGGAAAGAGGAAAAAATAAAACATAGTTACAGCGCTCATCGTTTCTCATTCATTCACACAGCTACAATTGGTTTCCATCATACAAGGTGCAGTCAGAAAGTATTAGTAATGTGTTTTTCATTGTTTTCTTCTCTTCAAACGAATCTGTTTTGAAATGACTAAAAAGGTTAAACCATTGGCTTTTATCTGAGTTTGAGGGTGTACACATCTTTATTGAATGAACAATGTACTTGCAGACCTGTAGCTTTTTCATTTCAGAACAATGCAATAGAAAACTGATCCTAAACAAATAGAAAAATTCTTTCTTGGGGCCAAGCAGCTGACCTCAGCTAAAAGGATCACGTGTTTAATTTGCTACAGACTGGATGCAAAAAGTCCCAAAAACCAGCAAGGGCATCACACGGGAAAATAAAAGTACTGGCGTCTGTGGATCATAGACTTCAGCAGTCAGTGATTACAAAAACAATTGCAACCAAATATTAAAAATGATGAATGTAGTATAGGTTGTGTGAACTTGTTTAAATAATGTTTGTCCTGTAATGTCCCCCTGTTTACCTACTACATTGTTTGATTTTAAACCCAAAATACAGAGCCAGAACAACATGAAATATAACACTTTTTAACTGCACAGTATATACAGCTTGACACACAAGTACATCATAGGACCATGTGCATCCAAACTCTGAATAATCTATAGAAAAAGGTATCCTATGACATAACATACACTGGCTTCCCCATAACTGGGGAAGGAAAATCCACTCCCCAGCTCCTGGCAGACAGTCAATAATGTGGGCTGTCTGTGTTAATGTGTTGCTCCCCTGAACAAAAAACCCAGTTTCCTGGCTCTAAATCTCCAGAGCACTGTCAAGAAACTGCAATGCAGTGTAAGTCAGTACCACGAGCGAAAAAGGGGACAAAGGCAGCCAGGGGAAAGGGTGTGAAGGGTGCGAGTGCCAGATACAGCACAGCATATGAAAAGGGCTCTCAAAGAGTACAAGATAACTCAGCCAAAAAGATAGGCAGAAGGAAGTAAGAGTGAATTTTGTGCTGACAGATTCAATGATGTCCACTCTGCCACTGGCTGGAGCTGATAACTAGGCTGTTCTTTGCTTGACAAGCCGTCTGATCAACTGCTTTGCTCCTTTGTTGAGTGAGTGAGAAGGTCAAGCATGGGTAATATATGTCAGTCAAAGGGAAATACAAACTGCCATTAACACGCTAATGCCCGGACCAACAATCAAACAAACTCACAAGAAATGTTTCATTAAAAATAACAGCCATTAGCAGCTCAATATCAAACATGGTGTACAACACAAGATTCACAGTCTACAACTCGACTCATAAACACAAAAAAGATCTGGGGGAAAAAAGGCATGTTTGTGGAGTCCCAGCTGGCCTTATAGGGAAAAACCATGTCTCAAAGCAGTACCTTCAGAAATCTTCCATGCGTTCCACAAGTCCTCCACACTGATGAACTGGTCATCCCCATGGAAGCTGTTATGCTTGGCTTTGGGGTCATGGTAGTTCAGATCTTCTCTCAGGAACTGCAGTATGACAAGGATGTTTGCAGTGGTTACAAAGATTATCTTGCACTTGCAAGTGTTAACTCACAAGTACTTATACATGAAAGCTGCAAAACTGAATTATTGACACAATCTCAGGATACATAACTTTAGTTAACTTAGTTTGACAAGTGATGCATTGTAGAAGTTCTCCTTCACCTAATCCATCAATTAAATATCATCAGATCATTGTAAATACGCACATCCTACACAACACAGACAGTATGTCTGAGTGGGGGTTGATTGAATAAAATGCATGAATAACTGGAGGACAAAGAGCACATTTTGTGTTGGAAATTTGCTGCTGAGGGCTTCTAATTTATTGTGAGCACTGTACTGTGACCCGTTTCACTACTGTGGTCTTTATGACCTCCATAAAAGAGGAAACACAATTCTTGTGGCTTATGTGTGTATTTGCTTCACTGACTGTGAAAGAGACATAAAACACCATAAATATCTCAACCATATACGACCTAAAAGTTACTGAGATTTTTCACTAACTATACTACACTACAAGGGTAGCCTAGATCTTCCTCCTCATCTGTGTTAACAGTTATTCTACATTACAACTTAAGTGTGTTGATCACCGGTGCAATTGGTGGGACAATCTCACACTATTATCACAAATTAGGGAAGGGGCCGTTCCGATCCGGTATAGGGACCGATACCAGCGTAATTCACGGATCGACATTTCCAGATCCAACCTGCGCCTGAGCCATGTCTGCGCTTTAACGTTGTCTGCTAAATGACCCACAAGTGATTCCTGCCGGCCAGTCTGCTAGCTGGCTGCAAACTGTGGAATGGATTTCCTGAAAGGAGGCGCGGCTCAAAGAGACAGAGTTATGAGACATGCCCCGACTTAGGAAATCCATTCCGCAGTTTGCAGCCAGCTTATTGCACTTTTCTTATATTTCAAATATTTGACATTTTGGGAATTGAATAAATATTGACATGACAATCAATTTGAAACCCTTACAGTCGCATATTTGTTTTCAGAATGGGATTTTTCCTGTTAACAGGATTTCCTGTTTTTCTGACTTCCTTTTCTGACCTTACACTTACCTCAAGTTGCCTTTTGGGACATACATGCATACATACATAGCATACTTGCCAGTTGAGGAGTTTATTTCAGCCTCATATAAAATTAACAATAATGATAATAACAATATTAAAGCAAACAGAACTCTGGTATCGGAATAGTATCGGGTATCGGCAGATTTCCAAATTCAGGTATCGGGATCGGATTGGAAGTGAAAAAAATGTGGATCGGTGCATCCCTATCACAAATCATATCCATAATGTTAATTACTGTTATGGAGTGCAGAACAAAGTTTTGGTGAGCAGGCATATTGAGAATGGAAATGTGGTGTGTCTGATCGGCAAGCTGGTTTGTAATTAAGGACTTAAAGTTCACTCTTTATTTGTAATGAACGGGCTGAACGCGTGGACATGCCGCCCTACCAGAAACATTTCAAATGCACAGTAGGGCGCAGATTTCAGAGATTATTTTAGTAACCTAGTTCTAATAGTAAGTTAGTTAAAATTGTCTTAATAGCATCGAAGGAAAAACCAGTCGGTGCTTTACGATCCAATCGGCAATCAAAAAAGTTTAACTTTACCTTAATTATATATTTATATATAATATACCTAAGATATATATACTATAATATATATACCCTAACCCTGTCAAAGATATGAAATATCTAGAGCCGTCCCCTTATAGTCGACTAAACTGTTAGTCGATGAAAAGAGTCTCAGTCAACTATAATGTATATGTGTGTGTATATATTTGTTTATATGTTTGTTTTAGTGAAGTTGGAAGTTATTTACTCCGTCTTTTGAACAACAAGACTTGTGTGATGTTGTACTGTGTTGAATTGAAATTGAAGTGAAATGTTCAGTCTCCTTGCTTGTTGTTCTGACACAAAGAATCATTGCCATTTTTTCTGTTATCATTTACAGGCGGCTGTTAATATGAATATTTAAATAATCAAATTAATATCATAACGTTTGACGACTAATTGACTATTGGCTTTAACTAACAACTACTATTCAACTTGTAACATCTTTAGTTGGGGACAGCCCTAGAAATGCCCTAAAATAATAGAAATTTCTAACCGTTCAGGGTAACAAAACAAACCCAAAAGACTTTTTGCTATCTCTGTTTGAAAATAAGAACCCTGCATCCTGTACACGAGACACCATGGCACATTAAATGGCAAAGAGCACCAAGATTTATGGCACACAATTACATTCTCACCCCCATTGGAGTGGTATTGCTCACCGACTACCGAATGGAACCACACTACTGGTTGCCCACTAATGGAACCACACTACTGGTTGCCCACTATATTGTAGGCTTGCTCAGTCACCAGGTTTTTAAAAACAACTTGCACTCCCACTGCAACTCATGCAACATGGGTGGAAGACAGTTATAAGTCATGATTCCTTTCTTTCTTGATAGATTTGTGTGGGAGGATTTCACTACAGGGTAGAGAGATGGTCTGTACTGCAGGTGAAATAACACAAAATATGTTCATTGGAAAATTAGCAGGACCTGTATAATGTAGTAAAGGCCTGAAGCTTATTCTTAAAAGGCAGATGCAGACTTTGATCTTGGTCATAGAGAAAGCAACTATCTTCTTTGTTTAATCACTGTATGATAACAGGAAGCCGGACTACTGTCTTGAAGTGCTCTTAATCGTTTTGAGCTCTCCATTTCTCAACTCAAAGCCACTACAGATGTGAGCGTTCACTGTACTGCACTTGATTCTTTGCCTTCGGGGTATTTGCATGCCAAGTGCCTCTTCTCAAAGCAGAGAGGGCTGCAGTGATGACGCTGCCTCTGCTTTGGTCTGGCCTCAACTACAGGCCAGACAGAATCAAACCGAAATAAGGCTCCAAAGGAGGCCTCCTTAAGTCCACAACATGTAGTTTAGACTAGAACTCAGGATGTAAGCTAAGTGGACTAAAGGCAGTGTCTTTAAGGCACCAGCAACAGACCCGACCTCTGATGAGCATTAAACAGCTGTCAACGGACATAAGCTGTAACGGAACTGTTTATAATGAGCTTTCATTGCAATTCACTGTATTGAAAAGAAAAAACTATTCTTCTTGCATTTTAAAAATACAAACCACATAGTCTGATTAAAAGGTACACCCTTACAATTTTGTACAGTTTCACAATGTGTTTGTACAAATGTAGCAACATCAGTGTCTACAACATGCATGCCAGCTACAACCAGACTTAACGTGAATTAGGTTAATTATTGAACAGAAACAGATTAAAAACATTTTTAAAAGCACCGGAGCGTAAACAGAACTTAGTGTAAATCCAGTTACTCAGTGAAAGTTATGGTCATTACAGGGCTATGATTAACTGACCATCTTAGCAGCAAATCCTATGACAAGTCAGATGTCAGAGGATTACAATAATGATACCTGTGAGCCTCTTCAGACTGAACGAAGCCAATTCTGTGACCATGCAAACCAGAATGCCCCCCTCAACAGAGCATCAGCTCCGGTTGATGGTGACTTTTTAGGCTGGTACTTACGCCGTCTGTCTCTGCCACATCTACATTGCCGTTTGCGTCATCATCCATCTGCTTGTGGATACTACGGATAGCTTCGTAGCTGAGAAAGGCGTTCTCATCCTTGCATAGTGGCTCATCGATGCGACAAAAATCTGGTGGAGAAACAAAGCCATATTAAGATGGTGTTATGGGGCAGCTTTAAAACTCGCGTCTCACCACAGATTCATCAAATTATAGTCACACTTTTGGTATTACTATCACTACTACTACAATTATTATGCATGTCTAAACAAAATGCCTTTACAGAACATTTTGGTTTAACTTTGGTTATCAGTCATCATCCTTCCTGTTGCTATGTAATAAGTAAAACTCAATGTGTTGATCTATGATAAATTCATGTTTTTATAATATAATAAATTAAGAATTAAATTAAAAATAGAAACAGCCAGCTGTGTGAGAACAGGTCATCTAAAAATACATAGACACAATGTAAATCAAGCATTGAAATGATCAAGTTACTGAAGTACTCATATTAGCTCAATACTACAATAGCTCTCTTAACTTCAGCTAATCCTGGTTTTTCAACCTCTTGTGCTTTTTGTGCAGAAAAGTCAGAATTCAAGGTCCCCAGATGGACCACCCTCTTGCTCTTGTAAAGATCAGTAAACTGCTAAATTCTCTGGCTAAAAACAAAGCCTTGTTTATGTAAGGCCTTTCACTCAATGTGGGGATGTTACCAAGAAGCTAGATACCATAACTGTCAGACCTTCTGTATTGACCCAAAACAGGCCATGCCACAAGGCGAATTGGCCTTTAATAATTATGGGCTCCCTTTTATTTTTAAATCTATCCTCAATGTGGATTTCACAGTGCTGTTTTATTATCAGAAAACTTGGGTTTGTTAGTTGTTGTTGATGTTGTTTATGTTCAACTGTATTCGGCATTTTGACACTCAGGCATCAGTAACAGTGTGTAGGGCTCTACAATTAATTGTAGATAAATCAAAAATGGACGTTTCCGTGATAAATTATCATGTAATTTAGCAATTTGTACATTATCTAGTGAAGCCTGTCTGTCCTCTGTGTACCCTGTCCTTCCTGAGGGATTCGAAATCCTCTGCCACAGATCAGAGATAATGCCGCCACTCCCACAAAGAGGAAACCTTGTTTGGCATGTACTGCAGCCACAGAGGAGCTGTGTGAAAGGCCACGGCATGCTACCTGCATTACCAGTGGGTTTAAATGTGAATTTGAATTTAAAGCAGCAAAGTAGTTTAAGTGGATTCACAAGAATACTGCCCTGAAACCTTTAGAAGTGCATATTTTATTTAATTAATTTCAAGTCTGTCTTATATAACCTCTCTGTTCTATGTGCTGCTGGTCCCTCAATCTCAGGGAGGCCCTTTCCTGGTTATATAAGTTATATAAGACTCATGTCACGGTATGCTTTATTGTGTATTTCATTTAATTATAACTTCATAAGAGGAAGGTGACAGTGAGGGGGATTTTGGCCTGGCTCACCAAAAAAGTGGCTTGCCCTTCCTAAGCTTACAATAATGTGCAATTACATAAAAATCTGGACTGAACTTTTTAAATCACAAATGCTTCAGTTTTATCGAATAAGAGAAATGCATTTTTGTGTTACCTGCGTTACCCTCACAACAAAATGGTGTAGCAGTACGCAAAAATCTAATTCACTTCCCCTTTTGTAAATAGCCACGCTCAAAGTCCATATATCTCAATTGACACTGCTTCATCATTAATTACTGTCACCCACACAATGGTGTATAGTCAGAAAGCTGCAAGCATTTGGTTTGTGTTGTCCTGGCATTTACAGTGTAATACCCCCTCCCACTGTTAAACTGATCATACCAATCCACATTTCCTTAACTCCCAGAACCACATGTTATGACAGGTCGACTTCAGTGGTTAGAGAGACAAAACAGATACTAAACCATGTCACAGATTAATCTCTGCAACAGTCACTGTGTCCATGAATGTGAGTCTATGAATGGTGTTGTAGTTACCACACCGTGCCTTATACATTTCTCTACATGAAAACACTAAACCAGAACTAGGAAGCCTGGATGCACAACGCTAACTTCCGCATAGCGAAAAGTGAATTTTTGAGCCACAGTATGCAAGCATTCAGCTTCAGAGAACCTGCAAAGCCACATACCAAAAAGGCAATTACTCTCTCACACTCACACTCGTTCACACTCAGCATGTTAAACAAAGAATGACAGTTACCCTTGTGAAAGCCTACCACCTGCAACACTCTCATACACCCAACCTGGCCCTCTTTCTCATTTGGCTTGCAAACCTCCGGAGACACAAGATAAGATATTTACATACCAGTCAGCCTTTTTTTTTTTTTTTTTTTTTTTAAGAGCTCATGTTACGCAAGTCATTCTGTGTGCCTGCATGTAGATGAAGGACACACTCCATAACTTTGTCACTTCATAACTCAACAGTTATTATATCTTGTCACTATTCAGAATAATTGTCAAGCTTTTAAGATTACCGTCAAGAATAAACTCTTAAACATCTTGGGGTTGTTGGGACATATGGGGACACATCAGTAAAAATGTGCTTCGAATGCAAAATGCGTCTGAGCAACTTGGACAATGTTGCAACAGTTCCTGCTAAACCACCCTGTTCAGCTGTGCTAACAAAAGATCGCAAGTGAGCACATTTGAAGTGGTGGGTGCCAAGTTATTGCTAAAGGTATAGTGAATAAAGTGAAGTTAAATATTTAGAAACGTTAATCTGTGCCGTGCATTTGGTAAAGAGGTAGACATTCGTACGCTAGTACTCTTACAAAAAAAATATGTCACAATATGACACAACTGGCTCATACTTATCCTGAGCAGAGTCGGGTTTCATAGTTTACGGTCTGTTTTCTAGTCTTAAGATACACTCGACAGATGCAACCACTGTCATCACTCACGTGAAATCTCTACATGGATTGAGGCAAGATATGACTTCAGTGATAAAGGACCTCATTTAACAATCTTTGTTTCTTTTAAACTAAATATAGTGCCATAAGTCACTGCAGCAGTAAGCTCTTATGAGAGGCTTTCAAATGAATCCTACCCATTGCTTTACGTAGAAAAATGTTGGTGACACCCATGTTTAGAAGTGCAAATACAGGACGGGAGTGTCTACAATAACTTATAAAAACTTGCGCTACGTCAACTATTTTAATTTGCACAATTAAAGTTTAATGGCGAATAACAAATGATGTTGTATTGTAAGTACTGTAAGTATTGTACAGCCAAATGTTGAAAATATATAAACAATGTATTGATCCTAGATCCTAGATTATTACCAAACGCTTCAGAAACTACTTAAACCTCTGCTGACTCACTCCACTAACCATTAGGTCAATTACCTCCTGTTAGAGTAGCTACCTTGATCTTTGTTGGAGGAGAGGGCTTATTGGAGAATACCAGCTGGACTATTCTCAGCATGGCTACATATAGTGTCTGCACAATCACCAAGACATGGCACGGACAGTGATACTCCAAACTATAGTGTGTGTGTGTGTGTGTCTGCTTAGTTTAACAGGTGGATATACAAATAGCCTATTAAGAATTTAAAAAAACAAATGAATGCCCTGATTGATTACTCACCTGACACCCCATTTTCAACAATCTGACTGTCCGGTGTAGGTGAACTTAGTTTCTCAGTCCAACTTTCTCCAATGAGACACAGGAAAAGTATCCACAAGGTCACCAATTTGTTGAACTCCATGACTGGTGTATGCTGGAAAGAAGACACAATGAGATTAAGTCTAGCATTACGAATTTCCATTATTTCCGCCAGAGTTATTAATCCATTAAATTTCAGTCATAATTAATAAAAACAATGCGGCTACTTTGTCTCTCAGAACACGTGTGGCATCTTTATCAAGGGAATGAAACAGCATTAATCGGCTTAACCAAGAAAGACATAAAGCTTCGCTGCAGCAACTACATAACACATGCTATCACTTTCTCTCTTCTACCTTAATGAATGAATGTAACTCACTCGTTAGCCTGCTAATACCTGGCTTCAGCTAAAGGGGAAGCCTTTTTAAAAAAAAAAAAAAAAAAAACAAAAACAATTTTATTTGCTATTTTTAGCTGTGGCTTCTCGGTTCACGGCGGCATGTTTGCAAACACATGTCACTCAAAGAGCAAAAATAATACGAATATTATAATAATAATAATAATTTAAAAATAAAAAGCCTTGGTGGCTTGGTGTCTGACAAGCACCGACTAGCAAGCTAAACACCCCAGCTAACTAGGAAATGAAGTGAAATATCCGAGAAAAGGGGGAGTAACATTTACAACCGACGCTTCCGTCTTTTTCTTTCTTTTTTTTTTTTTTGTCGGTTTTAACGTGTCGCTGTCGACCGTTGGTGCATTTCGTACACACGCACACGTTAGCAGCCGTTGACGTTTCGCTATAGCTAGCCACCCAGACACAAGGGGGGGGCGGTTAATAAAAGAGCAACTGTAGTGTTTTTAAAAAGCCAGACTAACTAACCACAGGGGGCATCGCTGTTAATGCTCGAATAACTACAATATAAAGTTACCTTGTCATGCAGCTGGAGCCAGCAGATGTGTAGTTTCAGCCGTGTGTTAACATTGCGGCAGATTCCTGCTCACCTGGAGTTTGAAAGCACGGCGAACTCCACCTCCTGTGTACGAAGAAGAAGAAGAAGGAAAAAAAAAAAAAAAAAACAGAAACCCCACAGGTCTCGGTCTTTTCCCCCGACCGACCGAGACTGAACCCAAAAAGCCGCAGAATGTGGCACAGACAGTGGGCTTGTCTTCCTCTACTGCCGTGGTTATCGTCGGCAAGTGTCGCCCCCTATCGTCTGGAGTGTGTACTGTACCAGCAGGTTGTGTTAATGTCCACAAATCTGATGAAGGTTGCCATCTAGTGGATTGTTTAAGGCATCACATTGGGACACTCGGCTTTGTCTCCGAGCACCGACTTAAAGGCAGGCTTTGGGAGTAACGGATTACATGTAACTGAGTAATCAGGATACAAAAAAATAATCAGATTACATTTTTTAAGTATCCCTCGCAACCATGCTTAAAGATTTGACACCTCTACTCCCCACAATGGACATAAATTACACACTATGAACTCAAGTTTATATATCTCTAATGAAAATAGGTCAAAATGTAAAATATAACGATATCTGAATTTGTATAGTGGTAATAAACATACCAATAAACAAAAAAAATAATAGTTTTCATCATTATGGGCTGATGTGAACATGTTTGTACACAGATATGTGTCTGCATGTGTGTAGATGGGTATACAGTATTTGTATACATATATGAGTGGGCAGTGTGTATATGTATATGTAGACTTTGTTGTTTTTAATCTTAGAGATGGATCCTCCCATGGTTTTTTTTATAATAAAAAGTAAAAAATAAAAGTAAATAACATAAAAACATCAGAAACTAGGAAAATCACAGGTTGTTGAATTACATTTAGCTGCCTCAGTTTCAGGGTCTTGGTATTGCACACGCTGGCTCTGTGTCACACTGTCATGGCTTATTGGGACACTTGAACGCAACACAGCCAATGTTAACGTTATTAGTAACACTTGTGCTTTTCCCACAATCACAGGTTAAAGTCTCTGCTGTGAAAAATGCCGATCAAATATGTTGTTGATTGACTTTTTGAAGCATAATCTTGTGATAATATGGTCATACTGAGATATTACCTAATTCTGCTGTCCGCATGTGTATAGGCGAGTATACAGTATTTGTATAGATGTATGAATCGGCATGTACAGTATGTGTGTGCGTATGTATATGTAGACTTTGTTGATTTTATCTTAGAGATGAATCCTCCCATGGTTGTTTATATCTAAATTAAAAGAAATAAATAAAAGTAAATATGATGCCGATCAAATATGTTGTTGATTTACTTTTTTTGTGGCATAATCTTGTGATAATATGGTCATACTGAGATATTAAGATTTAAGATTTAAGATTTACTTTATTTATCCCCTATTGGATAAATTATTTTCAACATAATTCTGCTGTCAATTATAATCCAAAAGCTATTGAAGGTTTTGACATATTTGAAGAGTTTTGTCTGATGTGAAATGATCAAATTGATGTTAAGGCAATTCACTTTGTTCCAGTGTTGTGTTTTACATGTGATTTTCTATCATTTGGAATATTGCTATATATACTGATATCAGGAAACTGTTCTAAGTAATAATGCAAATACGTCAACCATCCCTATTTGCCTTCCTTTGTCTGTGCTCTCTGTATGTTGGATTAGTCTGATTCACCGTCTTGCGACAAAAATGAGACCTCCAGTTCTTGGCCAGTACTTGCATCATCAGTGTCGGTTCAGGGGTGGGGTGGGGGGATGAAACTCATATCTAAACATCGTATTTAGAGTGGATTTACATTACTATCTCATAAGGATGGAGATACTGCACAGTGGTGCATAAAATAACAGTGTAATAATGTATATGCTGTAAGTACTGTGTTAACCAAAGAAACATTACAGTGATTTTCTGTTTATACATGGCCACTGGGTTTTTATCTAGCAGCATTAACCTTTGGGTCACATAACCAAAGTGTGATCATAATACCTGCATCAGAGCCACATGTAGTACAGATGTTGGATAGTATTGTAATATAAATGAATATCTTAATCTATGAGTCTTTTCACAACAGTTTTTGATTTCAAAATGAAAGATGAGATGACTTGAACTGTCACTTTACTTTGGCACACATACAGTATAACCACACTTTTTTTTTTTTTAATTGTACAAAAGTTGAAATTTCACATTACAGAAATACATTACTGTATGTAGGTGAAGGCATCCATGAATGTGACAAAGAGGCAGAAAAAATGCACTTACAGCTAACTGAATAGACCATACAGTAGCACATGTGCATATCTTTTGTTCAGACTTGTCTGACATCTACGCCCTCTAAGGACTCATATTGGAAATATATGAAAAAGGCCTTCATCCCATTGTTCCTCTTGAGCAGGATCAAGGCTGCTGTCATCAAGTGGTTGAGTGGTTGTACATTTAGCACTTAGTCCTTGAGTTTCTAGTCAGAAGTCTTTATCTTCAGAGGATGAAATGATCATGACCTCTCGGCTCTTGAAGTCCCACACTGCTGTGAGATGGAAGGCCATGTTGGAGAAGACCACTAGATACTCAAACAGGGCAAAGAGTGTGTAACCTGTGGAAAGAAGAAACAGGGGCAAATGATAAGCACACCATTGCATATTAAACCAAAACGATCCAACTGATTTAATACTTACTCCCCGATTCACAGTACATATTGTGTTTCACATAAAAGAAGCCAGCAAAAACACAGAAGGATACGTTGAGAAGTAAGAAACGCACTTTCCAATGGTAAGACTTGGCATCCTATTAGGGAGAAAAAGAAACAGTAATAGTGAATCGAACTGACATACATGAGGGATTTCAGTCTGCTGTGTGTGATTTGGCATTTCTTACCTCAGGACTTAATGAATACTTCTTAATAGCCTTCCATAAGCGGCAGGTTATCAGCATGTGGATGATGGAACTGAAAATGAAGAGGACAAAACCTTCCTTGTGTACAACTGAGGAGCAAAAATACAAAGAGAGAGGGAAATTTGGCCATTAAAGGACAGTAATTGTAATAATGAACTGCCAAATGAGAGTTAAACTTTAAATCTGTATTGTACTTGAAAGGATTGAATGTATAATACTTTGCTGTTCCTCTTTTATTACTTATTTAAAGTAAGGTTCCTTATTTTACTAAACAGATGAGGGAGAGTGTAGGCTTGATTTGTAGCTTTCATAAACCATAAAAACCCATTTAAAAGCAACTTCACTACTCACAGTATGTCTCACTGGATGATACATATGTGAGGAGCAAGAGGCCGAGGTTCTCAGTAATAGAAAAGGCCAGGTTCAAGCAGCTGAGCGGACTCTCAGGGAACCTCGAGGCAAAACGCGTCTTGTAAAATCTGAAGTAGGTGAACGCCACCAGGAACCTCGGTGCTGAGTGCAGTCCGATGCAGAACCGCCATATGTGGCACTCAGGACTTAGGCTTATCGAGGCACTGATAGATGGCAGGTAATTAGGAACCTGGAAACGCACAGTAATTTGATTTAGTCGAGTTCATAAATTGCCAGAGGAAAAACATGGGAAATCAGGACATTACCTGGCAGTGTGTACCGGTAGAGTCGTCAAAGTGAAAAACAAAGGATATGAAGACACAAGTTATTAGTCCGAGCAGTGGCAGGCACACAGTAACCAGAACACAGGTGGTGAATGATGCCCTGATGACCAGGGGTCTCTCATGCCCCAATATATTTGAGCCTTGTAGCATCTTGGTCTGAAACAGTGAAAAAGTCCAATTTAAGAAAATGATCTTGCAAAGGTGATCACACACAGGTAATAACTTTGTAATAAGTCAACATATAAACCTATAACAAGCTACATATGGATATGAATAGAACTATTGGTAATTATTTGGGGACATTTTGATACATATGCATGCATTAACTGATCATCTCAAGTGACCTACCTCCACTAGGTCTACTGTATATACAATTATTTCTACACACACTTGGCTATTTAAATAACATGAATCATATGAGGCTGCAGGATGGACCCGAATACATACAAGGTGCAGTGTTTAAAAAAAAACAGCAGGGGATCATCCAGCCATTTCATAGGCTATTCCTGCGACATTTCTGCATCCACTATATTTCAGCTGAATGCGCCCAGAAGATGACAATAGGCCCGCGGATGCAACATCTTCCTTGTGCGACAGCCATCAGGAGGAAGATACATGAAAAACGCCCGCACCCGGAAGAGAAAGTGAGCGGAGGAGACTGCTGAGGTAACAGCGTTTGGGCGGAGCCGCCTATTACAAATAGCCCAATGTACAGATCACAGAGCATATGGCAAAAAAAAAGAGATATATGTATAGAAACATGTCTTACAATAACAATAACAATAATAATAATAATAATAATAATAATAATAATAATAATAATAATAATAATTAGCCACAATTTAAAAACTAAAACAGCAAAATTAGGGGTTTCTTCAGTGTTATTATAGGATTAAGCTGAGGGCTCTCCGTGGTGCTGTAGGCTAAAAAAGGATCGACTTTAATTGTCGTTTTTTATTATTATTTTCCCATAAACATATCCTATTAAAAACACTGCAGGCTGTGTGTGTGCGTGTGTGTGATGTGCGTACGGGGCTAACGTGTGGCGGCTGCCCCGCCTCTCTCTCCGTTTTGAGTATTATCGGTGCACTTGCTCCAGTACAAATACTCAGTACAGCTGCATCCGCTATCAGACTGACTATACTTTCTGTTTCTGGTTTTTAGAGAACCAAATTTGCTGTGCACAGAGCAGCTCCAATGGTCTTTGGATCGACATCATTTGTTTCAGCAAGATGAAACTATGGAGAATCCAAACTTTATTTTTCTTGCTTCTGTGTGTCAGTGTTTTGCCAAGTAAGTTTCCATTCATTTTTATTTTTCAGTTTACCTCATGTGATCGAAGATGCTGATTGATGTTGGCTATTTTCTCTTTCAACACTGTGCCAGAAAAGATGATGGGATGTTGAGAATATTTGCATAAAATATTGTTATATTGGTTGTATTTCATTTTTATTAACATCATCATTGTTTGAATCTTTTTTGGGTCTGAGATTTCCTCTCAGATTTCCACTCCTCTCCCATGCAAGCTGTTACCCAGAATTCACCAACTTGGAGCCAGTTGTTGAGGGATTTGCTATCATCATAATCCCATAGACCGTCTTTGTGTCAGAGGCTTTATTGAAACAGTGTTTCAGGGTTAACATCTGGCTATCCCAAATCCATTGTTGACACTGGAAACAAGCTCCAGTCAGAATATGAAGGATAGCGTTTCCATTTTAAAAAGTAATCACAGCCTACATCTCCTCTCAGGTTTCCTGGTAACTTTGGATTGAATGTAGAAGTGGGATGAATAATTTCCTTATAAAACATGAACAACCATATCAATAAAAGCTCTTTTGTTGAATTATTATTAGCATTGCTGTTTTCACAGCACAAGATGTTTAATCTCCCTGTTCAGGCTCAATTTTATTTCCATGGATTAAGCGTTCAATCAACACATGCTAAACTCCACATACACTGAACTGATCTCTGAACAGAGATAGATGCTGCTAGTACATTATGACAGATTTGCCTGATCTCTTTCTAGAGCTTTATAGAAGGGCAATCCACCCTGACATCCCCTTTGTCCCCTTACACCATCTGCCATGCATTCACATTTTCTCTCATCTTTACCATTTCTTCCCACCTCAGCATCCACATCACTGAGTTCGCTCTGAATATCACTGGAAAATGTATAGCTCAAAAATGATCACATCAGAATGTCCCTTTAACCAAATGTTTAATTTTGCCATAATGATATGACTTCTCTCCCTGTCTTAGCCTGTTGGTGTGCTCATGGGAAATACGCTCAGAAGCTACTGAATGATTTATTCACCAACTATACTAGTGCGCTGAGGCCTGTGGAGGACACAAACAACATACTGAATGTGACCCTGCAGGTTACACTGTCACAAATTATCGACATGGTAAAACAACACAGTGCATAAATCACGGAAAGATTGTATGTGTGAAAATAATCTGTGCAGATACCCACGCAATAGCATCACATATGTCTGTTTTACTTGTGATATGTCCCCTGTTGTTGTCAGTTATTTTCTATAATTTCCAATGTTTTACAGGATGAGCGAAACCAAATTTTGACAGCATATTTATGGATACGGCAAGTGTGGGTTGATGCATACCTCAAATGGAATAAAGATGATTACGATGGACTCGATACCATCCGCATACCTAGTAGTTATGTATGGAGACCTGATATAGTCCTATATAACAAGTAGGTCGGACTGGTATTGGGTTAATCATGCAGTTATTATTGGGTCAGTATAAAAGGCACAAGCTGAACATTCCTTGAAACCATTATTTATGGGAGTGTCCAGGCCTTTGTCTGCTTTTTATAAATCAGTAATATAACTTATAAGAATCCAGACACAATAACACATATTGACATTTTACAGTTAAAATCAGAAGCTGGAAGTATCACCTGAGTTGATGTGAGGCCAGAGAGCAAGAGATGCCACTGATTACATTCCACTGATTACGAAAACCTGAAAACAGCTCATACTATGTATACCCAAACATATTCGAACACAAACACTTTTACTGAAAAGATATAAAATGCAGACATAACCCTGAGGAATGAGTACAATTCTCCTAAATGTGTTGACTCTTCCTTCAGTGGGTGTACTTGTGCCTTTGTATCCTGATCAAGTCTCAAACAATTCTCCTGCAAATGACAGCTGCTCTTCAGTGTTTCTTTTAAAGGTATCCAAAGCACTGCTGCTCTCATTTCTTTTTCCAAACCAGTTTTATTTGTCTTTCAGTGCTGATGACCATTTCACTGGCCCCATGGACACCAATGTGGTGATCCGACATGACGGCCAGATAATGTGGGATTCCCCAGCTATCACCAAGAGCTCCTGCAAAGTGGACGTGTCCTTCTTCCCCTTCGATGCTCAGCAGTGCAGGTTCACGTACGGCTCCTGGACCTACAACGGTAACCAGCTGGACATCCTGAACGCCATGGAGAGCGCTGACCTGGCTGACCTGGTGGACAATGTGGAGTGGGAGGTGCTGGGTATGCCAGCTAAGAAGAACATTATTCAGTATGGCTGCTGCGCTGACCCTTACCCTGATGTGACCTACACACTGAAACTGAAGAGAAGAGCTTCCTTTTATGTCTTCAACCTGCTCATACCATGTGTGATGATCTCTTTCCTGGCTCCGTTGGGCTTCTACCTGCCTGCTGACTCTGGAGAGAAGGTGTCTTTGGGTGTCACTGTGATGCTGGCACTCACGGTCTTTCAGCTGTTAGTTGCAGAGATTATGCCACCTTCTGAGAATGTGCCGCTTATTGGTGAGGGCAATGAAATGGGGTCAAATCCCAACATATCTCACAGGTTGTATGTGGAAGCAGCTTATTATGACCCATATTTATGTTTATGTTAGACTGCGACTGCGACTGCGACTGCGACTAGTGGCTGTAGTAATTATGGCAGGAGCAAAGGTTGAAGTCAGGTGACATAGTATAAAAACTCCATCTAGGAAGGAAGTAAGGGTGGATGGATGGGTCAATATTTGTGTCCCATGTGAAACCAAAAGTCAACACTAACTTATGTAAATTAATTTACCATGGGTGGAGGGGGGGGGTTGGTTTCTGGGGCTCCAGCCATGAATATTTTCTCAAAAAACGTAAAGCTTTTTAAAATAACCTAAACTTTGATTCATTTGCCCTCAGTCTCTCTGACGGGAACTTCTATTTCCTCAAATGGCTTGAAAAACAGTTCATATAGCTGTTGTAAATGGGGAGGTTTCCTAGGTTTGGCTTAAACCATGTATGTCTCTGGCACTGCCCCTGTAACTTATATAACATATTTAACTTAAGTCACGTATGTGTAATTTAACTTATATAACTAACTTAGTTATTATAACCCAAACCACGATCCTTTCCTGAATCTAACCAAGTAGTTTTGTTGCCTAACCTAACCAAGTAGTTTTGTTGCCTAAAGCTAACCAAACTGCAACCATTAAACATCGTTAACCATGTGACGACGAAGGTGCGGTAGGCCTGTCGCTGGTACTCTCCAACGATCATATATGTCACTTTGGGAATGGTCATATATGTGATTTTGGGAGTCATTGGCAATAAACCTATTCAGTTGTTAAGGTATGAGGACCTGTTGTGATTTCTTAATTTCTTCCACAGGAAAATATTACATTGCGACGATGACAATGATCACAGCTTCCACTGCCCTGACCATCTTTATCATGAACATACACCACTGTGGCCCGGATGCCAAGCCTGTTCCCAAGTGGGCTAAGACAGTCATTCTGCAGCACATGGCCAGAATGTGTTTTGTTTATGAAGTTGGAGAGAACTGCATGTCGCCACAGTCGGAGAAACAGGAACCTCAACTTCCGAAGAACACCACCTGTACCATGAATGGTCAGGCAGGACCATGCAGGGAAATGGAGAGAGGACAAGACACAGTTGGCTCCATGACTGCAGAGGAAAGGGAGGACATTGATCAGATGATGAGTCCGATAGGCTCGATGGGGAAGAACCCTACCAACCAATACAGTACTTGGAAGAATGGCATGTTCATGAGCATGGACTGTGGAGATTCAGGGAGTCAGAGGAGATGCAGGAAGGGAGGTGTGAGTGATGGAGAGAGAAAAGACAGAGGGATCTGCACCCAAAGCAATGACAAGCAGCTGCTGCGTAACATCGAGTACATAGCCAACTGTTACAGAGATCAGAGGGCCACTCAGAAAAGAACAGGGGAGTGGAAGAAAGTCGCCAAAGTTTTAGACCGCTTCTTCATGTGGATATTTTTTATAATGGTGTTTCTCATGAGCCTTCTCATCATGGGCAAAGTCATCTAATTGCATAACTGAGAAGTGAATTTTAAGTGTTAATTTGTGTATATAAGAGAGAGATTATTACAGTTTAGCACAGGATTCATGAAGCACTATATTTTCCCCATAATTAACATTAAGATTTTTTCCAAACCTCATAGAAATGGTCCTTTCTGGAGGTCATGTCATCACTGACCCATCTATAAGTAGAAGTTTATATTCGATCAAGTTCTTGCCTATAGGCTTTGTTGTTGACAACTTGCATTCCCCAACTTTTGTCCTAGTGCTGTGTGAAAGTTACAAAGCTCAGCTGACAGATAGCTAGACTATTGGCAAATCAATACATTTTTCTACTGATGGCATTTCCACAATTTTGTGCTTTTATTTTAAATAAATGAAATAATGAGTTGTTTGCAACATTTATTTCTTTGTATCTTAAAGAGTGCAGGACGAGAGGAGGTGGAGTCTGTGTTTATGATGATGATGCTTGGTGCTCAAACGCAGTCAAAGTGGATGGACACTGTTTGTTTTTATGTGAAGATGAAACCATTGTATCATCACAATTGTGTTGCTGCTGTTTATGTTCCCCAAGACGCAAACTGAAACAATGCACTGCAGAATTATTTCCTGGTTGTGTACGTGTATGTATGTATAAATAATTGTATATAGTTTATTTTTATTTATTAGTTTATTTATTAAACTATGTTATTCTATGAATTAATTGTCCTTTTATATGTGTGTAGCATGAAGGAACTGTAAACTTTGTTTTACAACCTTATTTTTTTAAAAAAAAAAAGTCTTTGATTTCTTGAAAAAATAATAAGGGATTATAAAAGCAATATAAAATAAGTGACAAATAAATATGATATCCATTGCTGCTTCATAAATTTCAAACATAATATATTTTCTTTATCTGTTACGGATATTGTGTCTCAGAACCAGAGTAAAAGGTGCCCAGCCCTGAAACCAGTTAATTATTTTACTGGAACGGTAACAGTGATGAAACAAACAACAAGACAGACAACTGTTGTTCTGATGGTGCCCTGAGGAACACTGGGTGGGTTCCAGATACTGTATTTCCAGAAGAAAAATGGAAATGTGGCTTAATTTTACAAATTTAATACATAATACAATAGACAATAAATACACAAATAATTCAGTTTGAGCATGAGGTAATAATAACTGCAATTTATGTGTAGTCTGGTGGTGAAAAATGTGAATATCAAGAGCAGGCATGTGTTCTGTACATAAAATCAGATCAAGAGAAAATAACATCTCAGTGTAACTCACTGGATTATCTGTTAATCCCCTAGATCACCACCATTTGCTTGGCTCTTGATGTGTATTATCCCTGGTCTTTATGCTGCAAAATGGGCCATGACTTTTTAATCCGAACCCATAGGAAAACAGGATGCTTCATCATCACAACTGTGAATCAGTCTTGATTTTGGGAAAAAAAAATATTTGAGAAATATCTACTGTCATGTTCAGAGAAGTAGACAATTGCTTTTCAGACAGAATTAAACTGAGGTGCAACTTAATCAGACCACAAGAGCAAGAACACCCAAGTCCCTGAGGGCCTACATGAGTGCATTACAGCAAACACAGAGGAAAGACAAGGACAGTATTTCTGGTAATATTCAGTAAATGTCTGAATATATTCAGCCTAATCTTGTGAAATTCTAGTACTCAGTATTACATACTTGTATGTCATTTTGAGATCCTGTTATTTAATGAAAAGAGTAAAATTATCTTATCTTTTCATTGAATGACAAATTCATAAAAGTAAAGTTGATATACACGACTTATACATATTAAAAGGTCAAAAACAAACAATTTAAAAAATAGTTATATTTAGGATATTTTAAATAGATAGAAATACATCCTTTGGACTCAAGAACATATGTATATTGGGTATTGTTACAAGCTTATATAATTTAATGCACAATATTATACATACATACAACAAGTAGAGGTTTTTATACTGTATTGCTGCACTATTGACAGTTTATTCTGCCTATAAGTTCAAGTCTTAAAGTAATAAGATGTTTATAATTAATATGCTACATAAAATATTACCATAATCCATGTAACTCAGTGAAAACAAATACATTAACTCTAATTGCTCATTACATTATTATAGGAGTGGAAATTGTAAATTTAGTGATTTTCACAAACTTTGCAATAATCAAAATTAATGAGACACAAAACAAGGTCCTTGAAGCTATTCTAGGATTAAGACGCAAGGTGTTGGTAGAGAGCTTGTTATTGGGGTCTAGCACACAGGTGGCCAGGGGAATTAGTATAGATGCTCATTCTACCGGCTTCACACTTTATGATGATAATCTGCTGCTGAGTTTAAACATTTGACTAATCAGGAGAAATACCAATTTATCCATAAACAACATGCAATTTGGTAACAGAAAACAAAAAACATGCCTGTTTATAATTATTATTATTATTATTATTATTATTATTATTATTATTATTATTATTATTATTATTATATACTTACAAAATATGAATATCCCATTCTTACAAGAGTATGCAGAAGGAACTGCAAGTTACATTATTGTTTGAATTGAAACAGGCATCTGTATATAAAATATCTTTGTGTTCCAGGGTTCCAGGGAGAAAAATCTGGTATCTGTGGCAGTCAGGCCTGTGTTAAAGCCCATTTGACTGTTTACCTGTGCGCTCTCTGCTTGTGCACTCATTGCACATGAAAATGTTTTTTGGAAAACTGGCTTTAGAAGCAGGCCTGAAGGGGGTGGGTGGGATTTTTTTTGGTTAGATACTTTCAAAATCTAGCTGTCTCTTGCTACTTTCTCCATCATCACCTACCCTAGCTTTAAGCAAAGTATGAACAAAAGACAGAAGGAATTAGTTTGCAGTCACTTTTCTTTTAAGTATTTGGAAAATTTTATCCCGTAAAGACCTTGTTTGCATTCCATAAATGAGTGGATTTAAATTAGCAGGAACCACATGAAATAAAATATATGCAATCTTCCTTAAATCTGGGTAATCTGGGAAACGATGCAATATGATTGTTAAAAACCCCGACCAAAGCATGATGAGGTAAAGAACAAGGTGGCTTGCACAGGTTTGCAGCGCTTTGCTATTCAGCTCTTTGTTTTTCTTGATCCAGCAGTTGAGAGCTATTCGGAAATAGGTGACAGCAATGCCTCCAATTGAGCAACTAAACAGCAGCACAGTGAAAAAGAGTCCATAGATATTGTTTATGGACACATTGTCACAAGAAAGCTTGAACAGTGATGCGTTGTCACAATAAGCATTTTGTATAACTGATCTACAACGGGACAGCCTCACTGTGAGACCTATGAGAACAGACACAAGCAGTAATGACACCCCCCATGCAGTTGCTGACAACCACATCACAGTTTTAGTGGTCATGATTGAGCTGTACCTTAAGGGGTGACATATGGCCACATATCTGTCAATTGCCATAATGATGAGAATCATATGTGAAGCTGATCCGAACGTGTGGCTGTAAAAGGCTTGAACCGCACACTGGTTGTAGGTGATAAACCGCTCTGTTGAGATGATGTGAGCCATTAGCCGAGGCAATAGGACTGTGTTACCTATTAGATCATTCACAGACAGATTACAAAACAGAATATACATCGGCTGGTGCAAACTCTTCTCAGTGATGATGAGGATAAGAACTCCAATGTTAGAAAAAAGCAGGGTAAAGTAGAAAAACAGCAGTAAGAAAAACAGAGGGTATGTGAACTCTGGAGATATGTCAAAGCCTTGGATCTCTAGGATATCTAATGAAACTGTCATGTTGCTTTCCATTTCCATTAATTTGATGAAAAACCTAAAAGAGAAAAATGTTAGAAAATGTAAAGGCAGTGAAGGGTGAAGAAATGTCTACATTGAATCATGTCAAATTGTAATTATTTATAATAATAACAAAACATTTAAATTAGCGTATTGGGTCCCATTCTGTTATTTATTTTGCATTTCATTCTTTAGCCCAAAAATACATAAATTGTACATGAACTAAAATGATTTGTGTGTAAAGACAATACTTACTTTTTTGAATATTCAGTCTCCTTCTCTTGTACAAATATTTTAATCATCTGAGCACAAATGTCTTCTGTAATGGCAGGGACAATAGCATTATAAACACAGATGAGGCAAAATGGTTGCTTTATGTACATTAAATGTTACACCACAATAATGCCTACCTTTATCCTAAACATGTGTACAATAAAGGCTCAACAAAACCTACAACTAGGCATAGCCACAGTTTTTTTATGTTGGAATAACACAAGAGCATTTGTTGTCTCACAGATGACAGTACCTTGCCGGTGGATGTGGGAATCCCGACTCAGCAGCTAGATCTTGATCTCTTTTATCTTCAGCGTGAGGACATTTGACATCGATTTACTGCCCTCCCCATTTGCGATCCAGTGTTTTACTTAACACAAGTTAGGCTCCTTGTAGTGTACCTTGTACCTTTAATTTAGCTCGTTTAGACACATATTGAAGAGTCTTGGGCAAGGTCAAAAGGTCAGAGGTCAGATGCTCCATTTTTGTGACTAAAGTCAACCTCTCTTCCAGTATTTCTCTCAATACCTCTCACGCCTAAAACCCAACAAGTAATGTAAATTAAAAAAATGTAAAACATGTCAACAAAACGGTCAGGGATTAAAATGAATGGTTTGTCAGCCTTAATTCAAATCAGTGTGCGTCACAGTTCTTTTTGATGAACAAGGCGACATTGACAATTTGATTACTGGTGGATTCACATTAAATAAAATTGCGAGTACGAAATGTCCCAAAACCCTGCAGGAGTGTGAACATCAGAATTGTGAGGCTTCACACATGATATGTTAAATATTACAGGGTGCAATGGTCTATGGAGGACACATAAATATACACTGAGTAAACAATAACACATCTAACTCTCGCTACCTGAAAAAGTAATCGTCATACACACTCACACACTGGGCCCTTAGGCCTTTCTCCAATTATAACACCTAACAAAATAAACTGCGCAACCACTGTAGGGGCCAGTCACATCAAATTTTATGGAAACAAAATGAACACTAAATGACAGAAATGTCACATAAAGAGGTTACAAGTTTCTAACTTGATTCTTATGTATAAGTGGACTTATGGGACAAATTGGAGGTTAAAACTCGCATTACCTGTGTTTGGGTTGGGAATAAAGAACCAAAAGAACAGGTATGCTCAACAAAGAGAGTCCGCAGAGAGCAGATTCGGACCATACACTTTGCTTTTCTTCAATTGCTGTACAAAAAGACCACAGAAAGTAATTAGAGGGACAAATCAATTATCAGATATATTACAAGATACTCAAGGGTCCATCTTGTCCATTTCTCTTGGGTGAGATGATTAGTCTTTCCTAATGTCCTAATGTCCTAATGTCCTAATGTCCTAACTGCCCTTTTGTGTTTATGAACAAGGTCCTCGTTCCCAAAGGCCTGCTGTGACCACTTCAGTGCTGTTTCAATTAATATTTTTCTTCTGGGAAATACAAACAAATAGAAAAAGGCTGAACAGTACAATTCTAATTTGTTATACATTTTTAATTGATTGAGAAATTTTACTTATTAATTTAAAACCGCATTTATTTTATAAAACATTGCAGATGAATGGAGGGAAAACAAACAAAACAAAGCAAACACTATGTTCTGGTACTTCAACTGTGAACTTAATCTGTTCAAATGTTTTACATGTTAACATACTTAATATTATTAAAGTTAAAGAATCGAATGTTTACAAGTTGTAATGTCACAGGTTACAGCCTCCCCTGGGTGTTATTAAGCACTCATCCTTAGCAGATAACAAGGAATCTCATTATCAACCGGAGGTCTACTAATTGTCCAGGGATTAATTTACAATGTGAGACAGTTAATAACACGTCATTTAATTATATCTCAAAGGAGCTCATTAATAAATTGTTTTGACAAAGCAATGACACATCTAGCTGATGTAACTCTGCAAATTTGTAGTGTATCTAGTTACATAATATTGTTGCAGTAGCCCTGGGATAAGACAAAAGTTGGAGAAGATCATTTTGAGTATTGATGTTGCTCTTTGATTTAGGGCTACACCGTTAATTAAAATATTATTGAAATAGTCAGAAGCTGTAATTTTTTTGAGAAAGGTCAAACAGCGTGAGTTTGATAGTTTTGTTTAGTGAAAATGGAAATTGTGATACAAAAATTATTGTTCCCACTAATCATGAAACATATTACAATCATAATATTTGTCAAAATAATTGCAATATGACTTTTTTCCCTAACCATATCTTGCAACCCTAGTGTGACATAAATGCACCAAAGTAATGGAAACTAAAGAAGAGTTAATAAGTTTGCAGCTCCAGCAAGGCGTTTGCTAGGGGTGGGAAAAATGACCCCAGTTTCAAATGCTAACCCATTAATTTTGATTAATTTAAAGGACCAGTGTGTAGGATTTAGTGGCATCAAGCTGTAAGATTTCAGATTACAACCAACTGAACACTGCTGGCATCTGTATTTGATGACCTCGGAATGAAATCTGTAGGAGAAATAGTTCCTCCTTTAAAAATATAACTTGATGATCTGTTATGGTCAGATTTTAAAAGGGAAGTTCAAGTTCAAATTTCAATGAAAAAAGAGAATGTGCTTAGACTTGGAAGTAAAACAATTCCTTGATTTCTAATGTCACCTTTATATATTGTATTATATAATGTCACCTTGATATTTCTATTCAACGCTTTACTAATGCGCCACAATAATGTAATGTTTAATTGATTGATATATGATTTAAAATATCTTCATTTGGGGGCTTTTTCAAAGCAAATGTTTCTGCCAAGTGTCACGCTACCCTCTTGTCACCCTATGAATATTTCTGTAGCCCCTGGCCTTTGTAGAAGTACTGTAATCCAATAGCTTTGATATTAGATTTGATAGTCTGTCATTAAATCGACATCCAACTCTCGCTGGATTTACAACATTCAAACTCTGAAACAGGTTAAAGTGACTATAAATCTATAAAAAATATAAAAAGCCCAGCCTCCTTTGATTGATTGTCCCACAATGTAGAGACCAAGGTATATTCAGTAAATTTGGTAATTAAGAATAAACCCACGTTTATACCTAAGGACCTATAATAAATAGGCCACTGACATTTGGTACCATCATTTCTTTAGAATGTAAGATGAAACCTAACTTCACTTTCTCTCATTCCTTTTAATAAAAGATGCTTAAAAAGTTGTTAATGATTGACAGTACTAGTCTACATCATGTGTATCATTAGTTGCATACTGAAACAGAAAACATTTGTATATAATTAATATCAAATAAATAAATAAATAAATAAAGCTATATTTGATTGAATATGTATCTACTGATCCTCTCTGTATGGCTACATTTGGTCATCAAATCAGTTAGTTGGTTAAATTAATTCATTAATTTGAAAGTAAACCCATTACATTAATTTGCGCATAATATTTCTTTATGTAACCCTAATGTAATTTGAGTTTACTTTTTTTTGTTACTTTAATACCTGTTGCACTCCATATGTTTGTTTTTTCTTTATAAACGGATCTCTTTTTTACTTCTTCTTTTACTTCTGCTGATATTATTTATCTTTGCAAAGCCACTGACAATCCCAGAGGGAAAAGGTGACGTCACAAAGTTATGGCTATGCTAACAATAAATAAAGGTGATCATTGTGGTTCTCTATACTTCATGCAGCACTACTTTGAGTGACATGTTGTATGAATTGCGACTGCTTTAGACTTGCCAATAATGTAATGTCATTGCTGTTTTTCTTCTTACTAATCTAACTAGTCTTACTAATACAGTAAAAATGGAAAACAAATCTTTTGGGTTCAACTCTGTGTTAACCCTGGACCCCTTTGTTATTCCACCTGGAGGAAAGTATCCCATATTTTTTCTTGGTATTACAATTTATTTCTTTGGCATTTTTTGCAACCTGACCTTGCTGACTTTGATCACTCTGAGGAGGAACCTTCACAAGCCCATGTATTTTATCCTGTTTAGTCTTCCACTCAATGATCTGATTGGCATAACTGCAATGCTACCAAAAGTACTTTCAGACATCCTTACAGAGACAAATAAGGTTTACTATCCTCTGTGTGTTTTACAAGCATTCTTGCTTCACATGTACGGTGGTGGAGTTCTGTTCATTCTTGCAGCAATGTCTTTTGATCGTTACGCTGCCATCTGCATGCCGTTACGCTACAGCTCTATTATGACCCCCAGAGTTGTCATCTGTATCATCTCTCTTGTTTGGGGTCTTGACTTTGTCTTGATTGTATCATTGTTCTCTTTGCAGACAAGAATTCCGAGGTGCAAATCTGTTATTATGAATGTGTTCTGTGATAACCCATCTCTACTGAAGCTCACATGTGGAAACACGACGGTCAATAATATCATAGGATTATTTAATACAGCTCTCATGCAAATTGTCAGTGTGTCTGTCCAGACATTTTCCTATGTGAAGATACTCATCACGTGTGTGGTTTCAAGGAGGTCTGATGCAAAGATGAAAGCTGTCAACACGTGTGTTGCGCAGTTGGTTATAATAATCATATTTGAGATTGTGGGAACTTTCACAATTTTATCGCATAGGTTCAAAAATGTCTCAGCTGACTTGCAAAAGATAATGGGCATGCTGATATTTCTTTTACCTCCGCTTCTCAATCCAATTGTATATGGGCTGTATACTAGTGAAATACGAAACACTCTGCTGAGAGTCTTAAAAACGAGAAGAAGAATATCTGTCTGAACTTCACTCATCATCATCATCATTTGTACAGTACATACAATACAATATGCAATATCATGAACATGAACTTGAACACAAACTTGAATTACTTTTGCTCATTGTGGAAATCCTTCATTCTATATGGAAATATTGTTTTCTAGTGTAGGACAGGTAATTTTAGTCTGCATTTGAGAAACCTTTATTTTTGTTGATATAGTTTTTCATCAATGATAATAATAATAATAATGATAATAATAACAATTCACTTTTGTAAATATATTTATCCCAGTCACTTCTAAGAGTTTTTGGACTTGAGTGTTGTGTTGAAAATTCATAATGATGAAGTGAAACTGAGTGAAACTGTGAATCTTACTGCAATAATCAACATATGTCACCTGACTATGTAAGGATGTTTGCCTACAATTTAAAAAAGTAAAAATAAAACAAAATAGCTTTTATTGTGAGTGGTTCTTTTGTGTTTATTTTGATGTGTGATGTTTGAGTGCTTTACCATTAAGTAATTGTGTATAATTCTAGATGGAGCTATAGGTGTCATACTAGTCTAATATGTAATACTTGAACATTATATTTATAAAGTCTTATGTAAAACATCTTGGATATGAAGCATGTTCTTTGCGTTTTCTTATCCTCACATTTGATTGTATGTTTAGATATTGTTTTCTGAAGAAGAGCGAACTTTCTAATCTGTCTTTCAAAGTGTTCATATTTTCATTTACTGACTATGCACTGCATGCATCATGGCTACCTGGTGTCTAAAGTGCAAACAACCTATGTACAATGTATACAAGATCTGCTGATGTTTGCTGTGTGGTTCTTTAATAAAATCCAGATATTTTGAGAACAATTTCATCTTGTTTAGTCATTTAATGAAAACAAATAATGAAAGAGCACAAAATTAATTTCATTTTCATAGTATCACATATTAAACTCAGTAGGATGAAAACGGCATACATATCAGCGTCAATGACAAAAAAAGGCTTCTAAAAAGTTCCTTTCAAAAGGATGTAGGCCTAATGTATGTTTGTGTGTGTGTGAGTCTTTTAACAAGATTAATTTGTTTAATAACTTTTTAAGAGTTTAAATTAATTTATTTCTTACTTCATCACCCAAAAAATATTCCAAATATTTATAAATATAAATATATTTTCCTAGTATTGATTTTAAATTACCTTTATTTTCTTTTTTGCAAGATATGCTTCTCTTGCAGCTGGATCATATTTCATTTGCTCCCTGTGTCATGCTGATTATTTCTTGATAGTGGAATCTAAATGTATCTGGCAAAAAAGAATTACATTTAAAAGACTGGAAACCTGGAAAAATATTATTGGGCAGCCCAGCTCAGATCACTTTATTTTAAATTACTGATCTGATCTCTGGAAAATATATAAATATCCATCTGAGTAAAGGGGAAAGACAACTGCTTCATCCAAATCAGAATCAGGTTTATTGCCAAGTAGGTTTTCACATATAAGGAATTTGTCTTGATAAGTTGAAGCATAACAATTAAGCATAGAAAAATATAAATAAAGATGAAAGTACAGACAATAGAAGGAGCCAATATATACAAATATAAAAAGAGAGCTAAAAAGTATAACGTGGCCGGATACTTAAATAAATGAGTGAAGAACTATACAGAAATGTGCAAAAACTTTAGCAGTGTGACATATAATGATAGTAGCAATGTGCAAAGATAAAATCAGAGGAAAGTACATTAATGTAACCCGGTCAGTGGGGGTCCCGGGCCTTGTTGATGAGACCAGCTGCAGATAGGGAAAAAACTGTTCTTGTGTGGAGGTTTTGGTCCTGATGGGCCTTAGCCTCCTGCCAGAGGTAAATGTCTGAAAGAGTTTGTGTCCAGGGTGGAGGGGTCAGCCAGAATCATGTTATTGTTTTCATTCTTCATACTGGAGATAACATGAGTCCACTGGACGTATTCAAGTCATGTTTGATAATAATGTGAGACTGCTGTAAGAGGTTAATCCTCAGTTGCCACATATATGGCAATGGTTGTTATGTGCACTGTATAACCACAGTATTACATAAACTTTGCATTGCATTAGTGCCAAATAAACCAGTACTCTCTCTCTCTCTTTTTTAGAGTTGGTATTTATTTATAGGACATAGATATTTAAATAGCTCTAAATAACAAATTTGATGCTTATAGTCGAATGTTTCTTCTTTCTCATGACCTCTATCTCAATTAGACTACCTGATTAAATAAAGTTAATAAAGACCAGCACTAAAATATACAGCATGGGTGGACGGATAACTAAAAGAGTGACAAAAGGACTGGCAGAGATCCAACAAGTAAACTTTTCATGCTTACTAAACGAAAGGCAACTATTTTGTAAATGCATGACTTCATACATGTTTTTCCCGCTACTGTATGTCAGTCTGTTCCAACAACTTTCTGGACTGTTCTCTTGGGTATTATGTGCTTAAATGCTGATAGGAGGCATGGTATTTTACATTATGTCTTACAACACGTTTTAACTGCTGGTGAGAATAAGATATTGCCAGAGGTAAGACATCAGAGGCACAGCTGAATTATTCCATAGCACTTAATCTAAGATTGTCTGTTAAAAAATGTTTGTAATGTTTTTCACTTGTTTTTCAACAGAAGAAGCAGCAGTTACAACAGCAACACTATAGTGTACAGTACTGGACAATTATGTACACAAATGGATCTTCTGCAGTTTCACTGACACTGGAAACACTGCACATATCTAATGCATATATTTACCCAGCATTTTTGTTTGGGACTTTAACATATCTGTGTATTATGTTTTTCAACTTGTTGGTATTAACAACTATTGCCTGTAGTAAAAAGCTACACAAGCCCATGTTTATCCTGCTGTTAAACCTGCCCCTTAGTGACATGTTGGGTGCTACAGCCTTTTTCCCTCACCTTGTGTTCAGCATTGTGACAGAAAACAGACAGATTTCACATTCTGCATGTGTTTCTCAGGCTTTCCTGCTTCATTTTTATGGTGGAGGTAACTTGCTGATCTTGAGTGCCATGGCATATGACAGATATATTGCTATATGTTGTCCTTTGAGGTATAATGCAATCATGACACCACATACCTTAGTAAGAATAATTTTTTTAATATGGTTCATTGATTTGTCAGCAATGGTAATCATGTTTTTGTTGCTTTTACGGTTCAGAATTTGCAGGACTAATATAGTGGATTTGTACTGTAACAATCCATCATTAGTGAAACTGGCCTGTGAGGACACCAGAGTGAACAACTACTACGGACTGTTTTCTATAGCCTTCTTCCAAGGTGGACCACTGTTAATAATAATGTACACGTATGCACAGATTTTGCGTACATGCGTTATGACTAATCAGACCGATGCGAGGCGAAAAGCCATTCAAACATGTGGCTCACATTTAGCAGTTTTCATAATCCTAGAATTGAATACTTTCTTTACACTCATCGCTCATCGCCTTGAGAGTGTGTCCCCTTTTCTGAGAAGGGCTCTTGGTGTGTCAGTTTTAATTTTCCCTCCTTTTTTGGACCCAATTATATATGGACTGAAAACCAAAGAACTCAAGAAGAGCATAACAATGTTGCTAAAAAGAAATGTAGGTTCATAAAGACTGCAACTGCAAGTTTTCAGTTTTGGGTTTCATATGAAATATTTTACATTCATGGGTGAAATTAAATCTTTATTTTATGTACAGCCTAAAATAATGATGATGTCCAAATCCAGTATAATTGAATTTTCTGAATAAAATGGTCTCCATACAAAAATATATGTCATATGTTCTTTAATTATGGATTATGAATACAGAAATTTAGATATTTATTCATCTGACGACATGACCAGGTAAGCCCAGCTGGTCATAATACTATGGGTGATCGGTGTATATGTTTGATTGGGGCATCCCTGTTATTCATGTTTGCTTTGTACATTGGACGCATTACTAAAAGAGCGACAGAAGACAGTAATAAAACTGTTTAAACGTCTCAGTCTGTCTCTCATATATTAAACAGAAGGCAACTTTTTGAAACTGTATTACATCATATATGTTGACCTGCTTCTGTGTGTCAGTCTTATTGTAAAACTTTCTGCACTGTTCTCTTAGGAAATGTCATTACATGCCAATAAAAGGCAGAGCCTTTTACATTATGTCTTATAACACGTGTCAACTGCTTGTGAGAACAGGACAAGGTGACATAGGTAAGATATCACAGGCAAAGCTGAATTATTCCATAACACTAAATCTAAAATTGTCTGTTAATAAAGATAATGTTTCTGATGCGATTTTCTTTTTCAGTTGTTTTTCAACCGAAGAAGCAACAATAACAACATTATCGTTTGCAGTTATGTACACAAATGCATCTTCTGCAGTTTTACTGACACTGGAAACACTGCACATATCTAATGCATATATTTACCCAGCATTTTTGTTTGGGACTTTAACATATCTGTGTATTATGTTTTTCAACTTGTTGGTATTAACAACTATTGCTTGTAGTAAAAAGCTACACAAGCCCATGTTTATCCTGCTGTTAAACCTGCCCCTTAGTGACATGTTGGGTGCTACGGCCTTTTTCCCTCATCTTGTGTTCAGCATTGTGACAGAAAACAGACAGATTTCCTATTCTGCATGTGTTACTCAGGCTTTTCTGATTCATTTTTATGGTGGAGGTAACTTGTTCATCTTGAGTGCCATGGCATATGACAGATATATTGCTATATGTTGTCCTTTGAGGTATAATGCAATCATGACTCCACATACCTTAGTAAAATTAATTTTTGTTATATGGTTCATGAACTTGTCAATAGTAGCCACACTGATTTTGTTGCTTTTACGGACTACAGTTTGCAGGACTAATATAGTGGATTTGTTCTGTAACAATCCATCATTAGTGAAACTGGCCTGTGAGGACACCAGAGTGAACAACTACTACGGACTGTGTTCTATAGTCTTATTTCAAGGCGGACCACTGTTAATAATAATGTACACGTATGCACAGATTTTGCGTACATGCGTTATGAATAATCAGACCGATGCGAGGCGAAAAGCCATTCAAACATGTGGCTCGCATTTAGCAGTTTTCATAATCCTAGAATTGAATACTTTGTTTACACTCATCGCTCATCGCCTTGAGAGTGTGTCCCCTTTTCTAAGAAGGGCTCTTGGTGTGTCAGTTTTAATTTTCCCTCCTTTTTTGGACCCAATTATATATGGACTGAAAACCAAAAAACTCAAGAAGAGCATAACAATGTTGCTAAAAAGAAATGTAGGTTCATAAAGACTGCAACTGCAAGTTTTCAGTTTTGGGTTTCATATGAAATATTTTACATTCATGGGTGAAATTAAATCTTTATTTTATGTACAGCCTAAGATAATGATGATGTCCAAATCCAGTATAATTGAATTTTCTGAATAAAATGGTCTCCATACAAAAATATATGTCATATGTTCTTTAATTATGGATTATGAATACAGAAATTTAGATATTTATTCATATGACGACATGACCAGGTAAGCCCAGCTGGTCACAATACTATGGGTGATTGGTGTATATGTTTGATTGGGGCATTCCTGTTATTCATGTTTGCTTTGTACATTGGACGCATTACTAAAAGAGCGACAGAAGACAGTAATAAAACTGTTTAAACGTCTCAGTCTGTCTCTGATATATTAAACAGAAGGCAACTTTTTGAAACTGTATTACATCATATATGTTGACCTGCTTCTGTGTGTCAGTCTTATTGTAAAACTTTCTGCACTGTTCTCTTAGGAAATGTCATTACATGCCAATAAAAGGCAGAGCCTTTTACATTATGTCTTATAACACATGTCAACTGCTTGTGAGAACAGGACAAGGTGACATAGGTAAGATATCACAGGCAAAGCTGAATTATTCCATAACACTAAATCTAAAATTGTCTGTTAATAAAGATAATGTTTCTGATGTGATTTTCTTTTTTCAGTTGTTTTTCAACCGAAGAAGCAACAATAACAACATTATCGTGTGCAGTTATGTACACAAATGCATCTTCTGCAGTTTTACTGACACTGGAAACACTGCACATATCTAATGCATATATTTACCCAGCATTTTTGTTTGGGACTTTAACATATCTGTGTATTATGTTTTTCAACTTGTTGGTATTAACAACTATTGCCTGTAGTAAAAAGCTACACAAGCCCATGTTTATCCTGCTGTTAAACCTGCCCCTTAGTGACATGTTGGGTGCTACGGCCTTTTTCCCTCATCTTGTGTTCAGCATTGTGACAGAAAACAGACAGATTTCCTATTCTGCATGTGTTTCTCAGGCTTTTCTGATTCATTTTTATGGTGGAGGTAACTTGTTCATCTTGAGTGCCATGGCATATGACAGATATATTGCTATATGTTGTCCTTTGAGGTATAATGCAGTCATGACTCCACATACCTTAGTAAAATTAATTTTTGTTATATGGTTTATGAACTTTTCAATAGTAGCCACACTGATTTTGTTGCTTTTACGGACTACAGTTTGCAGGACTAATATAGTGGATATGTTCTGTAACAATCCATCATTAGTGAAACTGGCCTGTGAGGACACCAGAGTGAACAACTACTACGGACTGTTTTCTATAGTCTTATGTCAAGGCGGACCACTGTTAATAATAATGTACACGTATGCACAGATTTTGCGTACATGCGTTATGACTAATCAGACCGATGCGAGGCGAAAAGCCATTCAAACATGTGGCTCGCATTTAGTTGTTTATTTAATGCTAGAGATTAATACTTTGTTTACACTCATTGCTCATCGCCTTGAGAGTGTGTCCCCTTTTCTGAGAAGGGCTCTTGGTATGTCAGTTTTAATTTTTCCCCCTTTTTTTGATCCGATTATATATGGACTAAAAACCAAAGAACTGAAGCAGGGCATAAAAATGTTCCTATGAAACAATTTAAATTCATGTGGGAAATTAAACCTTTATTTTTTCAAATATATGTATATGTATATCCTAAAATAATGATGACTTCCAAATCCAGAGTAAGTTATTCCTTTTAAAAATAGTCCACCTTCAAACATATTTATTACGGTATGTGTTCTTTCATTAGGGTTGATGGTCTTAACTGTTCAATACAGACTTGTGATGTTGTTTTAAGTTCCTAGACAAGACAAAACAGCTTAACAAAGTAATGGACACTGGAGTCTTATGTGTTTCCTCCTTTCTTCAGTCTTTGGGTTGCAAAATCAGAATTTAACTGCTTGTTCTTTTTTAAACACAAGAAAAGCACAGACTCAGGATTTTGACTGTTCTCTGCTCAAGCAGATGATTTTTATTTATGACATTCTATATGTTTAATGAATGTCAAGGAAAGAGAGGGGATGACATTCAAGAAAGGGCCGCAGGTATTTGCCCCCTTCCTGATTTCTTTTCTTTCTTTTTTTTTTCTTTTTTTGCATATTTGTCATACTTAAATGTTTCAGATCAACAAACAAATTTTAATGTTAGACAAAGATAACCTAAGGAAATACAAAATGCAGTTTTGAATGAGGATTTCATTTATTAATGGAAAAAAGCTATCCAAACCTTCCTGGCCCTATGTGAAAAAGTAATTGGCCCCTAACCCTAATAGCTGGTTGTGCCACCCTCTTTATATTTGTCTAATATTACATTTGTTTTGCTCTGAAACATTTAAGTGTGACAAATATGCAAAAAAAAAAAAAAAAAGAAAGAAAAGAAATCAGGAAGGGGGCAAATACTTCTTCACAGCACTGTATTTATTGAAAGTTACAATGACATAACAATAAATTAAATACAATCTTTTTAGTATGCACTGTGAGAAACGTCTGTAATTTTCTGACAAATCAATGGTAAATGTGATATGAAAGGTTATTTGATATTTTCTGATACTGTATGCACACTAGAAGAGGAATAAACAATGTTGAAATGAAACACTAAAATTTTTAAATATGTGCATCACAATACCAAGTCATTGACAATGGTATAAATGTAAATTCAGGGGTATGACATGTAACAAAGGTTGCTAAATCGAAGATGTTGCAGCATAACCATTAAGCTACCAAGGTGCTCCGGCACTGTTAAGTGTATTTTTTTTTTTTCTTTTAGAGTTTGTTAAGAGTTGTTTTTTTTACTCCTCATCTCATGGTTAATTGTTTGTTTTAAAGTATGTTTACATCATACATCAGCAAATGTGTTGATGATGTGGTGATTAAAATCATTCCCCAACCAGAAAGTATGAAGGGCCATACAAGCCATAATTCATTCTGGCCCTCTTACATATGTATATTCTCCTTTCACATGCATATATTTCACAATTTATTTTCATTCATACATCCACCCATTTCTGTTCTCATATCTATATGTTTTAACTCACACATTCATGTAATTATGTATTTGAACTCACACACATTCATACATTTTGCTCTCATGCATATGAAATCAATGTATACAATTCATGTTATAGATAATATATGTATGTCTGAAGACAATATAAGTAAGTAAGCAGAATGTATGCACGTGGAAAAGTAAGGCAGGATCATGTTTAGGTCATGATCAATGTGGAAGGGGGAGATGAGATGAGAGTATTGCAACAAGTCACTGGGATATTAAGGTCTTGCTTTATAGTTTTCAAAGTCTATTCAACTTATTGATCTTTTCTTTATCATTGACCCTAATGTACCGACTGCTTCTCTGTTTCTTGAATCTTCAAAATCTTGAGATTGGCAGATATCCAGATAAGATTTGAATGTGGTCAAAAAGTTCTCCATAAAGCCTCTCATGAACAAATTAATCTGTGTCTTTTCTTTGCATGTGTTCAATACATTCTAACAAAAAAATGTCTTTTCATTTGCATTGCTACTTACTCCCAAAATAAAAAAAGGCACCAGGACCCAGGACCTAACATAATCTCCGAGACAGTTGGTGCTAGTTGACAGTGACAGGGAATACAGTACCATGGCGGCATGGTCAGTCAGGTTAGGTGCACGGCTGACCGAACTAACAGCAGTTGGTGGTTTGCTGCTTCGAAATCTTTCCATAACGAAACTCTGTAAGTGACCTCAGTGCCATAACGTTTTTCCCTGTAAATCTCGGAGGCTTTGGTCGATCTCGGCTGGCTGGGCCCGGTTCTGTTGCCCGCTAATAGCAGATACAATTAGCAGCATTTAATTAGCAGTTATCTCCTTTAGCAAGTAGTTAAAGCTACCTGTCCAGCAGGGAAATCTTTAAATCACAGAGAGTTGCAGCTGGGCACCTGGAGGATATCAGACGGAAAAAACGGAAAATATTTTCTCCATAAAATATAATCCAGTTTCACCAAAATCAGTGAATAAAGTTGTGCTTTTGTACAGAATTCAGTGAGGCCTGACCATATGTCAGTAATACATTGACCCTCAGAAACACTCCACTGTGACAACATCAGAAGCGAGAAAGCATTCCATTGGAAACAAAATTAGTATATGTCCCAGAGTGAATGATGAGTCATCAACAACTTTTTATAGTTTTTAACCCTACTTGAAAATATCATTAAGAATACCTGAAAATATGGCATATAGGTGACTCATAGCACAATAGATATAACACTTAAAACATCAATTTTAACCTCATAGGGACTAAATACACAACAAATACTTTTTACAGTAGCAATGGCATGTCAAATTTATAACACATAATATAAAATTTGAACATATAGAAAGAAACATGAATATATAACATATGGGTTGAAAAACTTTAATGATTTCGTCATCTAGGCCAATGTTTCTCCTAGACCCTGTTTCAAATAGACTGCTTAAAGAGGTTTTACACTTAGTTAGAAATTCTTTATATGATCTGTCATTATAATCGGGCTATGTACCGATTAAGTAAATTACATCATATATGTTTTCCTTGCTATGTGTCAGTCTTGTTATGAAAACCTTATGTTCTCTTGGGAAATATCCCTGGTTACCCTTTTGCTTAAATACCAATGAGAGGCAGACATTTTGTCATTAAACACATTTGAACCGCAGGTGAGAATAGGCTAACACATTTCCACAGGTAAGATATCAGGTACAGCTGCATTATTCCACTGCACTTCATCCAAGACTGTTACTATAGCTAATGCTTATAATGATTTTCTCCTTTTCAGAAGAAGCAACAGTGACATTACAGTCTGCAGTACTGGACAATTATGTACACAAATGCATCTTCTGCAATTTTACTGACATTGGAAACACTGGACATGTCTAATGCATATATTTACCCAGCATTTTTGTTTGGGACTTTAACATATCTGTGTATTATGTTTTTCAACTTGTTGGTATTAACAACTATTGCTTGTAGTAAAAAGCTACACAATCCCATGTTTATCCTGCTGTTAAACCTGCCCATTAGTGACATGGTGGGTGCTACAGCTTTTTTCCCTCATCTTGTGTTGAGCATTGTGACAGAAAACAGACAGATTTCCTATTCTGCATGTATTACTCAGGCTTTTCTAATTCATTTGTATGGTGGAGGAAACTTGTTCATCTTGACTGCCATGGCATATGACAGATATATTGCTATATGTTGTCCTTTGAGTTATAATGCAATCATGACTCCACATACCTTAGTAAAAATGATTTTTATTTTGTGGTTCATGAATTTCTCAATAGTAGCCACACTGATTTTTTTGCTTTTACGGTTCAGAATCTGCAGGACTAATATAGTGGATTTGTTCTGTAACAATCCATCATTAGTGAAACTGGCCTGTGAGGACACCAGTGCGAACAACTACTATGGATTTTTTGCTATAGTCGCACTCCAAGGCTTACCACTGTTGATAATAATGTACACGTATGCACAGATTTTGAGAACATGCATTATGAATAATCAGACCGATGCAAGGCGAAAAGCCATTCAAACATGTGGCTCACACTTAGTCGTTTTCTTGTTGTTAGAACTCAATTCTGCGTTTACACTTCTTGCTCATCGCTTTGCGAGTGCGTCCCCTTTTCTGAGAAGGGCTTTTGGGGTGTCAGTTTTAATTTTCCCTCCCTTTTTGGACCCGATTATATATGGACTGAAAACCAAAGAACTCAAGAAGAGGATAAAAAATGTCCTAAAAAGAAATTTTGCTTCATAAAAGTTATAACCAGTTGGGGTGCCCGGATAGCTCAGTGGGTAGAGCTGGCGACCCATGTACCGAGGCTGAGTCCTTGCTGCAGCAGCCCAGGGTTCAAATCTGACCTGTGGCCCTTTGCTGCGTGTCATCCCCTCTCTCTGCCCCGCTTTCCTGTCTGTCTTCAGCTGATAGCAAGCTAATAAAGGAAATAAAAAGTTATAACCAGTTTTCCGGTTTGGCTTTCCTATAAAACATTTTATATTCATATGGGAAACTAAACTCATGTCAACTTCCAAATCCAGTATAATTAAATCCTTTGAGCTAAAATAGTCTTTTTACAAACATATTTGTTACACGTTTTTTCACTACGGTAAATAAATAGCAAATTACACATTTATTAATTTGATGATATATATTTTGTGATATCTAAAAATGATGTAATGTTCAAATTTATGTTAAAATATGTCTAGAATGAAATTGGAATTACAATATTGAGCCTTGGTAGACAAATGTCACAACTGTCCCTGGTTCGATTCTAGCTGGTGGCCCCTCTCCCTCCCTTTCCTGTCTGGCTCTTCACCTCTCACTATCAAAATAAATAAGTAAATAAATACTACACATCACATGAAATAGAGTAATTTTAAGAAATGGTAAGGTGTATTATGACAGGAACTAATCTGAAAGAAAGACTGTGGGAATTAGTCACAATAATGACAGGCCTTAAATCAACAAAATCATTGCTGCAAACAAAAGAAAGTTACAAGAGGTGCACATAATTAAAAATCGAATAAAAAAGAATATACTTTGTGAAACTTTGTAATGTAATGCTAGGATGTCTACATATATATATAATGTGGTCTATAATATCTGCTATTGATGTGGAAATGAAAAAAAACACGGATTTATTTTCCTTTACAATGGAAATTATATGGAAATCTAAATACTGTATATTTATTTTACTTTACTTTACTTTAAATTAAATACAAGCTTTCTAGTATGTATCTATGGTAAAATGTCTGTAATTTCCTTATAAATTAAATAAATTTATTGGCAAGTGTGAAAATGTCTGATGTTGTTCTTGTGCGAATCCATTTTTCACACATGACTGCAAACACTTAAGACTAAGTCAGCGTAAATGACTTTGGGTTCCCCACATTTGCTGAATTGCAGCATGTGGGTTCTGGATCTGTCTGCGGGGACCTTGCAGGTGTCATAGAGGCAGTACTATTTCTTACTGTATATGTTGGCCCATTAGAACCCTTGTTATGGTGAACTCCAAGAGACCACCTCTCACAGAGCTCTTTGCCCCACAACTTCATCTCACTCACTGCTATCCAAGCCCTCTGCAGCATCCTCTTACAAAGTTGTATGTTTTCAAACATAGAGCCCCTTAGTCATCCAGTAGGACATGGTCTCCTCCTCCCATAAGCTGACACTGTTTCGCCACCCATGAAAGCACTGGTCAGACGTCAGCATATGCCCACTATCGGAGTGGCAGTCATGACTGACCACAGCATCCATTTCTCTCTCTGCTGTACTCTAAAGTTTGGCCACACAGTAAGGCTCATTAGTAAACAAGCATAATTTATGTTTACTAAAGTAACAGAAAGTACTCAGAATTTGCTAATCTGACTGTGTGAAATCACTCATTATTACCTTAAGTTAAAGTATGGGTGGTGTTGGGGTGTCAACTACTTCATTTCATATTCTTCCAAAGCCCCCTTCTGAGACACTGCTTATGTGACTGTCATAACAATCTAAAGATAAACTTCATGGTAAACCAGAAGACTCCTGGGAGCTGTCTGGTGTTCAGCAACAATCACTCCTATAAAACTGCTAATCCTTCTGAACATCTTACCAGTATTGCTAGCACTGATTATCCAGTACATGTCTTATTGCAATATTTATTCAGCTTGTCTTCTGTCTGTCCTCTCTGTGTATTTTGTTGCTGGACTTTCAGTGCAAAACTGTAAATCCAAAAGACTATAAACTTGTTATTTAGGTACAGGATATAATATATGATGTATCATGTTTAACTGAAATTTATGTGGACTTAAAGTTAAGTGGCGTGGACGCATTCAGGCTTTAATTTGGTAAGTTCTGTCCTCAGCAGTGAAATTACCTGATTATAAAAATAACACCACTATCTCTTTATATTATTTGTTTTCCTTATGATGTCCTCTCATATTTTTGCTAAATTGTTCTTGTGTATGAAATAGTTATGCTTCATTATAATGAAATTATTAATTATCTTTTTTCGATTTTCAAAGGAGGAAGAGCATAAAAAAATGGACCACCTGTACAACACATCATCTTTGTTAGTGCTAAATCGCTTTAACCTACCCCCTGAAACTGTTTTTCCTGCATTTCTTTTCGCAACTCTCAGCTACATGATCATACTTTTCTGCAACTCTATTCTAATCCTCACTATTGTACTGAACAAATCTCTGCATCAGCCCATGTATTTAATTCTGCTGAACCTTCCTATCAATGACCTTATAGGCGGCTCAGCACTCTTCCTTCAGGTCATTCATGAAATACTGACAAACAGCAGGACAATTCAGCACTCAGCCTGTGTTACCCAGGCTTTTTTTATCCACATCTATGCAGCAGGTTCAGTGTTCATTCTGACTGCTATGGCATATGATAGATACATTGCCATCTGTTGTCCTTTGAAATACAACACGATTATGACTAATGCTCACATCATGAAAATAATAACAGTTGTGTGGATGAGTAGTTTTGTTATAATAGCTGTGCTTTTTGTTCTGCTGTTGCGTTTACCCCGCTGTCGATCTGAATTGACGCATCCCTACTGTGATAATCCAACTTTGCTGTCTCTGGTCTGTGCTGGTGTTGACACAAGCATCAATAACATTTATGGGCTTTTTTTAGTTGCTCTTACACAAGTGATAGCCAATGGGACGATTTTGTATACATATCTCCAGATCCTTGTTACATGCTTCAGTTCAAAACGATCAGACACAAAAGCCAAAGCTCTGCAGACATGTGCTACACATCTGATAGTTTTTCTCCTGTTGGAGTGTCTGGGACTTTTCACCATCATATCATACCGAATAAAGAACCTTTCACCTAATTTAAGGAAATTCATAGGGATGACAACATTAGTTTTCCCCCCAACATTGAATCCAATCATCTACGGACTGAAAACAAAAGAAATACGAGAAAAAGTAGTATACTTCTTTAAGAATAAAATCTTTCCATCTTAATTCAGTGTCAGTGCCTTTATGCAGCAAGCAAAAACTTGATTTGCTTCTCTCACAGGCAGTGTTTTATTTGTCTTGCTACCTTATAAATACATTCTTTGTTAGTGAGACCACATACTTTGGCTTTATGTTCATGATCATACAATTTTCAAATAATGCATATGAAAAAAATGCAGTATGTGTAACAGTAATTAACATTTCACTAATCATTTTTGTACAAATTTCAAATTAATAATAATTTTTAACCCATTCTGAGCACATAATCTATTAATGTTTTATTACTGCAAAATGACCTCTATAATGCTCTATAATAATATTTCTCCAACAGTTAATAAACCACCAGTGTTTGTCAGTTATGTGCTTTTAGGACTTGTATTTAGAGTTCATCTACTGTTGCTTCAAAAATAAAGTGTTTAGCTAATTAAATGATGTGTGTTTACACAATTCCTATATGTTGACAAGAATAAGTTAACAGTACAACTACACATCATGACTGTTTGGCAGCTGATATACAGTTAATAATATAATTGCATTCTTTTGCACATGCAAAATAGTTTAACTTAACCTAATAGGTTAACAGTTAAGTTTGCTGTCAGCATGTTGATGTATGTTATTGTCACAAGGTTGTTTTACTGTCAAGGCATGAAATAAGAAGTCTGTGAGGCACGGAGTCATCTGAAATAAATAAGACATGAGAATACTTCTTACAACCTGAATTTTTTCTTGAGATAGTAGTTGTTTAATGGTGACCAAGATGAGATCAAAGTTTACATAATCTAAGTGTACTGTTTGTAGTAATACTGTTTGTATGAAAAATAAAGGAAATTCTAAACTTATTCCACTCAAGCATTAACAAGGTTAACTGATTAAAGACTATAATAGATAGGAAACTCTATTTAGTTGGCTACAGGTCATGCACAGTATCTTGTATGCAGCTGATTATATGTTAACTAACCCATATTATGCATCTTATTCTCAGCTCTCTCCAATTTAAATCAGAATCATCATAACATTTTAAAATGTTTAATGTAATGTGCAATAGCAAATAGAAAGCAGGCTCTGAGTCACGTCACTGGCAGCCTGATCCATTGTGCAATATTTATTTTTGTCCAAATATGAAAAACAGGTAATAGTCATTATGACACAAACTTCCATACCAAATTACAGCCACTACTTCACATACATCTGTTGCATTTTGTGTGATTTGCTGCCCTCTTGTGTCTTTTGAGGTGGGTAGCCAATGGAGGCCAGTCTTGAACCACATCAGGCAATTTATCAGGTCAGTTATGTCTTCAAAGCACACAATAGTAAGAGTGAACTAAAACCAGCAATGAAAAAAGCATGAAAAAAAATGGTCAAAGAAAGCCACAAACTTAAGGAAAGGAAATTCCTTATAGCACCATAATGAGGGTAAAGAATATTTTTTTATAAATAGGTTTAGATCAACTACCCATCACCCTTGTTCTGTGTTAGTACATTAAGAGCAACTGGAAACCAAACTGGCTAATAAAGCTGATTCTAATAATACTAATATTTTCCTTTAAATCGATGCTTGTATGTTGTTATATATTGTAAAGTTGAGGTTTTCAAATAAGTCTAAATTATAAAATGTATATTTCAGCTTGACTGTTGGGCTGCAGCCTTAAAGGTCCAGTGTGTAACATTTATGAGGATCTATTGGCTGAAATTGAATATAATACCACCTGAAAATAAGAATTGTGTTTTAGAATGAGACTTAAGGACTTGGCACACCTAGTCTTTGGGTTGTTTGCCTAAAATTGTAACACATTTACAAATAAATACAACCTCACATTCTGTCAATCATGTTTACACACTGACTCAAAATGTTGGTCCATCAGAGGATGAGGACAGAACGATAGACAGGAGGAAGAGCGACAGTGTGGACACAGAGAGGAACAGCAGCTCAGCCTCATGTAGCCACGCTGCCAAATGTAAGATGTGGACAGAGAGTGGAGACAGCCTGTAGAGCAAGGGAGGGAATGAGACAGAGTGAGAGAGAGATATACAGAAAGCAGGCTCTGATGGTTGTCAGTCATCCATGTCACTGTCAATATATATATATGTCTTTTTGTCCAAAAACAGGTTACAATTATTACACAAACTTCCATAACAAATTATAGTCAGTCCTTCACATTACTGTGTGTATTCACAATATGAATACAGCAGAGGGCGCCATCAGCACACACTGAACTCATTCATACCAACAAATACACAGAGAGCACATGGATTTGCTCTCAGGTTGTATGATTCTGTTGCATTTTGTGTGATTTGCTGCCCTCTTGTGGTAGGTAAACAGTGGAGTCTTGAACCACATCAGGCAATTTCTTCAAAGCACACTCAAAGAGTGAACTAAAACCAGCAATGAAAACTGAGCATGAAAAGAAGAAGAAGAAGAATTCAGTTTAGTAAGGTCAAAGAAAGCCACAAATTTAAGTAAAGGACATTCTATAATTTGCAGCTCCAAATATAACTAAAATCACATAAATCCGAACTTGTGCTGTTTTAAAATAGCACACTTAGCCTTCCAGCACCATAATGAGGATACAAAAATAATTAGTTATTTGTTATAAAGAGGTTTAGATCAACTACCCATCACCCAATGTGCATCTAAAGAACCCTGATTACTTAATAAATAAAAATAAATAATAATAAACTACATACATAAATACATAAAAACAGATGTATTTATGTTTGTTGTGATGACCCCTCCCCCTGTCTGGTTGGTCTGGGTCTTTTTCCCTTCTTCACAGGAGACAGAGTGGCAGAGGGTGTGTCCATTAGATGGGCTACACCTGGTGTGTCCATTAAATGGGCTACACCTGGTGTGTCCTGATTGCTGGTCTTTATAAATGGCTGATTTGTCATCATTCTCCCTCTTCTCTGCTTCCAGTCAGCAGGTTCTTGGTTTGTTGCTGTCTTTGGTTTTTTATTTACTGACCACACTGACACACATATACATATTATAATTTGTGATCGTGAATATTGTTTAATTAAACTTCTTTTTGTTTAAAACCTTTAAATTCTCTGTGTGGTCTCCCTCCATTGTCATAATCCTAGAGCAGGTTCATGACATTTGCTTATCTTTGTTTAGCCTTGTTCTGTGTTAGTACATTGACAGCAACTGGAAACCAAAGTCAGATTCATTAAACATAACTGGCCAATAAAGCTGATTCTAATAATACTATTTAAATATTTTCCATTAAATCAAAGATCTATTGGCTGAAATGAAATATAATATCACCTGAAAATAAGATTTATGTGTTTTTGAATGAGATGTTTTTTTGTTTTTTTCTACTTAGTGTCATTTCTGTTTACATTGATGCTCCAAAACTAAACTAAAAATGTCCACCACTATTAAAGCAACCGCAACCACACTGCAAGCATGCTTAATGTGGAAATAGTGGCAAGATGAACCTATATGATGCTATGAGAGTTTAACAATGATGACTTTAGACTTAAGGTAGGAGGAAATGGAAATGAGAAGATCCCAACTATAATTTATAATATGGGCCACAGTTTAGTTTACCACCTGAAAAACATCTAATTACTCTTCTGATAATCATTCTTACAGACCTACCTTGACAAAAATATACTTTGTCTCAACACTGTGATGAAATGTGTTATTACGCACCTCAATTGTATGACCACGTAGACACCTCACAATTTATCTACATAGTTAATCTCAAACCTACAGAATAATAATACAATTTTATTGTATCCATTTGGCTTTTTTTTGTACAATATTGATTACTGTTCTGTTGAAGAAGAAGCCAATGATGTAATCATTTACATACTGTATTCTGGCAATTTATCATTTATCATATTTGCACTGCACACGGATTTACTGTATTTAATCAATCAAATTAATTATGAATTCATTTTTTCAGTTCTTACATTTTATTGCAAAACTATTGCAACAATAACAACTTATTAGTGTGGTTTACAGTTTCAATAATATTTTTATTACTGTATATGTTTATAAAATGTTTCATAATGTATCACTATCATGTAAATTAATAAACACTGCAGCTTCTCAAGACCAAGGAACATCTCTCTGTTGCTTCCCAACTGCTGGAAAGGTGAGAGAGGTTAGCCCTAGCAAACGCCTGTCACAAAGCCCTGAGCTTCAGACTATAATCTGAAAGCTAAGCAGGAAAAGGCAGTAATTCAATTTTGAAGGACAAGTCTGTCGGACTTAGTGGCATCTGGGAGTAAAGTTTCAGATTACAACTAATTAAAGTGTGTAGGAGCATAAAATATGAAGCTGAATCTCATAGCATTAATGAACTGACCTGTGGAGATATCAGGAACATTAAGCACTGACTGTTGACCATCAAATGCCCACCACCACTGAATTTTCCTACAGAAAGCCCTGCTACTAATTTGTTTCATATTAATGTCTATAGATACATTTCCAAAGCTGTAAATTAGGTCAATTACGACATAAATGGCAAACATAGATAATCATGAATAATCTATGATGATCTGATCATTTTAACAGGGTTTTTGGGGTGTTGTTTTTTATTATCTGCTCTACCTTTTCTGACTTTTGTACACAGATACGGTAATCATAGTGGTCCAAAAGTCTTTCAGACCTAAGGAAAACACTCCAATGCGCATGAATACTGCAGCTGAAAAGAATTCTAAGGGAAACACATATAAGAGAAACTTGCCCCTTGCCATAGCAGTTTTAGGTTATGGTTTGCAGAAAAGGGTGGCATTGCTAGTAAATTGTTCTGATTGGCTGGAATAAAACAGTTTTTTGAAATGTAGTGCTTTCTCAAATTCCTCAAATTACACGAGAATGCCTTATATTATCCGTATTATTTCTAAAATGTCCTTGCTGTTTTATGTCTCCTTATACACACTCTATATTGTCTTGTTTTGTAGAAGAATATGCGGCTGATGTAAGCCAGATTCTCAGAAATGTAACACAAAGCTGTTTACTTGTTATATAATTCATGAACCTTGGAACTAATCCAGATTCACTTCTATCAATGTTTACCAGGATCTGATTAGTTGGCTGTGAGTATGTTGTCACACATCAGAGAAACTCTTCTTCCACTGAACTTTGTTACTAAGTGAGGCACAACACTTCACTGTGTCGTGGCTACCAACGCTTGGTTACTGTTTCTGTCTTTAACTTTGCTCATTAGGTTAATGACTTCTTTGTTTACGAAGTGTTGATAGATGTGTCACACTCAGCCCTCCGGAGTGATTTCTTCTCAGCTCCGGTAATGAACCTCCAAGGGTTTGGTGACACAATGCAGTAAACAGCAACAGTTTTGTTTTGCAACATTTTCAACATTGACAGACAAGTGAGCTTGTAAAAGTTAAAGAGTGGATGCAAAAATATGTATAATTTAATATATAATGAATACATTTGCTAGATAAATTAGCTAAATTACTGTAACTACAGTACTTTCACTTCCTTTCCAATAGCTTTATTAACATCTAAGTTGTAATTACAGTTGAACAGTATGAAGATTACAGAGTACTTTGACACACTTCTGCAGTTTATAGTTTGATTTAATATCTGTCTGAATTAGGCCACTGTATGGATATTTGTTGTTATGCTTTATGGCAATATCAATTTTATTTTACATTATTATCCTTTATTATTATGGGAGTTGAGCGAGCCCGGTACTATAACCCGCATGCATCCTGCTGTAAACATATGCCTGAATTTCCTATATAATGTAGTGGAATTATACATGACTTTCTTTGTTTTGATATCAGTCAACAGCCCTGCTTCCCTGCTCTCTAAACATCACCATCAGCCATTGAAAAACCCATAACAGTCAACCACTATTTATTACTGTTTATTATTTTATTCAAGTAACCAATCTTTTAATTTTATTGTCATTTAGCTTAGTTCATTTAAGAGATGAGACAGAGCAATTTAATAAAAACACTTCGTAATAAAATTACAGAATTAGCCAAAAGCCTATTTGACTGATATTGACTGACAAAATTCTAAGTAGGGTAATAAAACAACATACAGTAAAACAAACAATAAACTCAATAAAAAGTGATATATGCATGTATACCAAACACAATTCACATAATTTATTAGGTCACTCCATATTAAAATCTGATATTTTTTAGAATTGGAAAGTGCTTTGATTTTGCATCTAGTGTTCTGATGTTCTTGTTTTGCTCGGTGATTCAAGTGGTTTCAGCGTATGGCTGGACTGCGACCAGTTTGTTAAACAGTAACTCAGATGAGTGAAAATCATCACATTTTTCAACTTGAAAAACTGCTTAAAAACATCCAAAACAGTTAAACATTCTTCAGTTTCAAGACTTATTAAAGCGACAGGAAATAATATTCATACATATAATTTGTGTGCATCAGAGTGTTTGTTTTTCACCTGGCATTTCCTCACTGGGAGTCTGATAGTCATCATGAAGCCTTAAATAACTGGAGTTTCTTCCACCTGACAAATGCAGGTCTTTATTTTGATATTTTCTCCACGCATTCACATCACCTGCTTTCCTACATTGCATGAAGTGTTGATATAATTTATAATTGTTAAAACTGGGAAGTGGTGGAGAAAGTAAGTAAGATCCTTACTTAAGTAAAAGAAGCAACACTAGAATTTTAAAAATACTCCATAACATGTAATTATGCTGTATTGATAGTATTATTAGCAAAATGTACATTATGTATTATGTATTGTACAATGTTGGTTTATTATTGCTGATGCATTTACGTGCATGTAGCATTCTACAGTTGTGCTGGAGCTATTTATAACTCATTCATGTTCTGTTATTTTAATCTCATTAATTAACTGTTCATATGAACTATAAGCCAGCAATAATAATATGTGAGTTTGAAATCTCACCACATTTCAACCTTTTATTTCTGACATTCTTAACCATGTCAAAGTTAAAAGTTGAACCATGGCTACATACTACTAACCTTCAGTCTCCGATAAACATCCTCATCTTGCATTAGAAAAGTATGCAATTAAAATAAAAAGACCAAAACACCACATTTTTCAAAAAAGAAGCCTATTAAGTAAGAATTATTATTAAAAAACTTAAAATTATATTATACAGACAGATAATTGTATAAAAAGTTCCTAAACTTCTGGAAGTTAAGTTCACTATTGGGGTTCATTGTAAAGTATTGTTATGCTTTGAATATAATATGAAATATCCATAAAATATGTCAGTTAGTCAGGTGTTTACTAACTAAGAGGGGATTCTGAAAGACAAAGGTTGGGAACCACTGCACTAGGCTAACCCTGAGCTTATGAGGTAGGTTAGCCCACCTTGTCTCACATACTCCTGACAAATGAGGGACCTGCCGCTGCTCCACGCTTGGTGACTGCTATGATTCTGGTTAATTTATGATAGCCTACTGATTAATTGTATGTAACTGAGTGCAAATATACTCCAAGGTAGATGCCTACCTTAAGAGCAGCTTATGATATTAAGCTTAAACTATTCTGTTAGTGTTAACCTTTTTTTTTGGTACACAAAGACATGTGAAAGTGAACTTTGCGCTTCAGTCCCACTATTCCCTTCACTATGGCTGTCAAGTACATGTAGTGCGGTAAAATATACACAAACATACAAATGCAGATACAAAGAGTATGTTTTTGTGAGACAATGTGGGACACATTAACCATTCTGAGAGGTGGGCTAGTATAACATTGTTATATAATGTCTATTTAACATAAAAAATAAACATTTCTGTTCTGCCCTTTAGCTTGTAACATCACATAAGTAGCACACAATAGTTTAACAGGTTAGGCCTTTAGCATGTGAAGGACTTTAATAACTCCTATGCTAAGTTGGCTACACAGTATAAAAGGTAGCTAACCTTCAAAGTACTTATGGTCTTATATGACAGTAGTTTCCAAGTCTTTGCTGTAGCTGAATATCATTTTCTTTGTGGTAGTTACCATTAAATTCCACCTAATTCTGCCTAATTTGTGACTTGCAATTTACCCCATTGGGCGTAGTGTTGTAAAAGGCTGCACATAATTCAATTGGACTGTTCCTTTTACTTGTGAAATAAGTACTTCTTCTACCACCACTACCATACACTAGTTATCCATTTGTAACTCTTCTTCCTTTCTCTCACTTTTGCTGCTCTCATGTTGTTTCTAGTTTTACTGCCTTTTTCTGATGCTGCCATTCATTACTTGTCCACCAGGTATCCTCAGTACACTCCCTTATGCTGCACACCTGTGAGCAATAGTTTAATCAGCCCTGATCTGCTGCTTGTCTTTGCAGTCAACAACAGTGGTTGAGGAAACTATACAGCAGGCTTTTATTAAATGATTTCAACAATTGCTTAAACAGCCCAAGTTATATTTCATGTGCCCCAGCTGCAAGAGTTAGTCATTTTTACTCACCAATCAGACATTATTATTACCAGCATAATAACATGTGATCATCAGTATTTGTTCAGTATGTGCTTTCATTCACACACGTAATATGTCTGTCACAGCGGGTGAGTCCTACAGTATCTGTAATACTTTGCCCTATTTGTTCTGCCTGTCAGTGCTTTTCCAATGATGAATTTTATTTAACATTATCTGCTTGTGTCCCTTTTAGCAAAAAACTGAATACATTAATTTCTTCTTCTTGCAGTGTGGAATTACAGTAGTGTGTATAATGGAAATGAGGCACAGATCGTGTTTTCATTATTCCAAAATAAACCAGACATGCCTTTCAATAGTATATATTTATTTACACAAACATATATATATATATATATATACATATGAACATATGGGCTGCTACTTCTCAAACAAAATAAACAATTTAAAAACCCAGTGGATTATCTGAAAACTGTCTAAAAGCTGAAAACAGGAGTAGTTGTTATTGGAGATGTTTCTTTTATTTTTTTAAAGGACAGTGACATAATGTTGCTATTGTTGATACTCATCAAATCTTTTTGCTCTTTTGTAATTTTTTGTTTTTTAATTTGTGCAACATTGATTGTGTGGTGAGACATAACTTGCATGTGGCTTATTCTTATCAGACAACTTGCAGCTGGTTTGTGTCTGAATAACAACAACTGCCTTTCAAAAGGCACTGGTTTTCCAGACCTCATCCAAGACACAAGTGTTTTATAGATGAACGCTAACACATGGCTTTAAATCCTGAAAAAAATATGTAAACACAGCTAATATTATACAAAGATAATCCTGATACAAGGCTACATAAAGGCTGCTGACAATGCTAAATAATGTGTATATTGTAATATCCTAATGTGGAAAATATTTTATGATTTGGTCCATAAAGAAAATATAATAATGAAAACTGCATACAGAGGTGACTTCAAATGTATTATTTCATCTTACCAATATAGCATTGTACCCAAACCCACTGACATGTACATAAAAGGGAAGTGTGATAGACTTGTGTGACCACCTGTTGGTCTGTGTGTATAGTGTGTATTAGTTGTACTGTTTTCTTCAGCTTATTTGCAATTAAACTCATTCAAATCAACAAGTCCTGGTCTCCATCACAATGGCAACAGTTCAAAGATATTTAGTTTACTATCTAATCCTTGCAGCTCTAAGATGTTTCTGAGACTTGCATCTGTTGTACATATGAATTTTCTTTGTATGACATGATAATCCAATGTCACATTTGTTGATTATGTCAACTTCAACTTCAAATGTTTCACTTTATACAATGGCATACAGTTTACTGACAATGAGAACAACATTGAACAATTTAGAAAATGCATAGATGAATGCATGCATTTTAGCATAATACTTAGACCATAAACTTGTATATGAAAGTAAATTCACAGCTCACAACAATCTACTGAGATGTTTGAACTTTTTTGAATATCTGAAAGATCTTATATCTCATTTCTTTTGTCCTAAGACAGTAAATGAAAGGATTTACAAGAGATGGGCCAAGGATTGACCCGATCATTAAGCCATTCCACTCGTCAAGACTTAATACCACACCTAACCTGGTCAAGATAATGCGGATAAATAATGGACAGTAATAACATATTACTACGATAAAATGACTGAGACAAGTGCTGCCCATTTTTCTTTTGTCACTATTTGAGGATAATTTCACAAAAACTATGATCCAAAAGTATGACAGGCAAATGAAAATGAAAGTGAAAAACAGAAGAAAAAATGATATGATTGAAATCATATTAAAGTAATAAGTGGGGTCAGCACAAGTAGTTCTTATAATGGCAGCATAGTCACAGTAAATGTACTTCAGCTTTGAGGAGCAGTGAGGGAGAGGAAGCACAGTTGCCGGCATTACAGCCACAAAACTACAGGCAACAATCCACACGAGATATATCAATAGAAGAGTGCGAACATTTGTTAAATAACTTTGGTACTGAAAAGGATAGCTAACAGCAAGCAATCGATCAAATGCCATAACCGCTAAAGCAAACATCTCCATCACTGCTGCCAAATGCAAACTAAACATTTGCATTAGGCACGGTACATAGGATATAGTATTAACACCAACAAGTAGAACCCCAATTATTGTTGGACTGGTACTGGAGGTGTTCAGTATATCAACAACAGCAAGGTTGCAAATTAGAAGATACATTGGTTTGTGTAATCTCTTGTCACAAATAATGAGGACAATGTTTACTATATTGGCTAGGGTAGCTATTAAATAAGTAATCAATATAACCACACCGACTCCCATAGGTCTTCCGATTGTGTCAAAACCACCTATAAGAAACTCTGTAACTTCAATTGAAGAATTCTGAAAAGACATATTCAACACAATATGAAGATAAAAAAAATCTAATCAACGCCCCGGCTCCAGTGTCAGAAGCATCCACCTCCAAATCTCAACGCAAAAGGTCATTCAACGTGTAAATCAGCCATAATCATTTTACAAAAATAACTGCGCTCAATCAAACAACTTTCACTACAACTAACAATGGAGTTTACCACACAGCTGTTAGGGTTTTTAAGCTCACCAGAGCAGTAGCATTTCAATGGGTAGACCCATCGTCCAATCACATTGGATTTGGATTTCAGTTCATATAATTACATAACATTATGACATCCAAAATACCAGATACAATGTGTTAGTGTAATTAGGCAGCTTTAAAGGCCAAGTGTGTAACCTTTAGGTTGATCTATTGGCAGAAAGAGTATATCTCCTGAATATAGGAATATATAGGAATGTTTTTTGTTACATTAGAATGAGCTGTTCTTATCTACAGAGGGAGCGGGAGACTGTCTCCACAGAGACTGAGAAAATCAGGTTCCTCTGGCGCCTCCTAGTGCTTCTAATGGAATTTGCAAAATTACAGTTTTCATTAAGGCGTAGTAGACTTTTTAGGATATTTTTAGGTTATCTGTCTCTGTACTGTTTCAGCAAAGTTATTTTCATAAAAGTTACCTACTGCATATTTAATTGGCAATATTCAATTCAATTCAATTTTATTTGTATAGCGCCAATTCATAACAGAAGTTATCTCAGGACACTTTTCAAATAGAGCAGGTCTAGACCGAACTCTTTAACATTAATTACAGAGACCCAACAGTACCACCATGAGCAAGCACTTGGCGACAAGGGCAAGGAAAAACTGCCTGTTAAAAGGCAGAAACCTAGGACAGATCCTCCGGCTCTAGGTGGGTGGTCGTCTGTCTCGACCAGTTGGGGTGAGAGAGAGAGAGAGAGAGAGAGAGAGAGAGAGAGAGAGAGAGAGCGACAGACAGACAGACAGGTGCACAGCAACAACAGTATTGGCAATGGCAGTCAAGCAGGACCATGGCAGGAGGCTCCACCAGGATCCATGAGAACCTGCGAGACGAGAAAGCACAAGAACTCCGGGGAAGAAGTGGAGTTAGTAACATGCATTAAAGGGACATGAATGAGTTCAGAAAGAGAGAGGAAGAGAGTAGCTCAGTGCACCATGGGAAATCCCCCCGATAGTCTAGGCCTATAGCAGCATAACTAAGGGATGGTTCAGGACTCAGCTGATCCAGCCCTAACTATAAGCTTTATCAAAGAGGAATGTCTTAAGCCTACTCTTGAATGTGGTGAGGGTGTCTGCCTCCCGAACCACAACTGGAAGCTGGTTCCACAGGAGAGGAGCTTGGTAACTGAAGGCTCTGGCTCCTGTTCTACTTTTAGAGACTATAGGAACCACAAGTAGCCCAGCATTCAGAGAACGTAGTGTTCTAGTGGGGTAATAGGGTACTATGAGCTCTTTAAGATATGAAGGGGCCTGACCATGAAGAGCTTTATAGGTGAGGAGGAGGATTTTAAATTCAATTCTACATTTTATAGGGAGCCAATGCAGAGTAGCTGGTACAGGAGAGATGTGATCTCTTTTTCTAGATCCTGTCAGTACTCGTGCTGCAGCGTTCTGAATTAATTGGAGTGTTTTAATGGACTTATTGGGGCAACCTGATAATAAAGAGTTGCAGTAATCCAGCCTTGAAGTAACAAATGCATGGATTAGTTTTTCTGCATCTGTCTGTGATAGTATGTGTCTAATTTTTCTAATATTACGTAAATGAAAGAAGGCAGTCCTAGAGGTCTGCTTTATGTGGGAGTTAAATGACAAATCCTGATCAAAGATAACTCCAAGATTCCTGACAGTGGTGCTAGAGGCCAAGTTAATGCCATCTAGAGTGACTATATCTTTAGACAATGAGTCTAAGGTTTTTGGGGCCAAGAACAAGAATTTCGTTTTTTTTTCTGAGTTTAACATCAGAAAATTGCAGGTCATCCAGGATTTTATGTCCTTAAGACATGTTTGTAATTTAGATAATTGATTAATTTCATTGGGTTTGATTGATAGATATAACTGCGTATCATCTGCATAACAGTGAAAGTTAATGGAGTGATTCCTAATAATGTTGCCTAGAGGGAGCATATATAAAGTAAATAGTATTGGTCCAAGTACAGAACCTTGTGGAACTCCATGACTAACTTTAGTATTTATGGAGGATTCATCGTTAACATGTACAAACTGAGAACGATCAATTTCAGTTGACCTAAGGGGTCTCAAACTCCAATTTGCTCTTTGTTGTTTGTAGCTGAACATTAAATGACGGCCTGAAACCTGCTCTCTTCTTATGAACCGTTGACCTTTTCCATTATTTTGTGCCACATGAAATACATTTTTTAAAATAGAACTGTGTTTTTTTTTCTGTAAATGAAGGGGTCGTTTAAATTGATATGAAACAACTATAAGAAATAATAATCAAAAATAATTATATATTATATATATTAAATATATATATTATATTTGGACATCAGATCACAGGCTGGAGGGAGGGGGATGAAGGGCTGGAAATGTAGCAGTTTGATATCCCTGACCTAAACTGAATGTCTTTTAACTAATGCGGTAATCCAGATCATCCAGAGAACATCCATGCAAACTACACAAAGAAAGTTCTGAGTACTGACCACTGCTTCATCTCATTTTTCATATGAATATGGACTCAACATGTAGGTCAGTTGCTCCAAAACTAAAATCTACTCCAACAAACCTATACAATTTTAGTAGTCTAGACTATATAATGTATCTATCTATTGATGTTGTGTTCAGTACAACAGTTTACCATGAAAAAGTTTTGTCTTGGAGGCAGAATGACATGTTTTGTTTTTTGGTCGATGATACTCAAGCAACAACACAAATGAGTTCCAAGAGGAAGCTAATTAGTGTCTGATGTCAATAATGCTCTGTCTCAAGTGTGTGATTAAAGTGTTTAGTGTGAGTGTAGGCCTGTGTGTGTGTATGCTTGTACCCTAGTGAATTCTCATCTCAAAACAGTCTTATGTAATGTTGTTGTCTCCAGAATCGCATATTTCTCTATATTCGAAACACTGTGTTTTACATACCCAATACTTTCCTCTAACTTTCTCTGGGAAGAGCAACTCTTTAAGGTGTTGTTAACACATGGATTGATATCTTAGTTCAAGGTCCAGTGTGTAACATTTAGGAGGATCTATTGGCCGAAATGGACTATACCATTCATAGGATTTCATTTGTGTATAATTACCTTAAAATAACAATCGTTGTGTTTCTGTTGTCATAGAATGAGCACCACCATGTTTCTAAAGTAGCCCAGAGTGGACAAACTAAAAACTGTCTCTAGACAGGGCATTTCACATTTTTTGCGAGTTTCACAGCCAACATAGTTTCTCCTACATGTTTGGAAGGCAAGTGGTATTCAGTTGCAATCTGCAACTTCACTGCTAGATGCCACTAAATTCTACACCAGTCCATTAAGTTCAATAAAATTGGGAAACACAAAATGTTAGTGCTACATACATGGGGCCTACAGCCTTGCTGGCAATGTATGGTTCTGAACTGCCTGAGAGTCTTCCACGTTAAAAATGGAGTATATGGATCTCCAGTTACTACTCTAATTATTAAGTTTGGCAGACATAAATACGTTAAAGTAAAATTAAGTTATACTAAAAAACTAAACAAATGTCTAAACAAGTGGGTCCTGATCTGCTATTTAAAGGTGTCCATACATCATAAGTCATAACAGGAGAGAGTTGCAATGTCTCCTTTTGTCAGCGCACTGCACCTTAAGAAAACACATTCAAATTCAAACAAGTAAAGAAGAAAAAAATCTCTTTACAATCTTGAGTCTTGTGCTTTTCAGATGAAGCTTCTGTACACCACAAATCACTCTGCTACAAACTTACCATTACATAACATTACATAACCATTACTTATACTAAAACTACAAATAACTACAGTAATAATGACAACCTCATGCAGATATTGTCCAACAACCAGAGGTGTAAAACCCAAAAGGCTTCATATTTCATGTTTTTCATTGACTTGTAACCTTGAGGGTTATGCTGTAAAGCTAACCCACACAGATCAAACTGTGCTGAGAGACCACCATTAAACACTGGGGATATTAAAACTCCTTCCTCAGTGTTAATTTAGGTACACACTGGGGTTTTGTTAAAGTGCAGATGTTTAGTCCTATGGGATTTATAATCCATTAGCATGATTAAATTAATGGTTATTTTAATTAGCCATCACAAGGTGGGTGTTCTTGTGCTGCACAGCATATACAGTATTTCCCCACTGGGCAATTAAATGTTAATTACTATTTTATAATTATTATTTATTATTACAGGAGTTATTGTCAGAAAAGTAGGATATTAACACCTATTGAGAAAGACTAATGCTGTAAAACAAAGATGACTCAATATAATGTAATGTTTCGATTACCAAATGATACACAAGCAATGGCTTTCACTGGTTTACTGTACTTTTTGTGTATCTTGAGAGTATGGATGTCTTTCTGGTTGATGAAAAAACATCAATTATTGTGGCTACGAGAGATGAATTTACTCATTGTTATTGATCGACAGAGAATAACAAAGGGTGGATCCTGTACGGCCATCAGAAAGCAGGCTTTGAGAAGTGTTTTTAAGAGGTGAATCAGCAGGTGAAGCATATGCAGCCATACTGTTTGAGAAAGTGTAAAAGCTTGAGTGATATAGCCATGAACCTTATAATGAGAGTTACTCACGTCAGATGAAAACCATATACCAAGTATTGCTACTGTTTAAATGTTTGAGACATGTTTAATCACTGCCCCTATATTTCCTTTTTAGTGTGTCTGGAAATTCATGCCAGCGGGAAATCATAGTATTGTGACTGAATTCGTCCTTACTGGATTCCCTGGACTTCATCCAGAGTATCAAGGCATCACCTCAGCTGTATTGTTCCTCGTTTATTTCTTTACTTTGACAGGCAACTGTTATGTTAAACAGAGGAACCCAAAAGCAGATCACAAACTCGGTTGTTACGATTCCAAAAGACAGGCTTTATTGGAAATCCGGGGAATGAAATGGGGAGGTGTAGCCTCCCTAGGCAGAGTGGAACTGGAATCTTACGGTAGCATGGCAGGCAGGCAGGAAGCAGTGGGCAGTTAGCTACAGCAAAGCGTATGATCCTGAGACACGGGGAACAACAAGGTTAGAGTTTGTAGCAAAAAGCACTTCTCTTAAATACTCCTACTTACTACTGACTATAACAGTACCCCCCCTCAATGAGAGCCTCCAGGCGAGCCACCAGGCTTGTCTGGATGGTCCTGATGAAACTGAAACCTCTGGACCGTATCCTTCCCAGTCCACCAAATAATGAAGACCCCTACCACGACGCCGCACATCCAGCAGGCACTGAACAGTGTAGGCTGGATGAGCTGGGTGGGAGGTGGGGGGTCGGCCGGAGGACACAGAGGACTGCTGCCTCTAGCCAGTGTCTCCACTCCTCCAAGGCTAATTTAACTGCCAACAATTCCCTGTTACCAACATCATAGTTCTGCTCGGCCGGATTCAGACGACGAGAGAAAAAGGCACAGGGATGCAGGTTTTGGTCTGGAATAGAGCGCTGGGACAACACCGCCCCGGCTCCAGTGTCAGAAGCATCCACCTCCAAAATGAACTGACGATTGGGGTCAGGCTGAACCAAAATAGGGGCCGAAGTGAATCTGTGCTTTAGCTCTGTGAATGCAGCCTCAGCTTCAGGGGTCCAAGAGTAGGGGGAGGAAGGTGAGGTGAGCTGGGTGAGTGGTACAGCTACCCGACTGTAGTCTCTGATGAAACGGCGGTAGAAGTTCGCGAAGCCAAGAAACCGTTGTAGTTGTTTCAGGTTAGTTGGTCTTGGCCACTCTATAACTGCCTTGATTTTCTCAGGGTCTGTCCTCACCTGCCCGCTCTCCACAATGAAGCCTAGGAAACTCCCTGAGTTGGTGTGGAACTCACACTTCTCCGCCTTGGCAAACAGTTTGCTCTCCAGGAGCCTTTGCAGCACTTGCTGGACATGGAGAGTGTGTTCCTGGAGGTTCTGGGAGAAGATGAGAATGTCGTCTAGGTAGACAAACACAAAACGGTTAAGGAAGTCTCTGAGAACATCATTCACCAATGCCTGAAACACTGCACGGGCATTGGCTAGGCCTAACCAAGTATTCAAAATGTCCTAACGGGGTGTTGAATTCTATCTTCCATTCATCCCCCTTCCTAATCCTAACCAAGTGGTATGCATTCCTCAGGTCCAGTATCCCCACATCTACTGATGAGTGTGTTCCAATTACAAAATTATACACAGTCAATGACTTTCACTGGTCTACTGTACTTTTGTTTATGTTGAGAGTATGGATGTCTTTCTGGTCGATGAAAAAACGTTCATTATTGTGGCTTAGAGAGATGGATTTACTCATTATGAGTGATCCACAGAGAATAAAAAGGGTGGATCCTGTATGGCCATCAGAAAGCAGGCTTTGAGAAGTGTTTTTAAGAGGTGAATCAGTGGGTGAAGAGTATGCAGCCATACTGTTTGAGAAAGGTAAGTGTAAAAGCTTGAGTGATATAGCCATGAACCTTATAATGAGAGTTACTCACGTCAGATGAAAACCATATACCAAGTATTGCTACTGTTTAAATGTTTGAGACATGTTTAATCACTGCCGCTATATTTCCTTTTTAGTGTGCCTGGAAATTCCTACTCAATCATGCCAGAGGGAAATCATAGCATTGTGACTGAATTCGTCCTTACTGGATTCCCTGGACTTCATCCAGAGTATCAAGGCATTGCCTCTGTTGTATTGTTCATCGTTTATTTCTTAACTTTGACAGGCAACTCTATGATTATTTTTTTATTTGCAATTGACCACAGCCTTCATAAGCCTATTTATTATATAATTCTAAATCTGTGTGCATGTGACCTTTTCTTTAGCACAACCACTTTACCTAAAATCATCAGTAAATATTGGTTTCAATCAGGGACTATTTCATTCACTGCTTGCTTTGTCCAAATGTACTTTGTTCACTATCTTGGCACAGTGAATTCCTATATTCTCTTCCTAATGGCTTTAGATAGGTATTTGGCTATCTGTCATCCTCTCAGATATCCACTTCTTCTTAAAAACTCCACAATCTACATTCTCAGTATTTCTGCGTGGATTGTTGCCCAGGCAGGTCCTTTAATGTTAGTTATTAGAGCGTACCCTCTTCCTTACTGTGCCTCAAACATAATCAACCACTGCTACTGTGATCATATTGGTATAACCATGCTGGCATGCACTGACAGGGCACCTTATGGTTTTCCTGCTTTTGTGTTAGCGATGGTTACACTGCTGGGACCTCTGGCGTTTATAGTTTTCTCTTATTGCTCTATAATTATATCAGTACTGAAGATAGCAAATGTACAAGGTCGACTCAAATTGCTGTCCACTTGTAGTACTCAACTGATTATAATCGCACTCTATTATTTACCCAGATGTTTTGTATATTTAGCCAGCAATGTTGGTATTACATTTAGTGCTGATGCGCGAATAGTAATTATTATGCTGTATAGCCTTTGCCCTCCCATGATCAATCCACTTATATACTGCTTAAGAGCTAAAGACATGAGAGAAAGCTTGTGGAAGCAATTCAGCAGAAAGCCCATTCCACAAAAAGCACAAGTTTCAGCTATTAGTAACTGATAAACTAATTCATTATTCAGTGTTTTTGCTTTCTTCTTATTGGCCATCTCGCTTTGTGAGGACTGGAAAGAATAAAAGTATTGATTATGGATAAACTGAAAGCCAAAGCTATCACCAAAGTTAAACATTTAATTTTAAACCATGTTTTAATTTAAAGTACATTCTTAGAGAGAGGCAAAAAGACTTTCTTTGTCTGGGTTATCAGCATTTATTGAATGAAACAGCCCCTTATGTTTGTTCTGTAAAACAAATAATGTCATTATTACGGCAATGTATGATCTCTGTCGACCTGCCAAGTTGTTATGAAAATTGTGTCATGTATTTTACTGTCAGAGTACAAGGTGAGCTCAAAATAGATACACAGAATGAAGGTATATTTCAAACCTATGTCTTGTATGTTTATCACAAAATGTAATCAATAAAATATATATAAATGATGAATAATGACAGTCTTTTAAATATCCTGGGACGTGAACTGAACTGTTTATGAGATTGTTAACTTCTGTCCTGGACTTTACCTCCGATCTTTCAGTGTCTCACACAGGTTTCTGGTCTCACCAGGCCAAAAACAGCTTCCTGGAAGTGGGAGCATAGTAGTAGTAATACAATACTAAATCCAAATTATCCTTGCTTGCTCATTCTTAAAAGAGTTACATTATTTGTCGACCTCCAGCAAAGAAATGTTGGTTTTCTCCATAAGAAAAACCTCCTAGTAGAAGAAATGTATACAATCTGTCAAATAAATACTGCTTACCAAAAGTCTATGAGGTATGTTGGGATCCCTTTAAATATGAACTTGTTCATTTGAAGTGTTTAACTGAAACACAAAGGGACATGTAGGAATTTGACCATGTGCTCAGAAACTCTTGAGGCCTGTATGTAAAAGTAAAGGGATTGTAGTAGTCTTTTAGACAAAGGAAACACGCCCACCAGATAACAGACCCCTCTATGGGGGGGTCCCGGTATGCGGCCAGGGTGTGTCTTAAAGGCAATAAAACGGCCAAACACCGGCCGGTCATTGGTCAAGATTCGCTCTGACACCAGACCTGTCATCAAGGCTATTTAAGCCAGAGAGACGCTCTCCTCTTCCTCTTCTCATCTACCTTCGCTCCTGCTCCTGGCTAAACAAGGACGTGATGTTGATTTGATTAACTGAGGTTACTGTAGTAACTGCAGTCTTTGAGACAGTGCTAAGGTGATGTTAGTTTAATGCTTCACACAGACATCGTCTTTGCATACAATTACTCCCTTTCTAAGGCACCGTTAATCTAAAAATCACACACATATTCGGTCTAGGTACATACACGTGGAAAGGGATTCAAAACCTCCTGCCTCTCATTCTCTCTGCCTCTCACCAGCACGTGTTTCATACCCTGAAACATCTGGTCGGAGGACACAGGACCTAAGCCTTTTATGACCCCCCATAAACACACACACACACACACACACACACACACACACACACACACACACACACACACACACACACACACACACACACACACCCTTTAGTTATTTTAAGTTAGATTGTATATTGGGGTTAATACATGTTTGTGTTTACATATGCTGGCCTATTTAATTTCGTACAAGAGTGAGTGATACCAACCTCTTCTATGTAGAACTCCAAAGCTCCCGCTCTAGCCATTATTAATGATTTATGATCCTCTTTTTTTAAAGAAGAAAATAATGGACTGTATTGGACTGTAATCAATGATAAAATCATTGTAGTGGATGTATGAAAATATTGAAAACTAGAGTAAAGAAGAGTGAAAACAACATTTTTAAATTCTAGGATAGAGTGTATATATAGCTATAATCAGGTGGTGACACCATGACACAGACAACTCTATTCAGACACTAAGAGCATTTTAATTGTATTTGTCTGAGCAATGATGGTAGACACCATATGTCTACAGTAGCCCAGGCGGACAAACTAAACACTGCTCCAGACAGGGCCTTTCATGTTTATGTGAGTTTCACAGCCACCGCAGTTTCTCCTACATGTTTGGAAGGCAAGTGGTAATATTCATATGTAATCTGCAACTTCACTGCTAGATGCCACTAAATTGTACACACTGGTCCATTAAGTTCCATAAATTTGGGAAACCCAAATATAAATGCTACAAAAAAGTGAAATCTGTGATTTATTTATATAAAACTTTTTTAAGACAGAGTTACAAAGTGCTTTACAAACAACAAAAATAAAAAACACACAAACATACATATGGGCCTATATATATGCATATATACATATAAATATGTACATGCACAACCATACCCAATCAAACATACATAGGGAGCATGTAAATATAAACATAAGAAGATAAAATAAGAGGGGAATTATAAATTAAAAGAGAGATGACAGATGAGAAAACAAACAAGAAGGAGATCTATGAAAAGGCTAGCCTGTAGAGGTGGGTTTTGAGGAGCCGCTTAAAACAGTCCACAAATTCAGCAAGTCTGAGTGATTCGGGAATAGTATTCCACAATGTTAGGGCTAAAATAGCAAAGGCACGGTTGTTACACTTGATTACACTGGCTTGTGGCCAGTTAACTGCTGTGATACACCTATGTTCTGTGCCTCGGTGAGAGGACATCAATCAGAAGTCTGTATTCATAATCCAAAATCCTTAAAAGAGCAACAAACAAAAGCAGCCACTTCCTCACACTGTACATATGTTTAAATACAAATTGACCTGCATTAAAATCGGCTGCTCAACGTTTCTTTTTTGTTTTTAATTTTACATTTAACAATGCTTGACAGCAAGCATTTTGTCATTTGTCTGGTTCTGCTTTAATGGCAAGTAACATGCACTTCACATTTGTTCTAACATAATACATTTAGCTAATGAATTGCATTTTCTGAAGTTAGTCATTACTGGAGAGATGCTGTATTTTGTTTTACTCTGCCTAGTTTTACTGCCTTTTTCTGATGCTGCCATTCATTACTTGTCCACCAGGTATCCTCAGTACGCTCCCTTATGCTGCACACCTGTGAGCAATAGTTTAATCAGCCCTGATCTGCTGCTTGTCTTTGCAGTCAACAACAGTGGTTGAGGAAACTATACAGCAGGCTTTTATTAAATGATTTCAACAATTGCTTAAACAGCCCAAGTTATATTTCATGTGCCCCAGCTGCAAGAGTTTGTCATTTTTACTCACCAATCAAACATTATTGTTACCAGCATAATAACATGTGATCATCAGTATTTGTTCAGTATGTGCTTTCATTCACACACGTAATATGTCTGTCACAGCGGGTGAGTCCTACACCTGCATTTTATTTAACATTATCTGCTTGTGTCCCTTTTAGCAAAAAACTGAATACATTCATTTCTTCTTCTTGCAGTGTGGAATTACAGTAGTGTGTATGATGGAAATGAAGTACAGATCGTGTTTTCATTATTCCAAAATAAACCAGACATGCCTTTCACTAGTATATATTTATTTACACAAACATATTTTAAATTTAAAAACCCAGTGGATTATCTGAAAACTGTCTAAAAGCTGAAAACAGGAGTAGTTGTTGGAGATGTTTCTTTTCTTTTTTTTTACAGGACAGTGACATAATGTTGCTATTGTTGATACTCATCAAATCTTTTTGCTCTTTTGTAATTTTTTGTTTTTTAATTTGTGCAACATTGATTGTGTGGTGAGACATAACTTGCATGTGGCTTATTCTTATCAGACAACTTGCAGCTGGTTTGTGTCTGAATAACAACAACTGCCTTTCAAAAGGCACTGGTTTTCCAGACCTCATCCAAGACACAAGTGTTTTATAGATGAACGCTAACACATGGCTTTAAATCCTAAAAAAAATATGTAAACACAGCTAATATTATACAAAGATAATCCTGATACAAGGCTACATAAAGGCTGCTGACAATGCTAAATAATGTGTATATTGTAATATGCTAATGTGGAAAACATTTTATGATTTGGTCCATAAAGAAAATATAATAATGAAAACTGCATACAGAGGTGACTTCAAATGTATTATTTCATCTTACCAATATAGCATTGTACCCAAACCCACTGACATGTACATAAAAGGGAAGTGTGATAGACTTGTTTGACCACCTGTTGGTCTGTGTGTATAGTGTGTATTAGTTGTACTGTTTTCTTCAGCTTATTTGCAAATAAACTCATTCAAATCAACAATTAATTTTTATTTTTATATAATTTTCTTTTATAATGATAATCCAATGTCACATTTGTTGATTCTCTTCAACTTGAACTTCAAATGTTTATATATCACTTTATACAATGGCATACAGTTTACTGACAATGAGAACAACATTGAACAATTTAGAAAATGCATAGATGAATGCATGCATTTTAGCATAATACTTAGACCATAAACTTGTATATGAAAGTAAATTCACAGCTCACAACAATCTACTGAGATGTCTGAACTTTTTGAATATCTGAAAGATCTTATATCTCATTTCTTTTGTCCTAAGACAGTAAATGAAAGGATTTACAAGAGATGGGCCAAGGATTGACCCGATCATTAAGCCATTCCACTCATCAATTGTTAATACCACACCTAACCTGGTCAAGATAATGCGGATAAATAATGGACAGTAATAACATGTTACTACGATAAAATGACTTAGATAAGTGCTGCCCATTTTTCTTTTGTCACTATTTGAGGATAATTTCACAAAAACTATGATCCAAAAGTATGACAGGCAAATGAAAATGAAAGTGAAAAACAGAAGAAAAAATGATATGATTGAAATCATATTAAAGTAATAAGTGGGGTCAGCACAAGTAGTTCTTATAATGGCAGCATAGTCACAGTAAATGTACCTCATCTTTGAGGAGCAGTGAGGGAGAGGAAGCACAGTTGCCGGCATTACAGCCACAAAACTACAGGCACAATCCACACGAGATATATCAATAGAAGAGTGCGAACATTTGTCAAATAACTTTGGTACTGAAAAGGATAGCTAACAGCAAGCAATCGATCAAATGCCATAACCGCTAAAGCAAACATCTCCATCACTGCTGCCAAATGGAAAATAAACATTTGCATTAGGCACGGTACATAGGATATAGTATTAACACCAACAAGTAGAACCCCAATTATTGTTGGACTGGCACTGGAGGTGTTCAGTATATCAACAACAGCAAGGTTGCAAATCAGAAGATACATTGGTTTGTGTAATCTCTTGTCACAAATAATGAGGACAATGTTTACTATATTGGCTAGGGTAGCTATTAAATAAGTAATCAATATAACCACACCGACTACCATAGGTCTTCCGATTGTGTCAAAACCACCTATAAGAAACTCTGTAACTTCAATTGAAGAATTCTGAAAAGACATATTCAACACAATATGAAGATAAAAAAATCTAATCTCAAAGCAAAAGGTCATTCAACGTGTAAATCAGCCATAATCATTTTACAAAAATAACTGCGCTCAATCAAACAACTTTCACTACAACTAACAATGGAGTTTACCACACAGCTGTTAGGGTTTTTAAGCTCACCAGAGCAGTAGCATTTCAATGGGTAGACCCATTGTCCAATCACGCTGGATTTGGATTTCAGTTCATATAATTACATAACATTATGACATCCAAAATACCAGATACAATGTGTTAGTGTAATTAGGCACCTTTAAAGGCCAAGTGTGTAACCTTTAGGTTGATCTATTGGCAGAAAGAGTATATCTCCTGAATATAGGAATATATAGGAATGTTTTTTGTTACATTAGAATGAGCTGTTTTTATCTACAGAGGGAGCGGGAGACTGTCTCCACAGAGACTGAGAAAATCAGGTTCCTCTGGCGCCTCCTAGTGCTTCTAATGGAATTTGCAAAATTACAGTTTTCATTAAGGCGTAGTAGACTTTTTAGGATATTTTTAGGTTATCTGTCTCTGTACTGTTTCAGCAAAGTTATTTTCATAAAAGTTACCTACTGCATCTTTAATTGGCAATATCAATTTCAGTTGACCTAAGGGGTCTCAAACTCCAATTTGCTCTTTGTTGTTTGTAGCTGAACATTAAATGACGGCCTGAAACCTGCTCTCTTCTTATGAACCGTTGACCTTTTCCATTATTTTGTGCCACATGAAATACATTTTTTAAAATAGAATTGTGTTTTTTTCTGTAAATGAAGGGGTCGTTTAAATTGATATGAAACAACTATAAGAAATAATAATCAAAAATAATTATATATTATATATATTAAATATATATATTATATTTGGACATCAGATCACAGGCTGGAGGGAGGGGAATGAAGGGCTGGAAATGTAGCAGTTTGATATCCCTGACCTAAACTGAATGTCTTTTAACTAATGCGGTAATCCAGATCATCCAGAGAACATCCATGCAAACTACACAAAGAAAGTTCTGAGTACTGACCACTGCTTCATCTCATTTTTCATATGAATATGGACTCAACAAGTAGGTCAGTTGCTCCAAAACTAACATCTACTCCAACAAACCTATACAATTTTAGTAGTCTAGACTATATAATGTATCTATCTATTGATGTTGTGTTCAGTACAACAGTTTACCATGAAAAAGTTTTGTCTTGGAGGCAGAATGACATGTTTTGTTTTTGGTCGATGATACTCAAGCAACAACACAAATGAGTTCCAAGAGGAAGCTAATTAGTGTCTGATGTCAATAATGCTCTGTCTCAAGTGTGTGATTAAAGTGTTTAGTGTGAGTGTAGGCCTGTGTGTGTGTATGCTTGTACCCTAGTGAATTCTCATCTCAAAACAGTCTTATGTAATGTTGTTGTCTCCAGAATCGCATATTTCTCTATATTCGAAACACTGTGTTTTACATACCCAATACTTTCCTCTAACTTTCTCTGGGAAGAGCAACTCTTTAAGGTGTTGTTAACACATGGATTGATATCTTAGTTCAAGGTCCAGTGTGTAACATTTAGGAGGATCTATTGGCCGAAATGGACTATACCATTCATAGGATTTCATTTGTGTATAATTACCTTAAAATAACAATCGTTGTGTTTCTGTTGTCATAGAATGAGCACCACCATGTTTCTAAAGTAGCCCAGAGTGGACAAACTAAAAACTGTCTCTAGACAGGGCATTTCACATTTTTTGCGAGTTTCACAGCCAACATAGTTTCTCCTACATGATTGGAAGGCGAGTGGTATTCAGTTGCAATCTGCAACTTCACTGCTAGATGCCACTAAATTCTACACCAGTCCATTAAGTTCCATAAAATTGGGAAACACAAAATGTTAGTGCTACATACATGGGGCCTACAGCCTTGCTGGCAATGTATGGTTCTGAACTGCCTGAGAGTCTTCCACGTTAAAAATGGAGTATATGGATCTCCAGTTACTACTCTAATTATTAAGTTTGGCAGACATAAATACGTTAAAGTAAAATTAAGTTATACTAAAAACTAAACAAATGTCTAAACAAGTGGGTCCTGATCTGCTATTTAAAGGTGTCCATACATCATAAGTCATAACAGGAGAGAGTTGCAATGTCTCCTTTTGTCAGCGCACTGCACCTTAAGAAAACACATTCAAATTCAAACAAGTAAAGAAGAAAAAAATCTCTTTACAATCTTGAGTCTTGTGCTTTTCAGATGAAGCTTCTGTACACCACAAATCACTCTGCTACAAACTTACCATTACATAACATTACATAACCATTACTTATACTAAAACTACAAATAACTACAGTAATAATGACAACCTCATGCAGATATTGTCCAACAACCAGAGGTGTAAAACCCAAAAGGCTTTATATTTCATGTTTTTCATTGACTTGTAACCTTGAGGGTTATGCTGTAAAGCTAACCCACACAGATCAAACTGTGCTGAGAGACCACCATTAAACACTGGGGATATTAAAACTCCTTCCTCAGTGTTAATTTAGGTACACACTGGGGTTTTGTTAAAGTGCAGATGTTTAGTCCTATGGGATTTATAATCCATTAGCATGATTAAATTAATGGTTATTTTAATTAGCCATCACAAGGTGGGTGTTCTTGTGCTGCACAGCATATACAGTATTTCCCCACTGGGCAATTAAATGTTAATTACTATTTTATAATTATTATTTATTATTACAGGAGTTATTGTCAGAAAAGTAGGATATTAACACCTATTGAGAAAGACTAATGCTGTAAAACAAAGATGACTCAATATAATGTAATGTTTCGATTACCAAATGATACACAAGCAATGGCTTTCACTGGTTTACTGTACTTTTTGTGTATCTTGAGAGTATGGATGTCTTTCTGGTTGATGAAAAAACATCAATTATTGTGGCTACGAGAGATGAATTTACTCATTGTTATTGATCGACAGAGAATAACAAAGGGTGGATCCTGTACGGCCATCAGAAAGCAGGCTTTGAGAAGTGTTTTTAAGAGGTGAATCAGCAGGTGAAGCATATGCAGCCATACTGTTTGAGAAAGTGTAAAAGCTTGAGTGATATAGCCATGAACCTTATAATGAGAGTTACTCACGTCAGATGAAAACCATATACCAAGTATTGCTACTGTTTAAATGTTTGAGACATGTTTAATCACTGCCCCTATATTTCCTTTTTAGTGTGTCTGGAAATTCATGCCAGCGGGAAATCATAGTATTGTGACTGAATTCGTCCTTACTGGATTCCCTGGACTTCATCCAGAGTATCAAGGCATCACCTCAGCTGTATTGTTCCTCGTTTATTTCTTTACTTTGACAGGCAACTGTTATGTTAAACAGAGGAACCCAAAAGCAGATCACAAACTCGGTTGTTACGATTCCAAAAGACAGGCTTTATTGGAAATCCGGGGAATGAAATGGGGAGGTGTAGCCTCCCTAGGCAGAGTGGAACTGGAATCTTACGGTAGCATGGCAGGCAGGCAGGAAGCAGTGGGCAGTTAGCTACAGCAAAGCGTATGATCCTGAGACACGGGGAACAACAAGGTTAGAGTTTGTAGCAAAAAGCACTTCTCTTAAATACTCCTACTTACTACTGACTATAACAGTACCCCCCCCTCAATGAGAGCCTCCAGGCGAGCCACCAGGCTTGTCTGGATGGTCCTGATGAAACTGAAACCTCTGGACCGTATCCTTCCCAGTCCACCAAATAATGAAGACCCCTACCACGACGCCGCACATCCAGCAGGCACCGAACAGTGTAGGCTGGATGAGCTGGGTGGGAGGTGGGGGGTCGGCCGGAGGACACAGAGGACTGCTGCCTCTAGCCAGTGTCTCCACTCCTCCAAGGCTAATTTAACTGCCAACAATTCCCTGTTACCAACATCATAGTTCTGCTCGGCCGGATTCAGACGACGAGAGAAAAAGGCACAGGGATGCAGGTTTTGGTCTGGAATAGAGCGCTGGGACAACACCGCCCCGGCTCCAGTGTCAGAAGCATCCACCTCCAAAATGAACTGACGATTGGGGTCAGGCTGAACCAAAATAGGGGCCGAAGTGAATCTGTGCTTTAGCTCTGTGAATGCAGCCTCAGCTTCAGGGGTCCAAGAGTAGGGGGAGGAAGGTGAGGTGAGCTGGGTGAGTGGTACAGCTACCCGACTGTAGTCTCTGATGAAACGGCGGTAGAAGTTCGCGAAGCCAAGAAACCGTTGTAGTTGTTTCAGGTTAGTTGGTCTTGGCCACTCTATAACTGCCTTGATTTTCTCAGGGTCTGTCCTCACCTGCCCGCTCTCCACAATGAAGCCTAGGAAACTCCCTGAGTTGGTGTGGAACTCACACTTCTCTGCCTTGGCAAACAGTTTGCTCTCCAGGAGCCTTTGCAGCACTTGCTGGACATGGAGAGTGTGTTCCTGGAGGTTCTGGGAGAAGATGAGAATGTCGTCTAGGTAGACAAACACAAAACGGTTAAGGAAGTCTCTGAGAACATCATTCACCAATGCCTGAAACACTGCACGGGCATTGGCTAGGCCTAACCAAGTATTCAAAATGTCCTAACGGGGTGTTGAATGCTATCTTCCATTCATCCCCCTCCCTAATCCTAACCAAGTGGTATGCATTCCTCAGGTCCAGCTTTGAGAAGACAGTGGCACCGTGAAGAGGTTCAAAAGCTGAACTTATAAGTGGCAGAGGGTACTTGTTTTTGACAGTTATGTTATTCAGGCCCCGGTAATCAATGCATAGACGAAGGGTCTTGTCTTTCTTGGATACAAAGAAGAACCCGGCACCAACAGGAGAGGAAGAGGGATGGATGATACCTGCAGCAACAGAGTTGTTGATGTACTTCTCCATTGCCTCCCTTTCAGGACGAGACAGGTTGTATAACTGGCTGGTAGGTAGAGGGGATCCAGGAAGGAGGTCAATGGCGCAGTCATAGGGGTGATGTGGTGGCATGGACAGAGCCTTCTCCTTGCTGAAGACCTCCCCCAAATCATGATACTCAGGTGGGACAGAGGACAAATCTGGCGGCTCAGAGACTGGTTGGATGGTAGCTGCCTCTGGTGGAGGGAGAGCAGATTGCAAACAAGAGTTATGGCAAGATGTATTCCAACTCATCACCTTACCAGTAGTCCAGTCCAGATGAGGATTGTGTTTGATTAACCAGGGATGTCCAAGAATCAGAGGTACATTGGCTGATGGTAGGACGTAGAACTGAATATGTTCACGGTGGTTTCCAGAGAGATACAGGGGCACAGGAGCCATTTGGTGGGTTACTTGAGCCAAAAGCTTTCCATCAAGAGCATTGGCTGTCAGGGGGGAGGTGAGTGCAGTCATCTGAATGCCTGCCTAGAGAGCAAATTCCCGGTCCATAAAGTTCTCATCTGCTCCAGAATCCACAAAAGCTGACAGAGACAAAGAGTCATTATTCCAAAGAAGAGTGGCAGGCAATTGCATATGAGGTCGGGGGGCAGACGAAGTTTGGCTCACCAGTATCCCCACATCTACTGATGAGTGTGTTTCAATTACAAAATTATACACAGTCAATGACTTTCACTGGTCTACTGTACTTTTTGTTTATGTTGAGAGTATGGATGTCTTTCTGGTCGATGAAAAAACGTTCATTATTGTGGCTTAGAGAGATGGATTTACTCATTATTAGTGATCCACAGAGAATAAAAAGGGTGGATCCTGTATGGCCATCAGAAAGCAGGCTTTGAGAAGTGTTTTTAAGAGGTGAATCAGTGGGTGAAGAGTATGCAGCCATACTGTTTGAGAAAGGTAAGTGTAAAAGCTTGAGTGATATAGCCATGAACCTTATAATGAGAGTTACTCATGTCAGATGAAAACCATATACCAAGTATTGCTACTGTTTAAATGTTTGAGACATGTTTAATCACTGCCGCTATATTTCCTTTTTAGTGTGCCTGGAAATTCCTACTCAATCATGCCAGAGGGAAATCATAGCATTGTGACTGAATTCGTCCTTACTGGATTCCCTGGACTCCATCCAGAGTATCAAGGCATTGCCTCTGTTGTATTGTTCATCGTTTATTTCTTAACTTTGACAGGCAACTCTATGATTATTATTTTATTTGCAATTGACCACAGCCTTCATAAGCCTATTTATTATATAATTCTAAATCTGTGTGCATGTGACCTTTTCTTTAGCACAACCACTTTACCTAAAATCATCAGTAAATATTGGTTTCAATCAGGGACTATTTCATTCACTGCTTGCTTTGTCCAAATGTACTTTGTTCACTATCTTGGCACAGTGAATTCCTATATTCTCTTCCTAATGGCTTTAGATAGGTATTTGGCTATCTGTCATCCTCTCAGATATCCACTTCTTCTTAAAAACTCCACAATCTACATTCTCAGTATTGCTGCGTGGATTGTTGCCCAGGCAGGTCCTTTAATGTTAGTTATTAGAGCGTACCCTCTTCCTTACTGTGCCTCAAACATAATCAACCACTGCTACTGTGATCATATTGGTATAACCATGCTGGCATGCACTGACAGGGCACCTTATGGTTTTCCTGCTTTTGTGTTAGCGATGGTTACACTGCTGGGACCTCTGGCGTTTATAGTTTTCTCATATTGCTCTATAATTATATCAGTACTGAAGATAGCAAATGTACAAGGTCGACTCAAATTGCTGTCCACTTGTAGTACTCAACTGATTATAATCGCACTCTATTATTTACCCAGATGTTTTGTATATTTAGCCAGCAATGTTGGTATTACATTTAGTGCTGATGCGCGAATAGTAATTATTATGCTGTATAGCCTTTGCCCTCCCATGATCAATCCACTTATATACTGCTTAAGAGCTAAAGACATGAGAGAAAGCTTGTGGAAGCAATTCAGCAGAAGACCCATTCCACAAAAAGCACAAGTTTCAGCTATTAGTAACTGATAAACTAATTCATTATTCAGTGTTTTTGCTTTCTTCTTATTGGCCATCTCGCTTTGTGAGGACTGGAAAGAATAAAAGTATTGATTATGGATAAACTGAAAGCCAAAGCTATCACCAAAGTTAAACATTTCATTTTAAACCATGTTTTAATGTAAAGTACATGGGGGAAAAGACTCTTTGTCTGGGTTATCAGCATTTATTGAATGCAACAGCCCCTTATGTTTGTTCTGTAAAACAAATAATGTCATTATTACGGCAATGTATGATCTCTGTCGACCTGCCAAGTTGTTATGAAAATTGTGTCATGTATTTTACTGTCAGAGTACAAGGTGAGCTCAAAATAGATACACAGAATGAAGGTATATTTCAAACCTATGTCTTGTATGTTTATCACAAAATTTAATCAATAAAATATATATAAATGATGAATAATGACAGTCTTTTAAATATCCTGGGACCTGAACTGAACTGTTTATGAGATTGTTAACTTCTGTCCTGCACTTTACCTCCGATCTTTCAGTGTCTCACACAGGTTTCTGGTCTCACCAGGCCAAAAACAGCTTCCTGGAAGTGGGAGCATAGTAGTAGTAATACAATACTAAATCCAAATTATCCTTGCTTGCTCATTCTTAAAAGAGTTACATTATTTGTCGACCTCCAGCAAAGAAATGTTGGTTTTCTCCATAAGAAAAACCTCCTAGTAGAAAAGTCTATGAGGCATGTTGGGATCCAAGGATACCTTTAAATATGAACTTGTTCATTTGAAGTGTTCAAACAAAAAGGGACATGTAGGAATTTGACCATGTGCTCAGAAACTCTTGAGGCCTGTATGTAAAAGTAAAGGGATTGTAGTAGTCTTTTAGACAAAGGAAACACGCCCACCAGATAACAGACCCCTCTATGGGGGGGTCCCGGTATGCGGCCAGGGTGTGTCTTAAAGGCAATAAAACGGCCAAACACCGGCCGGTCATTGGTCAAGATTCGCTCTGACACCAGACCTGTCATCAAGGCTATTTAAGCCAGAGAGACGCTCTCCTCTTCCTCTTCTCATCTACCTTCGCTCCTGCTCCTGGCTAAACAAGGACTGTTTAATGATTGTTAATGTTGCTGATGTGTTAATCAGGTTACTGTGGTATTGTGATGTTGATTTGATTAACTGAGGTTACACAGACATCGTCTTTGCATACACTTACTCCCTTTCTAAGGCACCGTTAATCTAAAAATCACACACATATTCGGTCTAGGTACATACACATGGATAGGGATTCAAAACCTCCTGCCTCTCATTCTCTCTGCCTCTCACCAGCACGTGTTTCACACCCTGAAACATCTGGTCGGAGGACACAGGACCTAAGCCTTTTATGACCCCCATAAACACACACACACACACACACACACACACACACACACACTCCTTTAGTTATTTTAAGTTAGATTGTATATTGTGGTTAATACATGTTTGTGTTTACATATGCTGGCCTATTTAATTTCGTACAAGAGTGAGTGATACCAACCTCTTCTATGTAGAACTCCAAAGCTCCCACTCTAGCTATTATTAATGATTTATGATCCTCTTTTTTTAAAGAAGAAAATAATGGACTGTATTGGACTGTAATCAATGATAAAATCATTGTAGTGGATGTATGAAAATATTGAAAACTAGAGTAAAGAAGACTGAAAACAACATTTTTAAATTCTAGGATAGAGTGTATATATAGGTATAATCAGGTTGTGACACCATGACACAGACAGCTCTATTCAGACACTAAAAGCATTTTAATTGTATTTGTCTGAGCAATGATGGTAGACACCATATGTCTACAGTAGCCCAGACGGACAAACTAAACACTGCTCCAGACAGGGCCTTTCATGTTTATGTGAGTTTCACAGCCACCGTAGTTTCTCCTACATGTTTGGAAGGCAAGTGGTAATATTCATATGTAATCTGCAACTTCACTGCTAGATGCCACTAAATTCTACAGACTGGTCCATTAAGTTCCATAAATTTGGGAAACCCAAATATAAATGCTACAAAAAAGTGAAATCTGTGATTTATTTATATAAAACTTTTTTAAGACAGAGTTACAAAGTGCTTTACAAACAACAAAAATAAAAAACACACAAACATACATATGGGCCTATATATATGCATATATACATATAAATATGTACATGCACAACCATACCCAATCAAACATACATAGGGAGCATGTAAATATAAACATAAGGAAGATAAAATAAGAGGGAATGATAAATTAAAAGAGAGATGACAGATGAGAAAACAAACAAGAAGGAGATCTATGAAAAGGCTAGCCTGTAGAGGTGGGTTTTGAGGAGCCGCTTAAAACAGTCCACGAATTCAGCAAGTCTGAGTGATTCGGGAATAGTATTCCACAATGTTAGGGCTAAAATAGCAAAGGCACGGTTGTTACACTTGATTACACTGGCTTGTGGCCAGTTAACTGCTGTGATACACCTATGTTCTGTGCCTCGGTGAGAGGACATCAATCAGAAGTCTGTATTCATAATCCAAAATCCTTAAAAGAGCAACAAACAAAAGCAGCCACTTCCTCACACTGTACATATGTTTAAATACAAATTGACCTGCATTAAAATCGGCTGCTCAACGTTTCTTTTTGTTTTTAATTTTACATTTAACAATGCTTGACAGCAAGCATTTTGTCATTTGTCTGGTTCTGCTTTAATGGCAAGTAACATGCACTTCACATTTGTTCTAACATAATACATTTAGCTAATGAATTGCATTTTCTGAAGTTAGTCATTACTGGAGAGATGCTGTATTTTGTTTTACTCTGCCTAGTTTTACTGCCTTTTTCTGATGCTGCCATTCATTACTTGTCCACCAGGTATCCTCAGTATGCTCCCTTATGCTGCACACCTGTGAGCAATAGTTTAATCAGCCCTGATCTGCTGCTTGTCTTTGCAGTCAACAACAGTGGTTGAGGAAACTATACAGCAGGCTTTTATTAAATGATTTCAACAATTGCTTAAACAGCCCAAGTTATATTTTATGTGCCCCAGATGCAAGAGTTTGTCATTTTTACTCACCAATCAAACATTATTGTTACCAGCATAATAACATATGATCATCAGTATTTGTTCAGTATGTGCTTTCATTCACACACGTAATATGTCTGTCACAGCGGGTGAGTCCTACACCTGCATTTTATTTAACATTATCTGCTTGTGTCCCTTTTAGCAAAAAACTGAATACATTCATTTCTTCTTCTTGCAGTGTGGAATTACAGTAGTGTGTATGATGGAAATGAAGTACAGATCGTGTTTTCATTATTCCAAAATAAACCAGACATGCCTTTCACTAGTATATATTTATTTACACAAACATATTTTAAATTTAAAAACCCAGTGGATTATCTGAAAACTGTCTAAAAGCTGAAAACAGGAGTAGTTGTTGGAGATGTTTCTTTTCTTTTTTTTTTTACAGGACAGTGACATAATGTTGCTATTGTTGATACTCATCCAATCGTTTTGCTCTTTTGTAATTTTTTGTTTTTTAATTTGTGCAACATTGATTGTGTGGTGAGACATAACTTGCATGTGGCTTATTCTTATCAGACAACTTGCAGCTGATTTGTGTCTGAATAACAACAACTGCCTTTCAAAAGGCACTGGTTTTCCAGACCTCATCCAAGACACAAGTGTTTTATAGATGAACACTAACACATGGCTTTAAATCCTAAAAAAAATATGTAAACACAGCTAATATTATACAAAGATAATCCTGATACAAGGCTACATCAAGGCTGCTGACAATGCTAAATAATGTGTATATTGTAATATGCTAATGTGGAAAACATTTTATGATTTGGTCCATAAAGAAAATATAATAATGAAAACTGCATACAGAGGTGACTTCAAATGTATTATTCCATCTTACCAATATAGCATTGTACCCAAACCCACTGACATGTACATAAAAGGGAAGTGTGATAGACTTGTTTGACCACCTGTTGGTCTGTGTGTATAGTGTGTATTAGTTGTACTGTTTTCTTCAGCTTATTTGCAAATAAACTCATTCAAATCAACAAATGATAATCCAATGTCACATTTGTTGATTCTCTTCAACTTGAACTTCAAATGTTTATATATCACTTTATACAATGGCATACAGTTTACTGACAATGAGAACAACATTGAACAATTTAGAAAATGCATAGATGAATGCATGCATTTTAGCATAATACTTAGACCATAAACTTGTATATGAAAGTAAATTCACAGCTCACAACAATCTACTGAGATGTCTGAACTTTTTTGAATATCTGAAAGATCTTATATCTCATTTCTTTTGTCCTAAGACAGTAAATGAAAGGATTTACAAGAGATGGGCCAAGGATTGACCCGATCATTAAGCCATTCCACTCATCAATTGTTAATACCACACCTAACCTGGTCAAGATAATGCGGATAAATAATGGACAGTAATAACATGTTACTACGATAAAATGACTTAGACAAGTGCTGCCCATTTTTCTTTTGTCACTATTTGAGGATAATTTCACAAAAACTATGATCCAAAAGTATGACAGGCAAATGAAAATGAAAGTGAAAAACAGAAGAAAAAATGATATGATTGAAATCATATTAAAGTAATAAGTGGGGTCAACACAAGTAGTTCTTATAATGGCAGCATAGTCACAGTAAATGTACCTCATCTTTGAGGAGCAGTGAGGGAGAGGAAGCACAGTTGCCGGCATTACAGCCACAAAACTACAGGCAACAATCCACACGAGATATATCAATAGAAGAGTGCGAACATTTGTTAAATAACTTTGGTACTGAAAAGGATAGCTAACAGCAAGCAATCGATCAAATGCCATAACCGCTAAAGCAAACATCTCCATCACTGCTGCCAAATGGAAAATAAACATTTGCATTAGGCACGGTACATAGGATATAGTATTAACACCAACAAGTAGAACCCCAATTATTGTTGGACTGGCACTGGAGGTGTTCAGTATATCAACAACAGCAAGGTTGCAAATCAGAAGATACATTGGTTTGTGTAATCTCTTGTCACAAATAATGAGGACAATGTTTACTATATTGGCTAGGGTAGCTATTAAATAAATAATCAATATAACCACACCGACTACCATAGGTATTTTGATTGTGTCAAAACCACCTATAAGAAACTCTGTAACTTCAATTGAAGAATTCTGAAAAGACATATTCAACACAATATGAAGATAAAAAAATCTAATCTCAAAGCAAAAGGTCATTCAACGTGTAAATCAGCCATAATCATTTTACAAAAATAACTGCGCTCAATCAAACAACTTTCACTACAACTAACAATGGAGTTTACCACACAGCTGTTAGGGTTTTTAAGCTCACCAGAGCAGTAGCATTTCAATGGGTAGACCCATTGTCCAATCACACTGGATTTGGATTTCAGTTCATATAATTACATAACATTATGACATCCAAAATACCAGATACAATGTGTTAGTGTAACTAGGCAGCTTTAAAGGCCAAGTGTGTAACCTTTAGGATTGATCTATTGGCAGAAAGAGTATATCTCCTGAATATAGGAATATATAGGAATGTTTTTTGTCACATTAGAATGAACTGTTTTTATCTACAGAGGGAGCGGGTCCTCTTCCACAGAGACTGTCATGTTTTACAGTAGCTCAGTTCTCTAACTGTTTGGAGCCTTTTAGCGAGTGGTGGGGTACAACCTGTACAGGTCACAGTCTATCACATGGATAACAACATTCACATTAAAGCTGCAGCAGGTAACTTTTATTAAAATAACTTTTTGTCAGTTTTGCTGAAACTTTCACTATATCCTGACTGTGGTACATGAAACAGATAACCTGTGTTAAAATCCAGTTCTTCTGGCTCCTCCTAGTGCTTCTAATGGAATTTGCAAAATTACAGTTTTCATTAAGGCGTAGTAGACTTTTTAGGATATTTTTAGGTTATCTGTCTCTGTACTGTTTCAGCAAAGTTATTTTCATAAAAGTTACCTACTGCACCTTTAATTGGAAATAGCAATTTCAGTTAACCTAAGGGGTCTCAAACTCCAATTTGCTCTGTGTTGTTTGTAGCCAAACATTAAATGACTGCCTGAAACCTGCTCTCTTCTTATGAACCGTTGGCACACATTTGCAGGCACCTTTGATTTTTTCCATTATTTTGTGCCACATGAAATATATTTTTTATAACAGAATTGTGTTTTTATTTTGATTGTACACGAAGGGGTTGTTTAAATTGATATGAAACAACTATAAGAAATAATAATTAAAAAAAAACAAAAAAACAGACCGGAAGGAGGAGGATGAAGGGCTGGAAATGTAGCAGTTTGATATCCCTGACCTAAACTGAATGTCTTTTAACTAATGCGGTAATCCAGATCATCCAGAGAACATCCATACAAACTACACAAATAAAGTTCTGAGTACTGACCACTGCTTCATCTTATTTTTCATATGAATATGGACTCAACATGTAGGTCAGTTGCTCCAAAACAACATCTACTCCAACAAACCTATACAATTTTAGTAGTCTAGACTATATAATGTACAATCTATCTATCTATTGATGTTGTGTTCAGTACAACAGTTTACCATGACAAAGTTTTGTCTTGGAGGCAGAATGACATGTTTGTTTTTGGTCGATGATACTCAAGCAACAACACAAATGAGTTTCACATGTGCTCACATACCCAATTCTTTCCTCTAACTTTCTCTGGGAAGATCAACTCTTTAATGTGTTGTTTACACATGGATTTATATCTTAGTTCAAGGTCCAGTGTGTAACATTTAGGAGGATCTATTGGCCGAAATGGACTATACCATTCATAGGATTTCATTTGTGTATAATTACCTTAAAGTAAGAATTGTTGTGTTTATGTTATCTTAAAATTACCATGTTTCTAAAGTAGCCCAGAGCGGACAAACTAAACACTGGCTACAGACAGGGTCTATCACGTTTTTTGCGGGTTTCACAGCCACTGTAGTTTCTCCTATATCTTTGGATGGCAAGTGGTATTCAGGTGCCATCTGCAACTTCACTGCTAGATGCCACTAAATTTTACACCAGTCTATTAAGTTCCATAAAATTGGGAAACACAAAATATGAGTGCTACAAAAAAGTAAAATCTGTGAAGCTAGGAGGAGCAGCCTGTAAGACAGTGATACATGGGGCCTACAGCCTTGCTGTATGGTTCTGAACTGCCTGAGAGGCTTCCACATTAAAAATGGAGGATATGGATCTACAGCTATTACTCTAATTATTAAGTTTGGCAGACATAAATACATTGAAAACATAAAAAGTGAAGTAAAATTAAGTTATACTAAAAACTAAACAAATGTCTAAACAAGTGGGTCCTGATCTGCTATTTAAATGTGTCCATACATCATAAGTCAAAACAGGAGAGAGTTGCAATGTCTCCTTTTGTCAGCGCACTGCACCTTAAGAAAACACATTCAAATTCAAACAAAACACAAGTAAAGAAGAAAGATATCTCTTTACAGTCTTGAGTCTTATGCTTTTTAGATGAAGCTTCTGTACACCACAAATCATTCTGCTACAAACTTACCATTACATGAATTTACATAACCATTACTTATACTAATACTACAAATAACTACAGTAATAATGACAACCTCATGCAGATATTGTCCAACAACCAGAGGTGTAAAACCCAAAAGGCTTCATATTTCATGTTTTTCATTGACTTGTAACCTTGAGGGTTATGCTGTAAAGCTAACCCACACAGATCAAACTGTGCTGAGAGACCACCATTAAACACTGGGGATATTAAAACTCCTTCCTCAGTGTTAATTTAGGTACACACTGGGGTTTTGTTAAAGTGCAGATGTTTACTCCTATGGGATTTATAATCCATTAGCATGATTAAATTAATGGTTATTTTAATTAGCCATCACAAGGTGGATGTTCTTGTGCTGCACAGCATATACAGTATTTCCCCACTGGGCAATTAAATGTTAATTACTATTTTATAATTATTATATATTATTACAGGAGTTATTGTCAGAAAAGTAGGATATTAACACCTATTCAGAAAGACTAATGCTGTAAAACAAAAATGACTCAATATAATGTAATGTTTTGATTACCAAATGATACACAAGCAATGACTTTCACTGGTTTACTGTACTTTTTGTGTATGTTGAGAGTATGGATGTCTTTCTGGTTGATGAAAAAACATCCATTATTGTGGCTTAGAGGGATGAATTTACTCATTGTTAGTGACCCACAGAGAATAACAAAGGGTGGATCCTGTATGGCCATCAGAAAGCAGGCTTTGAGAAGTGTTTTTAAGAGGCGAATCAGTGGGTGAATCGTATGCAGCCATACTGTTTGAGAAAGGTAAGTGTAAAAGCTTGAGTGATATAGCCATGAACCTTATAATGAGAGTTACTCACGTCAGATGAAAACCATATACCAAGTATTGCTACTGTTTAAATGTTTGAGACATGTTTAATCACTGCCCCTATATTTCCTTTTTAGTGTGTCTGGAAATTCGTACTCCATCATGCCAGCGGGAAATCATAGCATTGTGACTGAATTCGTCCTTACTGGATTCCCTGGACTTCATCCAGAGTATCAAGGCATTGCCTCTGCTGTATTGTTCATCGTTTATTTCTTAACTTTGACAGGCAACTCTATGATTATTTTTTTATTTGCAACCGACCACAGCCTTCATAAGCCTATTTATTATATAATTCTTAATCTATGTGCATGTGACATTCTCTTTAGCACAACCACTTTACCTAAAATCATCAGTAAATATTGGTTTCAATCAGGGACTATTTCATTCACTGCTTGCTTTGTCCAAATGTACTTTGTTCACTATCTTGGCTCAGTGAATTCCTATATTCTCTTCCTAATGGCTTTAGATAGGTATTTGGCTATCTGTCATCCTCTCAGATATCCACTTCTTCTTAAAAACTCCACAATCTACATTCTCAGTATTTCTGCGTGGATTGTTGCCCAGGCAGCTCCTTTAATGTTAGTTATTAGAGCGTACCCTCTTCCTTACTGTGCCTCAAACATAATCAACCACTGCTACTGTGATCATATTGGTATAACCATGCTGGCATGCACTGACAGGGCACCTTATGGTTTTCCTGCTTTTGTGTTAGCGATGGTTACACTGCTGGGACCTCTGGCGTTTATAGTTTTCTCTTATTGCTCTATAATTATATCAGTACTGAAGATAGCAAATGTACAAGGTCGACTCAAATTGCTGTCCACTTGTAGTACTCAACTGATTATAATCGCACTCTATTATTTACCCAGATGTTTTGTATATTTAGCCAGCAATGTTGGTATTACATTTAGTGCTGATGCGCGAATAGTAATTATTATGCTGTATAGCCTTTGCCCTCCCATGATCAATCCACTTATATACTGCTTAAGAGCTAAAGACATGAGAGAAAGCTTGTGGAAGCAATTCAGCAGAAAACTCATTCCACAAAAAGCACAAGTTTCAGCTATTAGTAACTGATAAACTAATTCATTATTCAGTGTTTTTGCTTTCTTCTTATTGGCCATCTCGCTTTGTGAGGACTGGAAAGAATAAAAGTATTGATTATGGATAAATTGAAAGCCAAAGCTATCACCAAAGTTAAACATTTCATTTTAAACCATGTTTTAATGTAAAGTACATTCTTAGAGAGAGACAAAAAGACTTTCTTTGTCTGGGTTATCAGCATTTATTGAATGAAACAGCCCCTTATGTTTGTTCTGTAAAACAAATAATGTCATTATTACAGCAATGTATAATCTCTGATGCAGGTACAGAGGAAAACAAATGGGTTCGCAAACCTTTCTGTCGACCTGCCAAGTTGTTATGAAAATTGTGTCATGTATTTTACTGTCAGAGTACAAGGTGAGCTCAAAATAGATACACAGAATGAAGGTATATTTCAAACCTATGTCTTGTATGTTTATCACAAAATATAATCAATAAAATATATATAAATGATGAATAATGACAGTCTTTTAAATATCCTGGGACGTGAACTGAACTGTTTATGAGATTGTTAACTTCTGTCCTGCACTTTACCTCCGATCTTTCAGTGTCTCACACAGGTTTCTGGTGTCACCAGGCCAAAAACAGCTTCCTGGAAGTGGGAGCATAGTAGTAGTAATACAATGCTAAATCCAAATTATCCTTGCTTGCTCATTCTTAAAAGAGTTACATTATTTGTCGACCTCCAGCAAAGAAATGTTGGTTTTCTTGCTGCTTTGAATACAACTGACCTGCATTAAAGTCGGCTGCTCAACTTTTTTTTCTTGTTTTTAATTTTAGATTTAACAGTGCTTGACAGCACGTATTTTGTCATTTGTCTGGTTCTGTTTATGACGCTTTAATGGCAAGTAACATGCACTTCACATTTGTTCTAACATAATACATTTAGCTAATAAATTGCATCTTCTGAAGTAAGTCATTACTGGAGAGATGCAGTATTTTGTTTTACTCTTACTTGAATAATTACTTTAATGAGTACCTTTACTTCTACCTGAGTCAATATGATATATAAAGTAACAATACTTGTATTTGAGCACCATTTTTTATTTACTCTACCCACCACTGCATATCAAGACATAGGCACTGCATAGTGCACACAGATGATCCCACCTCAAACATATAATTACATCATTCTTTAGGTAGTATATATAAGATGCTGTGTACATGCAGAAGTCAGTTGGGATCTTCGGGATGCACTGCAACCTTGATTCTCAGGGTTGGAATTTCCCTCTAAGCTCTAACTACAAAACAGTACTTCAGAGGCAACGGAAAAACAGCAAGATCATAAAGACTACCTATGGATTTATGTCTGAAAGATGACTGATGACCAATTACAATCTGGCAAATTTCAAATGCAAAATTTAGAGAGCATTTTAACACATTAGTGATAATGATTTATACAAACATAACAACAATCGAGGACTTCGTAATACTTGGATTTCCAGGACTTGACCCAGCATATTATGGACCTGTGTCTGCACTTCTTTTCTTCATCTACTTGCTTATCCTCGTTGGAAACATTTTTATTTTAGTTTTTGTTGGGGTTGAGAGGCGTCTTTATAAACCAACATATTTGATCTTCTGTCATCTGGCAATTAATGATATGTTATTTGGGACAGTGACCTTACCAAAAATGATAGCCAGATATTGGCAGGATGACAAGATAATATCTTTTGGTTCCTGCTTCACTCAGATGTATTTTGTTCATTCATTGGGAGCTATTCATTCTCTCCTTCTGCTGATAATGGCCCTTGATCGTTTTGTTGCAGTCTTTCTTCCTTTAAAATATCCTGTTCTGATTACAAACAACAATATTTCTATTGCTTGTGGGTTGTCGTGGATTGGGACATTTCTTAGGATGATGGCAGTTGTATTTCATGCCCTAACCTTGCCTTACTGTAATTCTAACATCATTGTGCAATGTTATTGTGACCACATTTCAATTACAAACCTGGCATGTGGTGAAAATGTAAAGTATGTTCAGGCTGTTGCTGTTGGTCTTGCAATGTTTAGTCTCTTGCTTCCACTTTCATTTATAATTTTTTCCTTTATTTCAATCTTTGCAATAGTTTTGAGAATAAGAAACACAGAGGGACGATACAAAACCTTATCAACTTGTACACCACAATTATTAATTTGTTGCCTATATTACTTCCCAAGGTGTTTTGTTTATCTAGCTCATGCTATAGGATTTTCTTTCAGTTTGGACATCCGCATTTTATTGATATTGTTGTACAGTATTGTTCCTTGTGCTGTTAATCCAATAATATATTGCTTCAAAACCAAGGATATCAAAGATATTTTGATGAAGAGATTGCAAAATGCTAAAGTTGGAATTAAGCAAGTTTCAAAGTAATACATTGGAATATATTAAATTCTTACCTTTGTATCTGTATATCAAATGCAAAATGTTTATCCATCTCAACCAGTTCTATTCTTGAGTACCTTAGATGGCAAGATTGTGCTACATGTACTTTATCGCGCTAAGGCTTTATTGTTTTATGAATGTACATATTTTGCTTTTATGCTAAATACACTAAAAAGCTGTTATTTTATTTTTCTGTAAAAGACCTTAACTAATTTCTGCACAGCAATTTCTGTGGAATTCAGATAAAAAAAAGAGATATATGATATATTTCTATAAGTCTGGTTAAAATGTGTAACAAAAGTTGTACTTTATTGTACCTTGCTATTTACAATACTGTGATGTCCGATCAAGCCAACTGAGCTCTATTAAAGTCCCTCTCCACTCAAAAATATGTTTCTTTTCATGTTCCTACAGTTGGATGTTTGAGCTTCACTGTACAGAATGATGTATGTGCAAAGTTTGAGACTAGAAGGATGTTATTCAAATTCATCTGGTAAAAGTGAAAAGTTTCTCCTAGTCCAGAATGCAACTTATACAAGTGTGATGTGGAAACTTGAAGCCACCATACACTAAAAAATGACAGTGACAATTTACAGTGAAATAGAAGACATCTTGTGTCCAGCAAAGAAAGAAAAACATTTTTATATTCATAGTTTATGGAAATTTTAATAAGGTACAAGGAGTTGCATATGTCTTAATACATGTCAGGGGGGATCTTTGAAGGGCACAACTAAGGGACTTCGGTGAATAAGACAGATTCAGATATAGGCCTCGTGTGGCCTGTGTCTGACGAAGGGAAGACAATAAAAATACATTACCTTCCCTGCAACATCATTAATCAACCTCAACCATCAATCTATTCTAATGTCAGACATCAAACCCTGAAAACATTTTGGATACCACCTTTCTTCTCTTAACCTACCTGGGTTTTGTTAGTGGAGATCTGTTTTAGTTTTATCTTAATACATCAGGGTCCCCTGGATAGCTCACCTGGAGTCCTTGCTGCAGCAGCCATGGGTTTGACTTCAACCTGTGGCCCTTTGTTGCATGTCACTTATCAATTAAAGGCAATAAAAAAGACCCCCCAAAAAAGAACACTTACTGCACCATTTTGAGCCTTTTGATAGCATTAGCCAGCTGCAGCTTGGGGTTTTATTTTATCCTCTTTTTTTCCCAACAAAACATAATGAATGATTTAAATATGAACACAATATTACATACATTTAGTGTAAAATGTTCTTTCCCATAAGCTGGGCCTATTTGTTAGAATTAAATTAAAAGATGTATGCCTTGAAATAAATGACATTTTTATTTAACTGCTCATTACAGAAACATCTGTGGCTTTGCCACTGTGCATTTGAGTAATTTAAATAAAGGCATGCACTTTGTAAACACTGTGCAAAATTTACAGTCTTAAGAAAAAAATTATTTAAAATTATATGTATCTTACTGCTCCCAAGTCAGTAACATTTCACACAACTGAAACATAGAATATGCATCTACTACTTGGAAAATATTTTGTAAAATCAAAGTAAATAAAGTTATAAATAAAAAACGGAGAAATGCACTTTTAAATTAGACAATAAAAAAACAATTTGAATATTATAATATAGATCAACCTCACTTATCTCAAGTACACAACAATAACACTTGATATGTGGCTTGACCACATATCAGTAGTGGTAGCAAAAAACTGCACCGTTTTAAGCTCCGGGGCGACTTTCTCTTTGCACTTTTTGTACAGCTCCGGTATGGCAGTCTGACTGAAGTATGTACGGGAGGGTATACTGTACCGTTTATCAAGCGTATTTATCAATGCCATGAAGCCAGGCTTGGTCACCGTGCTGAGAGGCATCATATCTTTGGCTATGAACTCGGTTATTGCCTAAGTGATTTCCCCGTGCCGTTTTGAATTACGTTCATATGGAGTGACACTTTCAAACATTTCAGTCAGTGATCCCTGTCTTGAGGTATTTGGCTTGTCTGGCGCACTGGTGCTCGGCATTTTGGCCATACAACTGTCATACATTGATTTGTGGTAATTTTTTAAGTCCTGGAACATGTTTGTAGTGTTACCCCGTGAAGTAGCAACGGGAGCACGGCATGCTCTGCACAACACCTGACGCTGCGCAGCATCTTCTTTTTTGAAACCAAAATAGTTCCACACCACCGACGCGCTGTTCCTCTTTGAGACTAAAGTCTCAGCTGTGTCAGTTTCTGACTGTTCCGTCGGGCAGCATGAAAAGTTGATGCAGCCGAGTTCTCCACTCTTTCGCTTGCGTCACGTGACCACCTTGTAATCGCGCAAGTTGTGGTTAGAAAATCGAAAATTTTATCATATCGTGATATTATCACAAATGCAATTAATCGTTCAGCCCTACCGCCAATCACCACGCTTCAGACATACTGTAGTAATGAGCCATGTTTTCTGGCAGAGCTTAAGACACTGGGCAAAGGGAGGGCATCTATAGTGGTGGCATAGAGACACCTAGCTCTGACATTCCAGATAGGGTCAGGGCTGTCTACTTTCGGCCAATATCTGCTGAGGGGTCAGTTGGGCCATCACTCAGCACCATACCTGCCAACTTTTCAAAAAACCTTGGAGTGAGATTTTGTCAGGGGTGACCAAAATTATGCTGCACACACAGCCACACAAGTTGGTGGTTCAGATATCAGATAATTGGAATTCATTTGATGTTGTACCCATGTTGTACCCTGCATTCTGGTGGTTTGTGGGGAGGCCCAAAGCCGTTGATAGGGGCAGCCTACTGGAGATGGACAATATTGGTTACAAAGCGTGAGAGCTGGCAGCTCTGCGGCACCATCCAGGCAAAGTTTCAGCTGAGGAAGAAGCAGAAATAAACTCTGCGTAGCGTCATTCCCAGACGTGATGTGAAATCCTAGCTGCACGCGAGCGTTCAGCAGCCTGCAATAGAATCTTCTCCCTCTGAGAGCAATGCTGGCCATGAGTTTGAGCTCCCAGCCAATGAGGCTACAATCACTCGGAGCAAGTTTCCGCCACCAGGTCAAACCACATTCCTGCTGGCTCTGGGATGGAGTAGAGAGGGGCTCAGCTGCAGGGAAACACTGCTGCCCCTCATCCTTTGCCTCCCAAAATGTTCCATGCTTGTCAGGCTAACACAGTCAGCAAATGTTTTTATTTAAAAAAGGAACAATGTACATTAATTAACAAGATGACTTAAGTCCATTATGTAAATATGCTAGATTTTGCCATACGGGCACATTTTTATCTGGTGTCCCCGAAAAAATTTTAATTGTTTATGAATTCAGTTTCATTGTCATTAACTGATACATTTTCTCTTTTTTTTCTTTAAGGTGCAGTGTGTAGGATTTAATGCGCACAAAACGCAAATGCCCCTACTGAGTTACTGTAGAAACATGGCAATTCAAAATGGTTATCAAAGTTTATAATTATCAAAAGACAATAGAAAATGACTTTAATTAATATTAAAGATCCTTGGGGCACCACCCTTAAATAAGGGAAACAATAGCCAATAATTGATTGATTAGTCTCATAGATAACTTAATTCAGAAATTGGATTAATGATTAAATGAATAACTACCAAAATCATTATCAATAGTTAAAGTGGAAGGCTTTGGAGTTCTGCATAGAAGAGGTTGGTATCACCCACTCTTATACGAAATTAAAAAGGCCAGCATTTATAAACACAAACATTTATTATTGAGATAATAAACACAAACAAAGGAAAATACACAATGTGCACTCTAACTTAAAGGAACTAAGTTAGAGGAAAAAGTGTGTGCCAGTGTGTGTGCGCGCATTGGTGGTTGCGATCAAGAAAAGGTGTGTGTCCTTTTCCCTCTGACCAGATGTTTCTATGTATGAAACACATGTTGGTCAGAGACAAAGAGTATGGAGGAGCGAGAGGGTTTGAGTTCCCTCTGTTTGTGTGTATGCTGAGGTTTAGGCCGAGTACATGTGTGTGTGACCGTAGATTAACGGTGCCATTAAGAAGAAGTTAGTTACATGCAAAGACGGTGTCTATGTGAAGCATAACATTAAACTAACATCACCTTAGCACGGTCTGAAAGACTACAGTTACTACAGTAACCTGCGTTAATCAGAACAACAACACAATACAATAACCACAATAACCTGAATAAAACACATCAGTAACATTAACAGTAATTAAACAGTCTTTGCTTAGCCGTTAACTCTGTTAAGTTATCTGTCTATGCCCATTATGTTACGGAAAGGCGTTTTGCTCGTTGCTCTGCAGAGTTAACGACTCAGCGTTAACGCCACGTTGCTCCGGTAAAGTCAGCTGACAGACTTTCTCTTTAAAGCTGCAGATGTTGACTCCCGTTAGCGGTGCGCTGGCCAGGGATCGCAGGAAAAAGCAGGCTCTTGCGGCGGGTCAGGCCACACCGAGGTCCAAACTTATCACCCAGTGTGGGTGAGTGAGGTGAGCGAGAAGAGCGAAGAGCGAAGGGAGGAGGGAAGAGAGTCTCTCGGGCTTAAATACCCGGGATGATGGGTCTGGGGTTCGAGGGAATCTGACCAATGAAGGGCCAGTGTTTGGGCGTTTATAGCTTTTATACCACACCTTGACCGCATTCTTGGCCCCCCCACTGAGGGGTCTGTGATCTGGCGGGCCCTTTTTCTTTGTCTTCAGTCACTACGAGCAGGCTTTATTGCTTACATAAGAGCCTCACTGTACTAATGACCATTTCTTTGTTTAAGCACATGGCCAGATCTCAACATCCCCCCTTTGATCTCAGGAGTACACCAGATGTTTGATCCTGGGATCAAGAGCGTATAGTCCATAGCTGAAAGAGTTAATTTGTCAGTTCATTCAAGTTTAGTAACAACTGACAGTTCATTGATAACTATCTATATTGGCTAAGCAGGGACAACAAAAAAGTTACAAAACAAAACCATATAAACATGACAAGAACATTACTATGGCTAACATACATAACCAGTGTTACTCAGTGACTCTGTGGTTAATGAGAAAAGAAAGTGACACTTATAATGAAATCATCTGTGGAGTGTTTTGGATAAGGACATGTGTATGACTGCGTGTCATAATGAATGTGTCTTAAGCTAGTGTTTGCATCAGTGATCTTATGAAAAATACTACCAAGGAGTTGATCCAGGTGTATTTGAAAACAGTGGTGTCAAATCCAAATTTGGTTTGTTTTTCAGCTAATAGTAGGTTGTTTGATTATTACTGAGTTTAAAAATACTGTACTGAGTTTATTGCGGTTGCTAACAATTCTAAGTTTGCCTATAGAACTGCAGGAAAAAGTAAGGTACGCTGGGTTAGCTTACTGTCAGTACAGGGATGGACTGTGTCGTCATGATCATGAGAAGTGAACTCTTTTGTGCTTATGTCCAAAGTTT